ATGCAGGTCTCTGACATTACTATTCTGTGAAACCTTTGAGTGCCGGAAATCTTGTGACAAACCAAGAAACATCATCCCAATATCACAGGTTGTACGTCTTTCCCTTCTCTGTCACGGTGGCAAGAAACAGTCATCCCTTTATTAAAGTAAGGGAGTTTAATGCCCTTTCAGACAGTATTCCAGTTACATTAAAACCATGGTGTGTCATTCATGTAAGAGCAATAATGTTTATGAGAGGTAATTGGAAATTTTACTATAAATTGTATATTTATATATTTATCCTATCTCACGGTATGCACCTCTCTTCTTCTACGACCATGTGTGGAAACGTGCTGTAGGCTAAACTGAATCAAAGCTTTCTCGCCTCTACCCCCCTGACCTCTGCCCCCACACCGATAGCACGACCTGTCAATCATCTCATAAGCGTGCCGGTTGCTCAGATGATCATGTGACGCTCTGTGCCTGTCATTCTCGTCTTGGAGCTTCCAGTAATCTGTGATGTGGGGCAGGTTGGGTGGGTATCAATCGCGTGAGATAGGATAGGTATATAAATATACAATTTATAGTCAAATTTCCAAATTTTTAAACTTATCCTATCTCACGGTATGCATTATCCCACGGTTGGCTGGTGGGCCGCAGATTACCCTGTGTCAACTCTACAACCATGAGGTCGCATAACACAAGGAGGCCAGGAGAAAGCACCAACTCCCGATATGCTAACTCCGAACTTGTGATTGGTTGCTTCTGATAACCCCTTGGCTTACATAGCACAAAAAGTCTAAGGAGTGGGCGGTCCCAAATTAATGTGGTTTTCAGACGCAACTTTTGACAAGCAAAAGAATGCAGTTTGGCAAGTAGACCCCGTCGCCCCACGATTTATCAAGTGACCCCAGTGAATTAAAGGCGAAGACCTTAATCTGGACAGTCCCTGCTTTGAAACTATCCCCCACAGACACACGCTGGATGGCGGTGAAAGAGGGAACAGCCCGGTTGCTCAACTCATTTAACGTTCAGTACCAATCCCACCAAAGGTGAGAAAGGACTTAGGAGCGGAACGCTTCAAAAACGAAGCAGGTAATGGGAAATCAACACTTCACTGATGTAATTGCTCAGAGAGTAGAGGTCAGTAAGTGGAGTGTCGACCACCTCTGCATGTAGCACAAGACTGGCCTCTCAGTCTATCGAGTCATGACAGTGCAAACACGCCCTAGTTCCTTAGGTGAAGTGGTCTTATGCCCAAATATAATCCATACCAATAAGAAAGATAGGACTGATATCTTTCATGATATAGAGAAGGGGGGGGAAGAGAGAGAGAGAGAGGTGTGTGTGTGTGTGTGTGTGTGTGTGTGTGTGTGTGTGTGTGTGTGTGTGTGTGTGTGTGTGTGTGTGTGTGTGTGTGTGTGTGTGTAGAGGCCAGAAAGTTTTCATTCAACTTCGCCTGCAGCACGTTTCCACACATGATCGTAGAAGAAGTAGAGAGGTAGAAGTAGTATTTTGGAAAACCCCACAAACATAGACATGTTGAAAACCAAAGATCTTACCCAGGATTTGGACTCGACATCAGTGGATCCTGGTGCAACTAAGGGAAGGAACTCAGCACTGAACATTGCAGCATGTTAGATCAGATGTATGCACATGAGTAAGTCAGAAAGGTGTCATGGTGATTTTAACTTCATTACATGTACATAACACAGGTGTTTTACATGGTTAATAAATTGAAATGGTTGAGTGCAAATACCAACACATTTGTTTCAATCAAGGTGTAAAATTGCATCTTAATATATACTAATATGATGTTTCTGCAAATATGGAAGAATAACTAAAGATTAGATTAACACTGACATTGAACACAGATAGTTTCTATTTCATTGCCTCATAGAAGAGTGTATGCATACCATTTTCATAATGAATAGTTCCTATGAGCAGACAATGCCTTTAAAAAGTGTAAAGATACAATGTTATATTTTGGGATTAAACTATATTAGTGATTTCAAAATTCTAAAAATCCTTTTGGGGAGGACTCTCATCTGGAATTTGAACCCATATTTTGCACTTGTAAATAGCCAGAGTGGATTCGAATCTTGAATGGGAATCAACCATGAACGTTCTAGATTTTGTACTTTACAAAGAAAGTGTAATGTCAAATATAACTAATGTTATGAATATCTACTGAAGCACAAACAGAAAACTCAAGATAATAAATAACATGAAAGATAAACTAATCACAACTGAATGACCTCAGTAGTGACAACAGAAACACAAGCACAAGGATTAGAGTGAGAACTTCCGAGGCAGATGCATATGTAACTCTAACAAACTGTTGACATAAGGTGCAGAGCTTATCTGTAGGTTTTAACAAAGTAAACATATAAGAACGTTCAACATTTCACTTCATTTCAGCTGCCTACCATTCGCATTTAGCTGACATGTATTCAGAGAGTGAGTGAGTGACTGACTGAATATGGTTTTACCCCGCTTTTAGCAATATTCCAGCAATATCATGGCGAGGGACATCAGAAATGGGCTTCACACTTTGCACCCATGTGGGGAATCAAACCTGAGTCTTTGGCGTGGCAAGTGAACGCTTCAACCACTAGGCTACCCTATCGCCCCGACATGTATTCAGAGCACCTGCTTGAGGTGCTCTGTCCCTGTGAACTCCAAAGACCTTATATTGATAGGATAAGCATTGGTGTTTAAATGAGACAGAAGTTAAACAGGTATGATAGCAATATTGACTGATTTATATATACAGGTACTTGAGGAAATTCAACATATTACTGTAATCTTTAGCCTATTTCTCCATGATAATGATTTCCAATACAGATTTTGATAAAAAAGATACAATATACAACATTTATGTGTAACTCATTGGGATCCTTATAACTGTAAAGTGAAAGTGCTAAAGTGTGTGGAGTAACCTTGATTCATTTTCATTGAACCAGACTTGATGTTGAAAAGTTATTCAGGTGTACATAATGCAATATACACTTCAAGCCAGCCAAACCAAGAATTGCTATATCAACCTCCCAACTAAGCACAACAGAAGAGTAACCCCTGACAAGCAGAAAACAGCTCATTCTTCTAACAAATCAGTAACTATTCAATACTGACTATCCATCATTTCAACTGCATACAAAGCAATAAATAAATACAATGATCTTTGTACAAAGTTGAACAATAATCCGTTGAGCATTATCTAAGCCCTATATGGAAGGTTGGTGCATTATGTTTCTTTGATAAATCATGAATGGACTTGCTTACAAACAGTTTACACCATATCATTTCAGTAACAAGAGTAAGTGAATATTACAGTGAAATTACAGTATGGCAGCTTCAAGTGTTAGGAAAGCCTTGCTTGTCTCAAATGTTTATCACTGAGATCCATGAGCACTGGTATGGTGCTCACAACCCAACAAAATACTTGGGGTTGGCTTGGATTTGAACGAACCAACAACTCTGCATGTTAAGGGAGGTAACTGCACAGGGGCAATAACTACACAAGGGAAACAACTCTGGAGGGACTAAGACATTGTGACCACTAATTATGAGTGTATGAGTCTCCTGTGTTTGCTACAGAAACCATTCTTCAAAGATCTAACAAAAATCCAACCTTAAGTACTACAATGACAATTTATGAACTAAGCAGAAAACAAGGCATATGTAACTTGCATTATAATTCTTGTTTGAAGTCAACACTAAAATTGATATTTTCTCCCCACTTTCCAAGTCGTAACTTAAGTTGGTTAGTGATTAGGAAAATAAATATACTGTAATAATACAGATTTCTTCAATTGACTTCTTCATTGTTCCTTCATGGTCTTTGAAAATCTTAACACTGACAATAATACGGTCAGTGATCAGTCATTATCTGTGACAATCATGAAACTGATGGAGACAATTATAGCATGATCTGTGACAATCACACGACAATCTGTGACAATTATAGCATGATCTGTGACAATAAAGGTATGATGTGGGTCATCCATACCATGGTCGATGACATTCACTGACTACCAAAACATATACACTTATATACGCTCCAACTGAAACAGTGTAACTCTGTTATAGAGAACAAAGCCTTTAATCTTATCCCTGTAACAATAATCCTGTGTTAGACAGTGCTTAATCACTGATAAATAACTAAATGATACAAGTCGACAGAAGTCAACACAAGACAGCATGTCCCCCTTAACTTAAATTTGATAAGAAAGCACAAAAGAGACAATTTAATACACTTAACAACCTAATCATTGTAAATGAGGTCAATCTCCCCAAGACCTGCTGTTTGAGGCCTTTGTCTGTGGTGTCACTCAGCTCATGGAACTGCAGTCCTCACACCGAACCACCTATGGCTACCTTGTACAGTAGTGGCTCACGGCCTGACCCTGACAATACACAGACAAACAGAATGTTTTCTATGTCTGACATATGTCACCATTGGAATGATGATCGACTGTTAACAAAGTTTGCAGCAATTAGTAGGGTTGTAAACTTGCAGGAATGAGTGAGTATGGTTCAAAGCTACTTATCCGGCATACCACATGGAAAAGAGTACAACACTTTGTTGAATAGTACTACACTTTGTTGAATAGTACTACACTTTAGTGAAACCAAAGATGCATGATGCTTGTCAGTTTGATATCAAGTCTTAAAAATACAAGTGCAGAAAAATGAAGTTAGTGTGTCACTACTCAGAGTGAGTGAGTGAGTGAGTTGGGTTTTACGCCACTTTTAGCAATATTCCAGCAATATCACGGCAGGGGACACCATAAATGGGCTTCACACATTATGCCCATGTGGTGAATCGAACCCGGGCCTCGACATGACAAGTGAACGCTTTAACCACTAGCCCCTAGTGACTACTCAGAACTAGAGATTGAATGTATTAGGAATCTGATGCCAGTCATGAATTCAAATACTCTAGTTATTCTATAACAGGTCAGTCATTCAAGGTCTATTCAAGGGCCCTAAAGTACATGACATGATGACACCTGTCCGGTCACATCCTTCCTACCTGGAACACACCCTGCTCTATACATGTACACCTGTCTATACATGTACACCTGTCCTGTCACATCCTTCCTACCTGGAACACACCCTGCTCTATACATGTACACCTGTCTATACATGTACACCTGTCCTGTCACATCCTTCCTACCTGGAACACACCCTGCTCTATACATGTACACCTGTCTATACATGTACACCTGTCCTGTCACATCCTTCCTACCTGGAACACACCCTGCTCTATACATGTACACCTGTCTATACATGTACACCTGTCTTGTCACATCCTTCCTACCTGGAACACACCCTGCTCTATACATGTACACCTGTCTATACATGTACACCTGTCCTGTCACATCCTTCCTACCTGGAACACACCCTGCTCTATACATGTACACCTGTCTATACATGTACACCTGTCTATACATGTACACCTGTCCTGTCACATCCTTCCTACCTGGAACACACCCTGATACATGTACACCCTGCTCACCTGTCCTGTCACATCATTCCTACCTGGAACACACCCTGCTCTATATATGCATGAACAACATGGACCTGCTAATGTTACATGAATACTTTCATTGAGTGTCTTTTCACATTTCATCTGAGAACATGAGAATGGCTGATTATCACTTAATGAATGCAGATGGCATCACAACTATGATATATTCAACTTGGCACATACAAGGTATGTTCATTACATTTCTACAGAAACAACATCGGCCAGTTCTTGTAAAGGTACAAGGTGTGGGATGATGTGAAAATCATGAAGCACATGCAAATAATCAAATGTAAAAATGTGAAACAATGTAAAAGATGCTAAAAGACTGCAGATCACATTAAAACTCATTTAATTAAAAGGATGGAATTTGTTGCTATGTTTTTGCTCCTCAAAATGGTTGTGAATGATTGAGTAGTTGGAGAAACTATAAGGAAACACAACTAAATGATATGGAATTAATAATGTGCATATTTCTGTCTCAAGAAATGAAAGAAATCACTTAAACATTTTCAATACATGCATGTTTGTCATGTTACACCAAACTCATTTATCAGTGCAACCTTTAAAGAAACCGACTCTATACCTGAGAACCTAGTGGTTGATGTTATGAGCAATGACGAGTTCGCAGGGTGGAATAACGTCAAGCCCATCACATAACCTGGCTATCCAATCAAACTGAACTACCTCCTGTGACAAGCATAGGGAGCTGGGGACCTGCCAGTATTGGTACAGTATTCAACATGAGATCATACATGAACACTTAACACACTGAACACCTTTAAGTAGGAGCTTGGCTGACAGAGATATTCATCCCACACACAGATACCGGATAGTAAATACAAAGGAAGGTAGCACAAACACCAACATTTCCAGTCAAATCAGGGTAAGTATGTATGTCTTTGTTTCTGAAACAGGTGAGGACAGGTAGCATATTTAATTGATATACACATGTGTACACCAACCATACCTACAGTGCAGCAGTAACAGTGTACAAGATATTTGAGTGCAAGTTCGGTTTTATGCCGCTTTTAGTAATATCTGGGCGTCACACATCCCTCTTTGTATTACACTTTAATGCAGTTCAGCATTGACTCATTCCATGTTGGTGGGTGAGTTAGTGCTTGAGTGAGTGAGTGCTTGGGTGAGTGAGTGCTTGGGTGAGTGAGTGAGTGAGTGTGTGTGTGCCCACTAAGACTGAACCTGACACATTATAGGTAAAGTCCATGATTCCAAGGCATATATTCACTAACCATTCAAATATCTTCCGTAAACCAAAAGAAATTCCGTCCACTAGCAGAATGCGGTTATCTGAGTGGTTATATTATTGTGCTGATTGAGGTCACTGATTTCTTCTCATTGACTGCGGGTTTGGGGATTGTTTTAAAATCATAAGAAGAATGCACCATGACGACAGACCTTGTAATGTATGAGACATCGAGGGAATGCAACATGAGAATGCATCATGACACACTACGAGAATGCATCATGACACACTATGAGAATGCATCAGGACACACTACGAGAATGCATCAGGACACACTACGAGAATGCATCAGGACACACTACGAAAATGCATCATGACACACTACGAGAATGCACCAAAATGCATCATGAGGACACTACGAGAAGCATGACACCATGAGAACACTATGAGAATGCACCATGACTGCACCATGACACACTATGAGAATGCATCATGACACACGACGAGAATGCATCATCACACACTATTAGAATGCATCATGACACATGAGAATGCATCATGAGATACTGTGAGAATGAATGTGTCAAGACAATGCATCATGAGAATACTGTATGAAAATGCATTAGGAGAACATCCCATGAGAATTCATCATGAAATGTTCTGATAATCTGTATGTGGATACCTTACAAAGCTGAAGATTACATCACGGATAGATGGTGCTCATCACAAAAAGCCATCTACCAAGGATTAACTAGAGTTAACTGCCCCTGACATGCAAATTGGGAGAAATCTATTCCTTTCTTCAAAGTGGGAGTTTTACTGTTAAGTTTTTAATCTTTTAAAATTTAACGTATCTTAAAGTGCATTCGGTGAAGTAATACAAGCCTTACTCTTTATTGCTTATCTGTGATATTTCCTCAGAGCTATAACATGAGCTATTTATGCATTAGTTAGTGAGTGATAATTGTTTTACACCACTTTTAGCAATATTCCAGCAATATCTTGGCAGGGGACACCAGAAATGGGCTTCACACATTGTACCCATGTGGGGAGTCGAAACGGTCTTCGGCGTGACGAGACAACGCTTTAACCACTAGGCTACCCCACTCCCCTGTTTATGTGTTAACATGGATCAGGGCATTTTTCATTCCAGTTTGGTAATACTGACATTGTACGCAGACTTGGGGCTGAATAACGACCTAGAGTGTCTAGACAAACCCAGTTGGAACTGGGTACAAATGTAAGATCTGCCATACAAACAAACTGTATAATGCTTTGCTATGCATCAAGATATTCAGAGGGCATGCTCATAAATCTTTGTGTCTATGAATTGATGGAACACAAGGGAGCAAGATTGGATATGCTAACATAAAGAATAGTTTATCGAGACAGTTGCTCGATGCATAAGCCTATTCTCATACAGTGTCACAGTCACTTCACATAAGTTCATTTCACTTAGTTTCAAACCAAAATCAAACACATGATACTTGCCACAAGGAAATTACACACAACAGAAGACTTCACAAGAACAGACACAGCATCAGTGAAGAGTGCATAAGTCATGTAAATATGTTTCCATTTCATTTCCGATTACAAATATGCAATGATAAAGGTGATAAAAGTGAAAACAATGATAAGGTCAATTCCATGACTTCAGATGAAAAGACATATTTACCTACATGTAGTGTTTTGAACTCATGAATGCCAATGGGTCCTCATGCTAAAAATTATTAAAGATTTAGCGATTTCCAACATGCAACTACTCCAGATGCAAATCTCCAGGACCCCTAAAACCCATCAATACTTTCTACACAGCCTCCATCTAACAAAAAACAAACTTGCCAACAACAGCGACACTTCTCTGTCCATTAGGCCATCTGTGTCTGCGTCTGTTATAGAATGCTACAACGATTATGGTGCTTTGAACTTTGTGATTCAAGTGCCTACATTCCAAGAGTTGAGTTCCAGCACATAAAATGGAAACGTAATCTTCGTATCAGTGATATCTCAATCTAGATGACCAGGTCATCACAGGAAGTCTACAGTCACTCTCCCTGCATTCTTCTATTGCCTCGTCAATGGTGTTTGTTTAAAGACGTCACACCAAACCGTCGTCACGTCATACTTTCAATTTTGGTCACAACAAGGAATTATGGCACAAATATTCAATCATATCCTTGTTGTTACACACTGGAATATCTCTGACACAATGGCAACATTATACTGAAAATCATGCATCATGATCATCACCATATGAAAGCTAATCATAATATGAACATTAAATTTTGTTTCTAAAAATTTGATAATCATAAAATAAATTATTGCAATTCTAAAATGAATGTAACGGTATTTACATAGTCAAACAATTATCCACCTTTTGTCTGAAAGAACATGTCCAAAATTTGTGTATTAATAACAAAGAAGTGGAAATATATGGAAAGTTAAATAGTGCTGATGTTAATATTTAATGAAAACTACGTCATTAATTGTAAAAAGCATCACAGACACATTTCATCTGGATCAACTTTCACGGCTCTCATGAGAATGACATTATCGCACAACTTATCACAGACACTATTACCAGTAACCATGGTAACCTCAGAGGTTAATTTGTTACACCTACTGAAAGTTAATCATCAGATATTTACAGCCAACATCATAAAGATTATTACAACCTGTTACCTTCTACATAGTTATGAAATGTAAATGAAATCATACAAAGGGCAACATTTTGATTCTGTAAAATACAAACTAAGTGTGTGTCGAGGGTTAACACTGATTTCAGTAACCTCACCATAATATAGCACTGGAAAACACAATTGATGGTCTTGTTGTCTTGTTCCAAAGTTGGGAATCAAACTAGGTGAACACTTTATCCACTAGGCTACCCTCAATCATCTGTTAAGTTTTGGCTGGTGACATAGCCACTTTTGTTGTTTCAGTTATTACATGCACTGACTGACTGACTGAGTTTGGTTTTACGCCGCTTTTAGCAATATTCCAGCAACATCACGGCGGGAGACACCAGAAATGGGCTTCACACATTGTACCCATGTGGGGATTCGAACCCGGGTCTTGGGCGTGACGAGCCAACGCTTTAACCACTAGGCTACCCCACCACCCCTATTACATGCAGAAGCCTGCATTAGTAAAGAATAACTGTAACAACTAAACATGATCATCATGATCACCATCTTCTCTCATCCTGCTTTAGGTCAATACATCAAGTGCTAGAACAGTTTCAAGGGAGATAACTACACAATGGCACTCAGAATGTGACCAGTCCATGAAAGGGTCGTACAGAGTTATGTCCCTGTGTTCAGCCAATCATGTTGTTGCTGGGTAGACTATTTAGTCCAGCCTATAGTGAAGAGAACAGAAACGGGAAGTGTGCCAGTGTCATGCAGAGGATTCTGGGAACGCGTCGAGACTTCCTTGGTGTATTGGTGTCATGCGCTTAAAGCCATCATCTTCATCTGGTTCCGTAACATCCAGCAGCACGCGTGGCTCTTCCAGTAACTGATAATAGTAAACAGACAACAAATAGGACGTGTTTCTGATGGGATTCTTACATTGCCACTCGAAATATAATCGTGACAATCATGATGATAACAAAACTTTGATACTTGTGAGCTTATGAATTTAAAAGAAGCCATTTCAGCAATAAGGTATATCACAGTAATGACAGAAATTGCTTTTCAGGAAATATCCATTGATAAGTATCAAGTTTTGATCACATGGCGTTGAAAGCAACACCATAAAACCTGCCACACACTAAATTTTTCCCCCTCCCCCCATATTTGAGATGGATGTCCATCTGTATCTCATGCTGATATATGACATAATCTTACCTTTGTAACGTCCAGCTCATCAAACAGCTCCTGTATGAAGCGCCGAGGGGCCAGTCGGAAGGAGTAGGTTGCCAGAAGATGACACACCTCGGAGTAAAAACACATGTTCGCAGAAGGCTTTGGGGAACTTCTGCTTCAGGCTGAAAAATAACTGGTCTCAGTAACAAAGTTCCAATTGTGAAAACTAAGAGAGCCCGTACATCCTTTATTCCAAGTACCATATCTCTCTTAAACAAATGTGAAGATACCTAAATCAATGAATTTATGTAAATATGTTTTGTATATCTCTGATGTGTCAGTAGCTCTGCTGATGTAACACAAATTCCTGAAAATTCATTAAAGTATTATTCTATTCTATTCTATTCTATACATTCTGGGAAAGATGGCTGTGGCATGACACTCACCCACTGGCTTGTTCGTTCTGGAATATGTTTGTTGTTTAAAGCCACACTCAGAAATAATGAGTGCAATATGATGGTTGCCAGTAATATAAATATAAATATCAAATCTGGACAATACAATCCTGTGATTCATATAAGCAGCAATCCAAGCTGTTAAGATGATAAACAAGTTACTGAGACTGACCACCTGATCAGTTTGGTCCACCTTTATAATAAACACGTATTAATCTTGACCATTTTAACCCAAGATCCCCACAAAGGTGTTCTGGAAGTGTTCCTCACCTGAGGAGCCCCTGCTCTGTGCCCTTTGCCCCGACTGAACTGCCAAGGTTAATGATCAGTCTCATGATTTCCTTCCGAATCAGATTACGTCCCTTTGGGCTTTCCTCGCTCAGTTTCTTGGAGGCTGAAAGTCCATAATGGTCCATGTAGAGTCACACGTCAAGCCATATGATTAATCATCATATAATGCCTCTCACTTCTCGTACCTTCATTACAGTAACACACTGGATACATTCACACAGGGACGTTGAAAGGAGAGCAGGGGTAGTTTATATGGCTGTAAATCTCCCCAAACGGACACACTATGATCAAATTTACACTTTGATCTGCATTGCACGTTGATCTGTGTTACACTTAGATCTGCATTACACTTTCATCAGCGTTATACGTTGATGTGCATTACGCTTTGATCTGCATTACACCTTGATCTGCGTTATACTTTGATCTGCATTGCACTTTGATCATTATTACACTTTGATCTGCATTAAACATGCATTCACATGATCTGAGAAATGCTGGACACTATACAGTACAGATTCTGACTATTCACACTGCTTGGCACAATTTGCCTTGGTCAAAATGTATAAAAACAATTCTACATGAAAATGTAATTTTCTGACTAAAATTGATATTTTATACTTATCCTGACTCATGCTAATTATGCTTGTCTCCTTCCTCTTGCGAGTGATAGTGGAACACTAGAAATCCCTTGGAAGTTCCCTTCTAAAAAAGCGGATGTAAAATCACTCATCCACGAGTAGTCTCCCTTTCCTCCCTTTTGGCCGCCCTTATTGGTGACCTTATTGACCAGCCATGTTTGTCACTCTCTCTGTATGTATGCCCTACACCCGGATTTATAGGGAAATCCAGAGTGCCATAAGAGGGGAGGTTGGGAAGGCTTACCTCATGAGTCAGGATAAGTATAAAATATCATTTTTAGTCAGAAAATTACATATTTTTCCTTATCCTGACTTATGCTAATTATGCTTGCAGAATCTGTCGGAAACGGTGGTGGGTCAGGCCACGTTCTGGATTCACTGGTTGTTGATTTACGTCCTGTATTGCCCCCCATGGGAACTTATGACGGCACTGTTGAAGATTCTGTTCTTTCAACTTCTCTCTGATGAGTCTGGGGGGAACCACAACTTGTCAGATTTCTCCAAAACTTCTGACATTTCCGTGTGGATTTTAGATAAACTAATACTCATGCTAGTCTGTCCTAGACATGTGCATGGACTTTAACCAATTGCTCTCCAGAGCGTTGGTTTTCACAAGTCAACGTGATAAAAGGGTGAGATTTTTCTCAGCACCTTTGTGGAACTGTTAGTTGTTGTGCTACAACAAGTGGCCTAATCTGGTGAATGCCTGAGACGTCTTCGATGGCAATGTCTCTGAGGTAGTGGTTGGCAAACACTGTGTCCGATTCCAAAAGCAGCCCTCCATTATTGTTGTAATCGAGCAGTTTCCAAGCAGAGCAAGTGTAGACGCCAAGGCTCTGACTTCTCGGGGATTGGAGGCTCGTGGAGGCTCAAGCCCTGCTGCTTTGTAGGCCCTTAGTATAACGTTTTTCATCCAAACTGATATAGTTATCCGTGAGACTTCAGTGGGCGTCTCAGTGGATAAGGGGATGAATAGGCGCTTGAATTTTCGTCGTCCTTTGTAGGTAGACTTCAATGCTCTGACAGGGCATAAGGATAAATCCTTTGTATCTTGTGGCCCAAGGACTGTAGAAAGTGCTGGGATGTGGAACTGTCTGTCAGGCTGGCCGGGCAGTTGGTTCTTGGCAATAAGGTCCCATCTCAGTCCAAGATGTACGATGTTACGATGTCTTGCTTCAAATCGTTTCGTTCAAAGTCCAGAGCATGTATTTCTGACATCCGTGCTGCTGTTGCTAGGGCCATCAGGAACAGCGTTTTCTGTGTCAGTAGTTCAAAGGATGTCCATTCTAGAGGCTTGTAGGCATCACTGGTGAGATGTTGTAAAACTACATTGAGATCCCAGGTAGGAGCCTTGAATTTCTTTTGTTGGTCTTCCAACTTGAACGAGCGTAGTAGTGCCAGTATATCTGGTACTTTGGTCAGCTTGACACCCGTCTTCATGATGATAACTGTGCTGAGAGCAGCCAGGTACATTGAGAGTGTTGAACCTTTTAAGTGTCTCGTCTGTCGCAAATGACACAGGTATTCCGCCACTTGAGGATGGGTTGCTTTTACCACTGTAAAGCCTAACCTCGTTGCATACTGTTCAAATCTCTGCCACTTGTCGTCTTACAAGTTGTGAGTTGATCTGCGTAGAGCTAGTGTCACTGCTTTCGCTGCTCTGGCGGAGTACCTCTAGTCTTCAGGCAAGCTTTGATACGCTCCACGTGTGTAGCTGGAACAATGCCAGAATCCCGTGAGCTTGCTTGGTGTGTGGATGGATGAGCAGGTTCGACCACTCTGGTAGTTTCAGGGTTGGACTTCCGAGTTCTTGTATGAGGACGGGAAACCATACCCTCGCTGGCCAATAGGGCGTGACCCAAATCAGTTGCAACGTTGCCGTCTGCTTGATTTTCTGTATTACTAGTGGTAATAGTGCTGGAGGTGGAAACGCGTAAGCCTTTAGTCCTTCCCATGAGATGCTTAAAGCATCTGTTGCCCATGACTGAGGATCCGGAATCGGTGAGACGAATGTTGGTAGTTGTTTGTTGAACTTTGTTGCAAACAGGTCTATCAGCGGAGATCCTACTGTCTGTATGACGAACCGGAACACTTCTGGATGTTACATCCATTCCATCAGGGCGTCTGCTATGACATTCTTTGCTCCTGGAATGTGACATGCCATCATGTAGATGTTCAGGTCGTCGCCGATGCTGAACAGGAGAAAGCTGAGTTTTAGCATCTTGACCCAACGATGCTCTGGGACGACCGTGTGATTCTGTGGTGTGATGAGCCATATTCCCAGCAATTGAAGATCCTGTTTTGGTTCCAACTCCGATTAGGAGATTACTAGCCATCTACTGCAATCATGTCCTACGTTGTAGGTACGTGGATCTAGGAGCCCTTGCCATGTCCGACATGGAAGCGGAGAGATGATAATCATGCGGATGGAATCTTCCGGTAATATGTAATGAAGATGTTGTCACCAGAATCCGAACATTGTGCAGCGATGATGCATAATACGTCGTCTCTAGGTCAGCAAAAATCTATGATGTACTGGGACTGCCATTGATGTGAAGTCTATTTATAGTTGACCGTCTCACGCTTGTCGCTGCAAGTCCCCAGATAACCAATATTAAATCTGCTGACAGGGGAAGTCCTCTATGACCTGTGAAGATAGTCGAACCACGCTGTACCCTGCTAACTGGACTGTAAATGGAGCCTTTCCCACGTTGAAAGAGTTGTTTACAACTGTAGACGACTTCCTGGCACGTGACTGTGACGTCACCGGTGTTGCACGAAAAAGATCCTCGTAGAATCTTGTGCAGTCGTTGATTTCTTCGTCAACACTCGGCCTTGTCTGTAACCTCTCTGTTCGGCTTGTGCCAGAGTTACACGAGTGAACACGTGTATAGATGGCTGAGTGGAAGCGCGCGAAATTTTTCTCCGCGAAGTACCGATGTAAGCAGACTGTGACCTGTCTGTTGTGACTGTATTCTTCAACTTTATAATCTTTACTGCAGTCGTCATCTTATACAGATGTTCTGTAAAGTTGACCGTAACCGATGTCTCTTTGAGGAACTGCGACAAATGCTGTTAACTGTCTCTTCGATATCTTGTAAGCCCATGTGATGAAATTTCATGTTCAGTGTTTCATCGGATGTTATCTGACATCGTTACTTCAGGTGTGTGTCTCTTCCTTCAGCCACGTGTTAATCCAACATGGCCAACATCTAGTTGTAGTGTCCAGTTGCGTTATCTTCTTATCTTCCATCTTGAATATCTATTACAGGATTCACTGATGATCTTGTAATCTCAAACCCTGATGTATCATGAAGGGCTCCGTATGATGAAGGGGAAATCTGCTATCGTTGAACGGCGGGACATGCTGACTCTAATTATAATCCTCCCCGTGAGTGCCTGCGCGCAGGTTGATGAAGGTCCAAGTTGGAAGATCCGTATCTGCGCAGTCTGTAGAATCCTGGAACTGCGTGGAGGCTCCATCGTGGACTGCTAACGCTAAGCTGGCGTTCGTTGAATCCTCCAGGTTTTTAACTGCTGGTACTTCTGACAGTAAAGATCTTCCCAAACGTAACCGTTCATGCAGGCCTTCATCCGAGAGAGCTTACATAGCTAATATTCCTTCACGCCAGGGTGACTGTCATCGGAGGGGTCTGCTATGCTGAGCTGATGTTAGTAGAGTTCTCCAGACTTCTATCTTCAGACGGTGAAGTTAGACATTTCCCTATCGGAAGATCCCTAATGACGTGAGTCTCTATATGTAGATCTGTATGTAGAGCTGCATGCAGGTGAACGGTCTAGGTGTAACCGTGTATTCCTCCCTAAGCCTTCACGAAGGCTGATTGACGTAATCTCCCCTCTCTCTATGGGATGATCTGTATGAAGAGCTTCGCGCAGGCGGAGCGATCCCGATGCGATCCTGTATCCTTCCTTGAGACTAGAGATGATTCTCTAGGTCTTCGTGAAGGTGGGTTCCTGGACATAGCTTCCTCTCTGTAGAAGTGCCTTCGCGCAGGTTCTCGATGGGCGTCAGAGTGCGATGAAGATGAAGATTCATATCTACGACGTCTGTGGGGTCAGGAGAACACCACGATTTCTTCCTGCATGGAGACTTCTTAGCAACAATCTCCGGAGCGTCTACGGCTGAACTGACGTTGGTAGCGGTGTCCAGACTCCTCACTTCAGATGGGGAAGATCGTCGTGTCCGTGAGCCTTCGCGCAGGCTTCCCTCTTCATCCGGATGCGGTGGAGAGATTGTAGAACCTTCACGCAAGCTAGTAGACATCATATGGTCTGTAAACTGTTGCATGAACAGTCCCGGGTTGAAGTTCTGCGTTGTCTGAAGAGACTGCTGCAGGGATGATGCATCTGATACTGAAGAGACGTCATCTAAGGCTCGCTGCACTTGTGAAGTGTTGATGCTGCTGCTATCTCTGGTACACGATGTCTGCGTTGATAGAAGGTCTTCTGTCAATGTCTGTGCTGATAACAATGCTGATGTAGCTGTAGAAGCAGGCTTCGTCTTCTTACTGACGATGGTGACGGGTGGATCATCATAAACGTCTGCTTCATCTGGAGGAACAATCTCGGCTGAGGAAGACATTGTCTTCTGCGTAGAGCTGAGTATAGAATTCAATGAAGTCTTCATGGTAGTAGCCTTCTTCTTCTGCGTAGAAGATGATTTTGCCTTCTTCATCTGCGACGAGGTCAGCTCAGTAGACAATGCTCTCTTATGGCTTCCGGCGTTCACCACTGCTACAGCGACCTGCTCACGAGAAAGGTTCGGCAATTCACTGGAATTATGAATGTCTGCAGCAGGGGTTAACACACGGTTATCAGCGCAATCACTCGATTTAGACAATATTTGTGAATACCTTCATACCCAGTCCTTAGCATGTCTATGGATGGAAAAAAAAGAAGTAATTATTAAATTCAACAGAGGTTAAATTTACACAAAACTTACAGCGAGAGCTGAAAGAACATGAAATAGTGCAATTAGGACATAATAAATGAGGGTCAGACGCAGACACTCGGTACCTACAACGAATACAGGTTTTCATCAAATGTAAAAATAAGGAAAACACATGTCAAACAACAGAAAATTTCAAACCGTAATGTAGAATATAATCCTAAAAAACGTATACAGCAATAATTTTGATGTAAGGTCCGAAAATATAAAAGAATATGTGCCGTATAGGGACCCAGGTGCTCTTACAACCGTCCTCAAGGGCGAAGAAGGAGAGAGTGACAAACATGGCTGGTCATGTGACCAATAAGGGCGCCAAAAGGGAGGAAAGGGAGACTACTTGTGGGGAAGTGATTTTATGTCTGCTTTTTTAGAAGGGAACTTCAAGGGATTTCAAGTGTTCCACTATCATTCGCAAGAGGAAGGAGACAAGCATAATTAGCATGAGTCAGGATAAGGAAAAATAATATGCATTTAATGTGTGAACAACACACAAACAGAATCAGATAGAAAGTATTGCATACCTGAGTCTGTGCTGTTTGTGCTGGTGACACTCCCGGGAGTTGTTGAAGAAGCATCGTTGACGCTCTCCACTCTTGGTCGTCCTGTCTTGAGCCCGTGTGAACTCTGAACATTAGCCAGGTCCACCTTCTGCTCAGTAACCCCATCTATTGATGGGATATCTGTAGATCAAGGTTCACAGGTTAGTCCCAGGCTATTGCAGGGTTTATGGGTTTAGTTATACATTATCATTATCAGGGCCCTGTTCCTCAAAGCGATCATAGCGGTACGACTGTCGTAAGTCTATGTTAAAGTATGGGAGTTACGACCATCATAGTGCTACGACAGTCTTAAGTCTATGTTAAAGTATGGGAGTTATGATCATCTTAGTGCTACGACAGTCATAAGTCTATGTTAAAGTATGGGAGTTACGATCATCTTAGCTCTACGCGACAGTCTTAAGTCTATGTTAAAGTATGGGAGTTACGATCATCTTAGTGCTATGACAGTCGTAAGTCTATGTTAAAGTATGTGAGTTACGATCATCTTAGTGCTACGACAGTCTTAAGTCTATGTTAAAGTATGGGAGTTACGATCATCTTAGCGTTACGACAGTCTTAAGTCTATGTTAAAGTATGGGAGTTACGATCATCTTAGCGCTACGACAGTCTTAAGTCTATGTTAAAGTATGGGAGTTACGATCATCTTAGCGCTACGACAGTCTTAAGTCTATGTTAAAGTATGGGAGTTACGATCATCATAGCGCTACGACAGTATTAAGTCTTTGTTAAAGTATGGGAGTTACGATCATCATAGCGTTACGACTGTCGTAAGTCTATGTTAAAGTATGGGAGTTACGATCATCTTAGCGCTACGATCGCTTTGTGGAACGGGGCCCTCTACTGGAGGACTAAACATATGATTTTCTATCACTCTATTGATGGGATATCTGAAAGTCAAGATAACATCATTTCACGTTTCACTGTCTACAGATGGGCTATCAATGACATGCTTACAGTAATTCACACCAGTTCTAAAATTGTCTCGATTAAAAAATTAAAGAGAAATAAATCCCAAGCATCAAATAGATCAAGAAGTGCTCAACAATAATCATTTGAAGGACAGAGATTATTGCATACCAGGACAAGATTCAGACCACTTAGCAGCAAACTTACCATCATGAGATAGTGCATCATGGGACACGGACTTGTGCGACTCTTGGGAAACACAGACAATACAGACGTCAGCGGAATGCTCCAAATCAACATCTGGTTTAAGAGGTGGTACACTGTAGGTCAGCTTGAGCTCTGAAACACAATAAAATCCGCTTCTATATGAGATGTGCTTGATTCCAGTTTAAGAAATTAACAACGTGCATCAACGTCACATAAATAATGGCCAAATAACAGTTTTTGTTGACAAGGAAATACATTTATAGTGAGCTACTCCATTCTTGTATCTTGTACATGATGATGATATTTCTCCTGAACATAATGGCGAGACCAAACCTGTCCAAAATGGAATAACTTTCCTTGACAATAATGGTGAGGCTTGCTCTGTTCCCTGTCCATGAGGGTGAATCTTAACATGTCTATGAGGGTGAATCTTACCCAGTTCCCTGTCCATGAGGTTGAATCTTACCCTGTTCCCTGTCCATGAGGGTGAATCTTACCCTGTTCCCTGTCCATGAGGGTGAAACTTACCCAGTTCCCTGTCCACTATACATGAGGGTGAATCTTACCCTGGCTACGAGGGTGAATCTTACCCAGTTCCCTGTCCATGAGGGTGAAACTTACCCAGTTCCCTGTCCCTGTCCATGAGGGTGAAACTTACCCAGTTCCCTGTCCACTATACATGAGGGTGAATCTTACCCTGGCTACGAGGGTGAATCTTACCCAGTTCCCTGTCCATGAGGGTGAATCTTACCCAGTTCCTGTCCATGAGGGTGAATCTTACCCAGTTCCCTGTCCATGAGGGTGAATCTTACCCAGTTCCCTGTCCATGAGGGTGAATCTTACCCTGTTCCCTGTCCACTATACATGAGGGTGAATCTTACCCTGGCTACTGAGGGTGAATCTTACCCTATTCCCTGTCCATGAGGGTGAATCTTACCCAGTTCCCTGTCCATGAGGGTGAATCTTACCCAGTTCCCTGTCCATGAGGGTGAAACTTACCCAGGTTCCTGTCCACTATACATGAGGGTGAATCTTACCCTGGCTGAGGGTGAATCTTACCCAGTTCCCTGTCCATGAGGGGTGAATCTTACCCAGTTCCCTGTCCACTATCCATGAGGGTGAATCTTACCCAGTTCCCTGTCCATGAGGGTGAAACTTACCCAGTTCCCTGTCCACTATACATGAGGGTGAATCTTACCCTGGCTACGAGGGTGAATCTTACCCTATTCCCTGTCCATGAGGGTGAATCTTACCCAGTTCCCTGTCCATGAGGGTGAATCTTACCCAGTTCCCTGTCCATGAGGGTGAATCTTACCCAGTTCCCTGTCCATTAGGGTGCATCTTACCCTGTTCCCTGTCCATGAGGGTGAATCTTACCCAGTTCCCTGTCCACTATACATGAGGGTGAATCTTACCCAGTTCCCTGTCCATGAGGGTGAATCTTACCCAGTTCCCTGTCCATGAGGGTGACACTTATCCAGTTCCCTGTCCATGAGGGTGAATCTTACCCAGTTCCCTGTCCATGAGGGTGAATCTTACCCAGTTCCCTGTCCATGAGGGTGAATCTTACCCTGTTCCCTGTCCATGAGGGTGAAACTTACCCAGTTCCCTGTCCACTATACATGAGGGTGAATCTTACCCTGGCTACGAGGGTGAATCTTACCCAGTTCCCTGTCCATGAGGGTGAATCTTACCCAGTTCCCTGTCCATGAGGGTGAATCTTACCCAGTTCCCTGTCCATGAGGGTGAATCTTACCCAGTTCCCTGTCCATGAGGGTGAATCTTACCCTGTTCCCTGTCCATGAGGGTGAATCTTACCCAGTTCCCTGTCCACTATACATGAGGGTGAATCTTACCCAGTTCCCTGTCTATACATGAGGGTGAATCTTACCCAGTTCCCTGTCCATGAGGGTGAATCTTACCCAGTTCCCTGTCCACTATACATGAGGGTGAATCTTACCCAGTTCCCTGTCCATGAGGGTGAATCTTACCCAGTTCCCTGTCCACTATACATGAGGGTGAATCTTACCCTGTTCCCTGTCCATGAGGGTGCATCTTACCCAGTTCCCTGTCCATGAGGGTGAATCTTACCCTGTTCCCTGTCCACTATACATGAGGGTGAATCTTACCCTGTTCCCTGTCCATGAGGGTGCATCTTACCCAGTTCCCTGTCCACTATACATGAGGGTGAATCTTACCCAGTTCCCTGTCCATGAGGGTGAAACTTACCCAGTTCCCTGTCCATGAGGGTGAATCTTACCCTGTTCCCTGTCCATGAGGGTGAATCTTACCCTGTTCTGTACCTACATACACGATGAAGGTGATACATTTCTGTCCGTGTGGTGAGACTCTGTCTCCACTTACCCTGTTCTGTCCATGAAGGTGAGTGAATTAGCAGATTTCTGTCCTGCCATCAAACAAGATCATTAGTCTAACATAGTCTCTCTGTCTCTGTCTGGGTGAGACTTATCTATGTTAATATATTCCCCTGTCCATGATGTTAGCTGTCTCCTGGCGATGCAGTGATAGAGATTGACCTGGCTGATCCAAGTTCTCCCTCAATAACCTGCCATCAAACAAGATCATTAGGAACCTACATGTTAATATATTCTCCCTGGCAACAAGACCAAGTTATCTATGTTAATATATTCTCCCTGGCAACAAGACCAAGTTATCTATGCTAATATATTCTCCCTGGCAACAAGACCAAGTTATCTATGTTAATATATTCTCCCTGGCAACAGGACCAAGTTATCTATGTTAATATATTCTCCCTGGTAACAAGACCAAGTTATCTATGTTAATATATTCTCCCTGGCAACAAGACCAAGTTATCTATGTTAATATATTCTCCCTGGTAAAAAAAACATAATAGCAAAATATGGTCACAAAATATATGTCATCCATATCTTACAGGAGGAAAAAGGTACCCACAATCATCGTAAGTTGTAAATGCCAGAGACTACCTTGAGAGCGACTCACCTCAAACACCATGTAAATATCAACAGGCAGACACAGCCCCACAAAGTTTGACGTGGAGGTGTGGGGCTGGATGATGGCCTTGTTGAGAGTGTTGTATGGACTCGACTGCTGGCCATCATAGTCAGGCAGTGAGGCACTGCTGATGTTCCGGCGTATACTGCTGCAAATAACACAGGAGATGAGCAGGATTAGTGAGTGAGTTCAGTCTTACGCCGCTTTTAGCAATATTCCAGCAACATCACAATTTTAATATCATTGGACATGGGCTCCACAAATGGTATGAACAGGATGACGCAGAGGAGTAAATGATTCTTTCAGTCATAGTCTGGTTCAGAAATAAATAAAAAGGACATGTCTCCATGCTAACTACTCTTCCTAACACTCGTGCTTTAAACATGTTAAATGGTATAAGAATCTATACGAAACATCGCATCTATATAATAAAGAAGTTATCATCCATAAAGGATCAAACCTTTCTTATACTGAACACATGTTGTGACAAAGCAAAAACATAGGTTCTGGCAAACTCAGAGCAAAACACAGCAAATCTATGACTTGATCATGACAAACCCAATCCAACTGAAATCTCAAGTAACAGTATTTTACATTTGATACGTCACTTATGATGTTTTATTATTCCTTAGTTTTATATAATATCCAATACACAGAAAACCCAAACTAACCTGAGCCAGATATTGCTGTCGACGCTGCTATCAGACTCAGTACTGTATGTTCTGTTTATCAATCCATCACCAAAAGCAGGAACCCCGGGACCTGGATCAGAGTCTCCTTCAGAGCTGAGTGTCCGTTTCCGTTTGATTATCCGCAAGGTGGCATACCCAACAGCATCTCTGTGACTTGTGAATGTGGAGGGATCGGTGGAATGGCTTGCTGGGTAGATACCGAGGGCGGGAGCAGCGGAACGTCGTCGCAGACTAGGAACTCGAGTCAACTTTGCAAGTCGACGCTGAACAGATGAAGGGTGGACTGGTTCTTTGGGGTCAGGCTGACCTGCTACTTGACTTGATGCTATTGTATTGAGAGAAGACGTACTTGCAATCGGACTTAGCGAAGTGAGCCCTAGGCCGCCAGCCAGGGCTCCTGAGTCACATGAGCTCACTCCACTAGTTGTGGAGTCTGTGTTAAAACTACTAGTCCGGCTTTTACTTTTGTGGGAGCTCTCACTACTACTGCGATCATCACGAAGTATATTTGACCCCCCTATTTTAAAAACAATCTCTTTCTCTTTCCCCTTCTCATCACAGTTTTCAGGCAGGCCCGATCACTTGCTGTTTCCAGCCTCTCCGAGTTGGTCGTTGCTGTAAGTAACTTATCACCTATAACAGCTTTCTCCTTGAAAGTCTCACTAAATGTCTCTATCACTGATGAGTTCATGGACGAACTGTTTGCTTTCACATACGAATCACCATCATCACTTGCTGCTCGAACACGTACCATTGGGTGAGTCTGTCCGTTTGCAAGCGATCTCACAGGCATGCTTTGATATCTGCTAAAGTCCCCTGATTCAAGGGGCAAAGTTCGACTCTTGGGTATACTCCCAAGTGAATGTCCATTTGAATTGGTACCATTAAGTTTCTCCAGACTTGTTGGAATGTTTGTCACCGACTGAGTGTCTGACTTATCACATGTGAAAGACTGATCTGATATATCCCCTTTGCCCTCTTCTTGAATGAAAGACAACTGTGTGTTAGTGGACACCTGGCTGCGGTCCACGTCCGGCTTGAAAGCACTAAGTAGACTCACATTGCTTACACTGCCGGCTTCACCTAGAGTCAAGGGGAAATAACCCTGTTCCAGCGTCACAGGCCACTTGTCCCCTCGGACGTAACACAGTGACTCCCAGCCGTACTGGGCCAGAATTTCTGTACCCTTCCTGGTGCATGCAAACAGCCCGAGTACATAGAATGCAGTCCTGAAACAAATACTTCATATCATTAAAAGTTTTAACCACTATATCTTGTATATGGAGGCATTGTTTTCCTGGGGCGCAACTTTGTCAAACCCTCCCTCCAAAAAACCCCTGAAAGTGGTGAAGCTACTATCAGCCAACTTAAGTGAAGCTTAACCGGTAGTAATGCTGCCAGATGTTTGACAGGTCAACTGACAGCCGGACACACTACAGAAGCTTTTATAAAGGTCATCATATGAAACACCTCAGGTTTAATGGTCACTACTGCAGTACATACCCACGGACTGAGAATACTCCACACTCCTCGGCCAGTCGGATGATCTCGGGGATTACGTTTTCCTCATCCAGCCACGACACCCCATCTGCTGATGTTCCCACATGGCCCTGTGACAGTCAGGGAGCGAGTTATGAAGAAGCCCAAGTTACCGAGCAGGTGACAGGGAGAGAATTAAATTCAGGTCTTGGTTAAAATAAAGTTGCATGCATAACGGGTGCATAAAGCATTATGAGGCTCACGGAGAGAGTATATGAAGGTCTAGGTTAAAGTGACTGTCAGGGAGAAAGTCACAGACATAAAGCAGGTGCCAGTACTCAGTTAGAGCAGGTGTCTGGGAAGGGTTATAAACACCTCCTAGCTGTAAAGTAGGTAGCATAACAATGTATGGTATGGATCTAAACTTCTTTATTATATACAACACGAAAATATGGAACACTCCACGAATTTGCGTGTTATCCTTGCGCAGGGGCCGTGCTAATCTTCTCTGTATCGTTTCAATTTTACTAAAATTTTAAGAAAAGAAAAGGAACGAAACAAAGTCCAAGGAAAACTTACCACTGCCCAAAGAGCAATCTTCAGCTTGAGGACGTCTTGGTCGTTGAGGAGCTCAAGGCTGTGGATGTGCTGGATGTATTCCTTCACACATTCCTGTAACACAAACACTTACACATACACCAACACATATGATGGCAGCTTGCTTCCTGTCATATTCTGGGTGTTTACATTTTCTGAAAGTGCTTTGAGCATACGCCTTAATGGTGTGGAGGCTTAGTGCCTTATTAACAGCCATAACCAGTATGATTTCAGGTGTCACAGGACTGTAATGGTGATGTGTAGTGAGTTGCTTTTATTGCTGTTTTCACTGGTAATTCAGTATCCAAAGTGAACCTGCTCCCGACCCATTAAGCTTAACCTTGCAGTGAGAGAAGTGAGGCTTAGGCTGCTTTTAGCAATATTCCAGAAATACTGGGCCGGAATACTAGCCTAGCAACACGAGGCCTTTAAATACTAGGCTACCCCACCGCCCCTTAACTTTACAAATCAAATTATTTTCCACAAGTCCTACAGATACCATAACAATTATAACATCTGCAATGGCTGAAAATGTCCTCTGACAGTTGTATCAATGTTTTAATAAAAATATTGTACAATAAATAAAATCTTTTTTATCTATTATATGGAACCCACCACGGAGTTACCTCCCTGCTACGCATGCACAGCCAACCAGGTAAGCACCTAGCCCCCGTATCATCATTCCTTCTGCTGAATAAATCAGTGAACAGAATTGCGGGAGGTGGGCTGGCCCTGGTTCAAGGATCTACTCTCTTCAAAGAATTGGAAACCTCTGCAGGTTTAGTTAATTCTTTTCAGAGAGATCGCCCACTCCACTCCCGCTCTCCAGCCCCGGAGAGAAACAGGAATCACCTGACAGTCGCGACTGGTCGCACCAGAGGAGAAATTCCCACGCCTCCGAAGAAGCGCTTAGGGACACCGTGTCGCCTTTGCTTCAGGATGTACGCCATGGCCGCACGGGTTGTCCAACTGAAGACGAACCACCTGGCCCTGAACATGCCCCCGAAGCCGAAAACCAACCGCACAGCTCTCAGTTCTAAGACGATGTGAAGGTGGGCTTCAGCTTCGACCAGAGTCCGAAACCGACAGACTGCCCAGAACACCCCCAGCCCTTGAGGGACACATCGGGTTTGAACTGTAAGAGCTGCCATCAGGAATTCCAAAGGGACCCCTTGGAGAGCTTCCCGACATTGGTCCACCACTGAAGGTGAGGAGACAACCACCGGGACTGTGAGACACTTCTCTAGATCCCTCTGAGTGAGCCCACAGACTCGCCAAAGCTTGCTGTATAGGGCGATCCTCAACCAGCTCCCCACACTACAGAGATAGTTGCGCCATATGACCCAGTAGACGGAGCCAACTCTGCGCTGGTGCCTGGGGTAGGGAGAGGAACGAATACACCATCTCCCCGCACTCTGGTGACCTGGTCGGGCGACAAAGAGACAAGACCTTGTGAGATGTGAACCGCGCCCCTAGAAAAGTCCCGGTTGGTACCAGATACCAGGTCGGATTTCTTGAGGTTTATGATCCACCCCGCCGAACTAGAATGTCTATCACCGTGTGGGTAGAGTCTTGGCTCGCTGGCTGAGTTAGAGAGCTGAGCAACCAGTCGCCGAGGTAAGGGTAACAACGCCTTCCTTGTGACCTTAAGCGAGGGTAGCCGGCACTAACATGAGTTTGGTGAACACCCTGGGGCAGTGGCTATGCCGAAGGGTGCACCGTGAATTGGTAATACATCCCGCCAGATTAGAACCAGAGGTACTGCTTGAACGATGGATGAATTGGCACATGAAGATACACGATCCTTTAGGTCGATCGACGTAAGCCAATCGCCGGGCTGAACGGAGGAGATCACCGAAGCGAAGTGCGTCTCCATCTTGAAGGATGGAACCTCTATCATGCGATTCAACCCCTTGAGGTGAAAATGAAAATGGGATGGAACCCGCTGTCCTTCTTCGAACAAAGAAGTACATGGAATAAAACCCCGCCTGTTCCTTGCCCGGTGGTATGCTTCTATTGGGGATTTGTCCAGCAAAGCCTGAACTTCGTCCGCGCAGTATACCCACCTTGACTGGACATGATGGCACCGGAGTGTGATGTATGCCGGTGAACTCTGGTGGGCCTCGCTTCCACAGTGGTAGATGGCCGACACTGACGGTAGATAGCACCCAAGTGTTGCTGGTAGCCTCTCCCACTCCGCAAGCCCCCACTGGGATGTTTGGTAAGAGAGGGCGTGAGTGGTCCCCTGCAGATGAACTGACAGCCTGCAGGTTTAACGGGAGGTCGGGCAGACCCCGCGACCGCAGCGAAAAGGCTGCTGGGAGCCAGGCGAAGAGGCCTGCTCCTTGCCCTTACCTTTGGCGGGACGGCTCCTCCTACCTCTACCCAGCAGCCGGCCAACTGGCAGACTTGGGCGTAGGCTGAGGAAGAACCCGCTACAGGAGCACGGGAGCGAAGAAGACCGCTGCTGCTCCAACAAGGCCTTAGAATCCTTGAAGGAGGTAGCTGCTGCAGCAGCCTCCTGAATGACCTGCTGTGCCCCCGAAACAACGCCGCCCCAGCCGAACGGAAGGGGCAGCAAGGTCTGCGGTGTTGCTGCTGAATAACGGGATGTAGACGGCCACAGCTTGTGCGCATCCCCAGACTGTGCACATCACCGTAGACGTGGCAGACTGCAAAGAGTCTCGCAGCCAGGTGGGCCTGCACTTCAGATAATTGGCGGAGCAGAACAACATTCAGGGAAACGTCCCCAGTGCTCCCTTCCGCCTCCAGAGCCGACCTTTGATCGAGGAAAGGTACGCCTTCATGGACCACTACTACCCGCACCTGCTGCATGGCATTCCGGTAGACTTCCTCATAAGTCCGGTATGCTTGCTGCAGGGGGGCGCCTGCTAGGGCAAACAGTGGAACTAACCGCCCTTGCTTAGCAGCCGGGGCTGCACCTGAGGAAGCCGAGCCTCCCCCGAGGGCGACCGGGCGAACACGCACTCGCCAACCACCGCACAAAGAACAGAGAATCATCCCCAGCTGGTACCTCTTAACGAAGTTCGGGTAAATCGAACCAGAGGTTCCAACCGGAACCAACCAGGAGGGGATCCATCACGTCCTGCACCAGGGAAGGCAAGATACGGAGCTGTGTCTGCGAGGGTTGCCTAGGGGCAAACGCCTCACCCGCAGGCGGAACTCAGTCGAGTCCGAGCGACATGTCGGCACCGCGGCTTGGGGTATATACTCGGCAATACGTTGCCTAAACTCCCGGAGAGCCGACGAGAAACGGAAAGTACCCTCCGTCTCCTCGACCTCCCCAACCTCCAGAGACTCAGCAGCCGAGCCCGAGTCAGAATTCGGGTCTCCACGTGAAGAGGAGCCGAACCCCGACCCGGTGGGAGGCCGAGCCACAGACGCCGGCGGGAAGGGGAAGGGAACCGCCCAGCAACCGACACAATACTCGAACCCCGGTCCCGAGACACGGGAGGAAGCCCGGACAGAACCGGCTTCTCCGCTCTCATGGGGTGGGTGGGCGCAGGGACCGGAACCCCAGGAATCCTTTACAGACCCTGCGCCAGCACCGAGAGGGGGACTGGGAGCGAACCCTCCCCCTCCGGGGTAGCCGAGGCGTCTGGACCTGTAGCCAAAGGCAAACGATCAACAGTCACCTCCAGGCCTAAGGGATCTAGCCGGGCTTGGCGATCCCACCCCCGGAATCTCGGTCCCCCATTCAGAGTGGGCGAGGAATTCCTGCCGGAGACCTCCAACGGACTCATGAACAAGGGACTTCACGGAGTCCATATGCTGCTGAAACAATTGAGTGATGATTGACATATCAAAACCACTAGATTGGGATTGCGACTTATGCGAAGACCTAGGTTTAGCTTGTTTAGCCTTTTTGGCCTTGGACAGGGGAACCTCCTGGGTCAGTTCCCCTCCCGCCTCCCGCAATTCCTTATAAAAAAGGAAATCAGCCGCCCGTCTCTTCTGGGCCCAGGGGGAAAAGGCCATACACAGTTCGCAGATTTCAGGGTTATGCCCTGCTTTCTCTAAACAGCACAAGCATTTGTCATGCTTATCAGCTCTAGGGATATTCTGCCCGCAGACAGTACACCCAGTAAACGCCTGAAAGCAAACACGCAAGCATGTAGCTAACGGCGGAACACAGCAGCATAAATATACATGAACAAAACATTGAAAATTACGTAAATATCGACAGCGAGATGAAATACTTGGTTAATAACGCAATATTTCAACCACGTGGCACGCTAAACTTCCCGCCATGGAATAGCAACACGTGCGTAAACCACGGGAAAGCTAGCGTAAAAATTTAATACAAAGTCACATAAATGAGAAATAACAGACTGCAAAGTCAATAAAACTGTTCTCTCAAGAACGAATAAAGACCATACATACAGTTGTTGAAGTCTCAGACATTCTTCTCAACAGAAGTAAATCAGCTAGTAACTCGGAAAACGTGTGAACGCTTGAGTGACAGCAGAAGGAATGATGATACGGGCCTAGGTGCTTACCTGGTTGGCTGTGCATGCGTAGCAGGGAGGTAACTCCATGTGGTGGGGGCCGTATAATAGATAAAAAAGATTTGTATTTATTGTACAATATTTTTATTAAAACATTGATACAACTGTCACATGACATTTTCAGCCGCAGAATATGCATATATGTACCCCAAGGATGATCTCTATGAAAACAAAATTCATGTCCCAGTTTAAGCATTATGTAATGACCACTGACCTCTTTCCTCAGCAGGTCAAGGCCTTCATCATGCTGACACAGCTGGCCATACAGGTGGACAGGAAGGAACACATCTTTCTTAGGACGTCTGCAATGCAGTCAGTTATTCAGTGTAGCTTTAAATTGCAGGACTATTACAGCTTCAACATAGTGACATGAAAATAATAAAATCATGTCCAGACAACCCAGCTGTTGGGAGCATGAACAATCATGTACAGAAACGACACACAATACAACACAATATGACAAAAGCTAAACCAAATTTCATCACTTGGATTATAAAAGTGAAAAGCATAAAATACTTAAATTGAGGATATTTCCATAAACAGGATAAGTGACTATGCATCCCTGCAACTTTTAACAATATCCTGTATAGTAGTGGTCCAATTAATTGAAATAATCGAAGATTGGTCGCAACGACTAAATGACCAAGCAATCAATCATGTTTTGTCATAATTGAACACAAACAATTTTGGAACACTTGTTTGCATTAACAATACTTATCACAAGGTTGGTTTTGTTTGTTACATTTCATAAGCACTATAAGGTCATTCCAAGTCATGATTGAATTGATCTTAAAGACTAAGGAAATTTATGTTGCTAATATACTAGTCATCCTTTAAAGACGTGAAATTTGCAAAAAAAAAACTGGACAAATTTGATAGATGACGCTAACCAATTATTTTCGACGATTGATCGGTTTTAATGAACAAATCATCAATTATGAGATTTTAACCAATTCCCAACACTAATCCTATCAATATCACAACAGGGATCCCTTAATGCACTGGTTTGGTATCAAACCAGGTCTCCGACATGACGAACTATGGCTTGAAGTAAGAGGTTACCCTATCCCATTCTGCTACTGTGTGGTGTACTCACTTCTGTATTGACCGCCGAGTGAACTGTCCCTGGTATGTCTTCTCGTATGTGGTCAGCGCCTCATTCAGCTGCTCCTCAACAATCTTGACATACCGCAGGTTGTAAGTCTGGTATAAACAAAAAAGTCTAATTGTTTGGGAACATCAGTCTCAAAGTGGAAGAGTGAGATGAATGGGTGGGTAATTATCATTTTTTTAAGAACTGACTTCAATACATTTTCTTATCCATGGAGGGTTTAAAAGAGAAACTGTGCAGGTTTGTGAAACGTGCATATCAGTTTTCATGTTTTTGAATTCATAAATAATGACACACACTGAAATCAGTTTTTATCAATAAAAAGTTCAGCTCACTTGTTTTATAATTAACACACAAAAAACACAGGCTAAATTATAAATCAACAATTCAGTGCAATAATGCAACACAAGCCCCACCCATTCTATTTTCAACCAATCAAAAAACAACATTCCATAATTGGGTATGGCCTAATGTAAGGTGTGCTTACAAGACCAAAGATAAATTTACTAGACTGGGGCAAATTTTGGACCAGTGGCAAAAATTGCAGACATATTTGTACCCACCTTCTCCCATCTCTGTAATTCATTGGTAACAAAGTTAGCATCCATTAGGGCCTTGAAGCCTTTATGTGTGGAGAGGAAACGACACAGAACCATCACACCACGATGACCGAGGTGGAGAAAGGTTGGACGCAACTTCACTAGGGAGTCAAGGTTAACCTGGAACAGATCACACAGCTAAATACAACATCAAATGGTCGAATAGAACCCAAACTGATACCTTTGACCTCTTTTATAGAAATACATAAGCACAGTTAGTATTGTTTTGGTTCAACAATATTTCAACTGCATGTTAATAATCAAGTCTGGGCCAGTGGTTCCGTTTCTGCTTCATTTTTAACTTGGGAATAAAGCCTAGATGAAGATAAAAACTTGTTGAAGTTGATACTATCACATAGAAGGAACAAGCCTCACCTGAACATCACAGGCTTCATCAATGATGTTGATTGCTGCCATAGCAACAGCCTGACATTGGTCATACAACTGACTGATGAGAAGTTCAATGCCCCATGAACTGAATCCTGTCACCCCTGTCCTCAACAACACCCGCAGCAGCTTGGTAGCATACACTCTGGCACCCTGGAAACACAGCCACACAACCTGATTAAAACCAGACCTCAGTGCTCAGATTGGTCGGATGAAAGGTCACTCAGACATGAACCAGATTGGGACGTCCTCTGATCTTTTTTTTTAGCAGCAATGACAACTAAGACATGATTTTGATTAGATTCAAAGTGTGTGCATGTCGTAGTGAAATCATTGTAGGAAACATCCTCACATCCCAGAGACAGATTTTGGGAGACATAATCAAATAACAGAGTGATAAATTACTAGGAGCAAAGCATGATTAAACTACTGAACAGAATGCACAGAAGTCACAAGTAAAACATCCTGTGATCTATAGACACAGCATTTCGCAGTGCCTGATTGGTATCACTGCTTACCTCTACAGATGATGTGAGAGCTTTAGACAGGATGGTCCTTGCAGTACCATCTCGGGAGTAGTTGAGACTTGAGATGGTCAGTTTGATGTACAGCTCCTGTGTTGGGGGACTCACCACCTCCAGCAAACTGTGAACGGGAAACAAGCTACAGTTACAAAACTGAAGGAGTGAGTGAATGCTGTTTAAGACCTTAGCTATACTACAGTAATATATAAGCAATTGAGTTTGGACCAGGCAAACTAGTGGTTGATATCGTGAGCAATGACCCATGCCGCTGACATATGTTGACAAACAAAAAGTCATGCTCAAACAATCCTTCATAGTCGGTCCTTACAGCAAACATATTTTTATAATTACAAACACTGAAGGCATCTGGAGCTATGGATATCAACTTTCACTTCAAACAGTAACTATGGCAACTATCAAAAGAAGTTGGAATCAATCAGTCAATCCTATGTTCAGTGAAACCACAGATTCTAAATGCCACTCAAAACAGAACAAATGATGTAAATACTATTCCTCACCTGAACCAGTTCTAAACCAGTATTCTCCCGGAGATCAATATGAGCGTGAGTGAGTGAGTTTGGTTTTAAGCTGCTTTTAGCAATATTGCAGCAATATCACAGCAGGGCACACCAAAAATGGGCTTCACACATTGTGCCCATATTGGGGAAACGAACCCAGTCTTTAACATGACAAGCAAACACCTTAACCACCGGGCTTCCCCAACGCCCCGGATCACTATAAACAAGGCAACATGTGTATACTTACTTCTGATAGACCCCCGACTTCTCCAGATACCTGTCCCCCCTGGGTGTGAGGGAGAAGCGACCCACAAACAGGAAGTAATACTGACTCAGGGTAGAGTGAATACTGCTCAGGGAGAGGACGGCTTCAGGGGCGGAGTGTTGAGTGGACAGCTGCAACAAAGTAGATGACGTCTGTTACAGACATCACATGTATCTGAATCCTTAGCTACAGTGAGAGAAACTGCTTGTGCTATGGTATTGGTAGGCATCCTGAGTGCTAATAGACATTTCAAAATGTTACTGCATTTTGAGCCAGGTTATTTTGTCCGACATTTGCATGTTCCTGTTGCTGTATGTTGGCAGTTTTCAGTAAGTTCCTCTCTCTGCACTCACCTCACCAAGACACTGGGCAATGTCAATTAGCCAGTCCATGATGTGTTTCTGTGCTTCATCCTGAAACACAAGATAGGAACAGTCACTTTAACAGAAATATCAAAAACAGGTTGTAGCCGTCTTAGTGAGTGAGTGAGTTTAGTGTTATGCCACACTCAGCAATATTCCAGCTATATGGCGGCGGTCTGTAAATAATCGAGTCTGGGCCAGACAATCCAGTGATCAACAGCATGAGCATCAATCTGCGCAATTGGGAACCGATGACATGTGTCAACCAAGCCAGCGAGCCTGACCATCAGATCCCGTTAGTAGCCTCTTACGACAAGCATGGGTTACTGAAGATCAATTCTAACCCAGACCTTCACGGGTCCATAGCCGTCTTATCATTTAACCCTAACTAATAATCTTGAAGGAAATTGAAATTTTGGCAGTTGGCATGGAAACTGAAAACACACATTAGATATTGTCATTAAACAGAATAAAAAACAACAAATTTACATTATCATATGAATATTTTTCCCAACCATCACTTAATCCATAATCAGTGAATTTGGTTTTACATAGTCTCTCTTAGACCATCCTTGAATATAGCAAACACCCTTTGTTCAAACCCCATCCCAGCTCCAGAGGCCAATAATCATCACCTTTTAAGAGACTGGCTCTGACAAACCAAGAGTAATAATCTGGGTCACCCTGATTTAACTTCATGACCAACAGTGAAAGGAAGCACCTTATACCAGTTGACCAACATTTGACAAAGTTTAGTTTCAGTACAGTCCACCTTTCTACTTTCTATTCTAGCACGACATTGTGCTAATACATTCGGTCTTTAAATTACATTTAGCGGTCTTAAATCAATGATAAAGGACCGCAAAATTGAAACCAGAGTACCTTTATCTTCTCAATGGGCTTCATATGTATAACATTTCCAAATGAAATATGCAAGGCACCATGGGAACTCACTCACCTGATTTGACTTAATGAGGAAGTCTATGAGATGGCATCCGATATCACATAGTTTACGAGCATTTTCATTGGTTAATTCCATCCGAGAGAACAGATCATTGGTTGGTTTGTAGAAAAACACAAGACGTTTGACAAATCTGTAACACAACATGTAGCAAGTGAAGGATGGGAAGATTCACTGCAGAAAATTCTTGTACAACATTCCCATGAAGAGGATGACGATGAATATGTTGAAACAAATCAACTTACCTGATATGAGTTTGATCATCTAATTTCCGCAACTTATCATCTGGCCACTGAAAGATGTGGAGAAACACAACACTCAGATATTTGAACCCTTCATATATATTAAGAGATCTATTGGACAACTGTAGATCTAAAGCTGTAATTATAGTAGACACAAAAGAATATCTTGGTTTGATATGTCAAATGTCTCTATGAGAAGGAGTCAGCCTGAACATCCATGGTACTTTCCTCAAGATTTCCACATCTGCTTGACAACGGTACAAGAATCTGTATCGAAATGTCGCGCCCACTAACTATAGAAGTTGTTATCCATAAAGTTTGTCCAATATTACACAATAGGAAAAGAATACCAGTACAGATTGGACACTAGGGGTACATACTAAGCTTAAATCAACATAGATGGACAATCATAGGGATGGTTAATGAATAGGAATGTTCTGAGATATCTCAGTAAGTATCAGTGAGTGAGTGAGTTTTAGTTTTACGTCGCTTTTAGCAATATTCCAGCAATATCACGGCGGGGGTCACCAGAAATGGACTTAACACATTGTGCCCATGTGGGGAATCGAACCCGGGTTTTTGGCGTGACGAGCAAACGCCTTAACCACTAGGCTACCCTACCGCCCCCAGTAATTTTCAAACAGATATAAAATACAAATGATACCAAAATTGGCACCATGCTGACAATGAAGATAATGGCTGAATGGAGCAAACTGACCTTGAGCAGAGCACATATAAGATCCCAGTCCCAATTGGTGTTCTCCTTGGTGATGAGAACCTGCGAGTCCTTGACTGCTTGAGACAGCAGATCTTCAGACAGGTACTGTAATATACATCTCGGGTAGAATTCAAAAGAAAACAAATCAACTGTTTACATGAAGTATAACTTGATGGTCATACTGGCCACAGCATATTACGAAGTGAGCCATGTGTTAGCGTTAGAATGAGATATGGCTTGAAGCACATTAAAATAGTGACAGAAAAACGAACAGGATGTTAGTCATGAAATGTTCTCTCTTGAAAACAATGGAAACAGATACTGAAATCACATTTATACTTTCTAAAAACTGTTGTAAGTCTACCTTGGTGAAATATCTCTCAGCTAGTTTGTCCCGTCGTAGATGCCAGTGCCGTCCTATATACTCGGCAAACTTCCCAGCATGCTGCAGGAGCTGATCTAGATAGAGACTGCAAGGAACTGCCCCCCGTTTCTTCATGGCATGGAAGTGACTTAGATAGGTGACAGCTAGACTAGCTTGACTGAAATGATAATAATCAAAAGGTAATCCAGTCTGACTTAAATGAGTGAGTGCATTATCAGAGTGTATTAGCTTAATTCTGGGATTCCAAATCATGATTCTGCCTTTTAATTGGTGTTTGCTGTCAAACGCTGTAGTCAGCAATATTCCAGCTGACTGATGGCAGCCTGGAAATAATAGTCTGGACAAGAAAATCCAATCCACTTTGGACAATATTTCAGTCACATTATATGTAAGCTCAATGGGATTCCAGCACTAATATTTTGTTTGTTTGTTAACACCACGCTCAGAGATACTTCAGCCATATGACAGCATTAGGAAAACGTCAGGATGTGACAACCCAGTGATAGACATACACAGGTCCACCACTGCTCCATTGCTTAAGTCAACAGTGCTTGATAAAGGTCTTGGCATCTACCTTGAAACATCACATCTATTGCGATAATGAAGTTGTCTAACCATAAAAAGATTGTTCATCTTCATCATATAAGCTTCTCAAAGAAGTCCTTTGATCAGTAAAGTATTCCTGAAGACATCACCACCTCATTCATTCCCTTCCCACAGAGGTTACTTGTCATATCTTCCTACAAACCTCTGTTCTAATACGGCCATGTTTCCCGGTACGCTTAAAATCCCCTAGTGCCAAAAAATCACAACACGAATTATCTCCCCTCTTTCTATCCAACCAGAACACGTGTTACATCGACATAGAACCAACTTGACTAATACAAGCAAATGTGGGGCCACAAATATTATTCCTCTGCCGAGAACTTGTGTTAATGTGACACACAAGACATTTAATGGCTAGCTTGTCCGTTGTCAACAAGGGCGATGGAGACACCATTGATCCGCCATAACAAGACTGAGTTCTGTCTAGAAGAAACGTTTGCGCATTGCGCAGAAGAGGTGCTAGTTTTCCCGAAGCATACGGAAATTACCGAGGCCTTGCGAATGATCACTTTTGAAACAATCTGATTGCAACCAATCACCAATTCTGATTCTTTGAAGAAAGTCCTCCTTGAGGTATATATAAGCATTAAAATGTCCATTTTAAAATCCTACAACAGTTGTAACAATATTTTAATAAAAATATTTACAAAACAAAACCTTTTTTTGTCTTGTGAGACCACCCCTACAGGGCCCTGCAGGGCCCCCTACAGCCAAGAGCAGGTAACTCTCGCCGTCTACCTCGTACCTCATTTTTCATGCTGAACGTGATCAGAGAGAATGTGGGGAGGCGGGTGGCCGTACCCCAAGGAGGACTTTCTTCAAAGAATCAGAAACCTCTACAGGTTCAATTCTTTTTCAGAAGAAGTCCTCCTTGGGATACATCTAAGCATAAGACAGATTCCCAAAGATAGTGAGTCGGTGTGTGTGTGCCCCGAGAGTACACCATCAGCAGGTGTGCGAAAAGCAGAAATAGCTGTGGAGTAGCCTCTGATAGAAGAAGCGGCGAAGTCGGCTTCTCATCTAGATCGCCTAAAAAACCCCAATACTCTGACTAAATATGTAGAACAAGGGATCGAGAATCCCTCTGCCGACACACCTGCCCCTACACTGAACATTTGTCGAATCCTACCGCGAAGCCAGAATTTGTCTGCAACTAGTGCAGGAATTCCGCTCGCTTGGAGGCGATTCCGGACAGTGGCCATGCCACCCACGGAATGCTGGGATTCGGGTGGGGAGCTCCGCTTGAGATAGCAGTTCCGAGTTACCTGAACTCGGGGAGCATCAGGTTATGAGGTCCTTGAGGTCGAGTCTCTACAGATGAGATCTTAGTGTCTCCATCTTTAAAGACGGAACCTCTATCATGTCGTTCAGCCCTTAAGATTAGTATAGGTCTGAACTCTCCATCCGTCTTGGTACCCAGGAAATAGGTGGAGTAAAACCCGCAATTTCCTGCCCCATAGGAACACCTGGATGGTAGTCTCATCCATCAACGACTGGAATTCTTACAGAGTGTAACAGAACCCAGGGATTTGCTGTGACTTTCTCCCGCTCCCTTAGGAATATGGAAAGTCGAGCGGGCAGAAGGCAGTGGCTCCAGACGCCGGGCAGAAGGCAGTGGATCCAAACGGTCAGCAGTGTGTCGACTGCTTGCGCTGAGTCCCCTGTGGGACAGCTTGAGAATTGGAGTCCTTGAAGGTGCCGACTGCCTCCGCGGCTTCCCGTACAACTGTCAGTGCCCCGGAAACAGGGTAGAACCCATCCAGTAAAGCAGTGACATGAGCGCCTGTTGAGTAACCAGCGAAAACTGAGCAACAGTCAGCCCGAGTCGGCGCTCATTATCTGGCTAACACATAACCTGATAGCACCATGCACCAGATGTGAGTGGACATCCGTCAGTTGCCACGCTGGTGTGGCATATGACGTTTCATTCGGTGGGCAGTGACATGAGCGCCTGTTGCGTAACCAGAGAAAATTGAGCAACAGGGTTGCAGCCAGAGTCGGCGCTCATCCTTGCCTAGCCGAAACCAGGAAGTGCCCCGACGAACCCCTGCATAGGGTGACCGCATAGATGCAGTCAACTACCATGGGGGTCTGTACAACCCCTCCCCGATCAGGTACCGGCAATTGAGCTCTGGGAGGTCAAATCGTGTCTGAATACTTAAGAGGAGAGGGATAACCATCTAACCCAAGCGAAAGTAAGATGTGGAGCCACCTTACCCGGAGCAAACGCTTGGTTGGGGCCGACCACATGAGGCAGAATGGTGGCGATCCTTATGCGCACCTGCTACAGGGACGAACTGAGTGGGAACCCAGACTGCACACGAGGCGCCGAGGTGCTCCCGAGCAGTGCAGCACTAGGGCGCCTGTCAGTCGGGGCACCAGGCGAACTCAGGTCGAGACCCGAGTCGCCGGTGCCGGGAACCTGTGCCAGGCCTGAACTAGAGGCCAGGCCGACACGAGGTCCCCTGACAACCCATCACCGGAGCCCAAGCTCAGATCAGAGCGCCCAGGGGAGGAGCGATCCCTGAGCCTAGGCTCGGATCACATCCAACCCCCACAGATGCATCCGATCCACCCCTGACGACAGGCATGGGGGCTGAGCTGCTCGTGGAGTCCAGACATCACACTGTCTATCAAGGATTCACAGACCACATCTGTTGCTGCAACAAATCAACCTACACCTGCAGCAAGTTGATAAAAAACACCTACAGGTATGCTTGCTTATTTGCGCCTTTGGTGTAAAAGCTAGATGGATAGCGCACCCCTGATCGTCATGCACTTCCTTCACAAGACAACTCAAACAGACCAAGTGGCAGTAACAAACGTTACAAATAACGCAGTGTTCAAGCAGCAACAAACAGAACCATGCCATTTTACTAGAAGGTAGCTGTTGACGGGGTATGCATATATACACTAGCAAACAGCAAAAACACAGCACACGGGCAATATTAAATGCTAATAGCCAAAGCAATTTAATCAACTAAACACACTAACATTTAAAGCAGAATAAGTGCTATGCTATTTAGCCTGCATATAGAGAATGAGCAAAACAAAGGTGATACGAAACGACCACGATTATGAACTCACTCGACTTACCGTAATTTCGCTGAAAACGAGAATATTAGGGCAAGCCTACTATATAATAAAAAAAAAATACATAGAAACTCCTGACCATAGAGTAAGCCTAGCGCTAACAATAATAAAGGAAGAGAGAAGAAGCGTGTGGTCCACCATCTTGCCTGTCACATGGCAGGAAAACAGGCGACCCACCAGCAAAGTTACAATTCATAAATGAAAATACAGTTGAGCACCGTTGTCTCAATATTCATGGGACCAAGAAAAAATATCGAGTTATCCGAACTTCGAGACATCCGACCAGGGCATATCATTACATATCACTATAAAAGAAAACAAAACAAAAAGTAGATTTTATGTATATTTATTTGTATATACATTTTTATTCACAGGGATCGCAATCACACATGATACAGTTCAAGTTACAGTGACCGGCCATCTTGAATGATACAAAAGTTGGGTTTATTCAACAATCGAAACAACTCAACAATCACAGGCTAGTCACGTGATTACACAAAACCCTCATTGGATTCTCAGTATGTTTTGATTCGAAACTATAATCTGTTACCAGTAATGTTTAGACGTAACAGTGGGTACTTCCTAATTACTTCCTACTGAATTAATCCTAATTATATAACAAACAAGTGACACCTTCAACTCAATTAGCCCTAATTAGTTTACACTACCTCGTCACTTTGATTCATGCCGCACCGTGTGTAAACGTGTGGAAACAACCTTAGGTCAGAGGGATACTTGCCCATGAAAGGTAGGTGAATATCAAGTTTCTTTGCAAATATCGACTTAAAAGGGTAATTTTCCTTGTTGGGACCATGAAATTATATCGAGATATCCGAAATATCGAGACATCCGTATTGAGTTAAAAGAGTTTGAATAGTGATAAATTATGAAGGATTTTGCAGGGACCGAGATGTTATATCGAGACAACCGAGATATCGAGTTATCAGAGTTCGACACAACGGTGCTCGACTGTACCTACATATGAATTCCATCTAAAGCCCGGGCGTAAACAAAAGAAACCATACATACAGTATTTGATTCTTATCACTCATGTTGGTAGGGACAAGGAAAGATTCCTGAGAATGAACAAACGCATGTCCTTCCTGAGAAACGACAGCATGAAAAGTAAGGCACGAGGTAGACGACGAGAGTTACCTGCTCTTGCGGGGCCCTGTAGGGGTGGTCTCGCAAGACAAAAACAAGTTTTTGTTTTGTAAATATTTTTATTAAAATATTTTTACAACTGTCGTAGGATTTTAAATGGACATTTTAATGCTTATATGTACCCCAAGGAGGACTTCTTCTGAAAAAGAATCACTAAATCATGTCATTGTTACTTACTGTCTTTTGGCAAGGGGAACATCATAGGATGATGCCATGGAAATGAGAGAGGGCAGACATTGGCTGTGGTTACTGCATTCTGTTGGAAGTAGCTGGTTTGCCTGGAAATGGCAAACATTAATAGGATAATGTAATAGCTCTGAATCCACATTGTGGAGAATATTCAAAGTGAGGACAATAATGTTGGTATTACAAATGTTGAAAGTTATGCAAGTGAGTGCATGGTAATTGAATGTCACTTACATGAGGGTGTGGTCGAAGCAAGCCCTCTGATTGGTCACATTCTTTGTAAATTCGCTGGAATTTTTCTTTTCATCGACTGCTTAATGTAAGAATATTTTTCAAGCAATGTCTTCTCAAAAGAAAGTATCAGTTGTAAATGTCTCCTTAACAAGCATCAACCAACCAGAGGGCTTGCTTCAACCACACACCCATTTTGTCGGACATATCGTCATCCATTTGTGTCAAGATCGTTTAGTTGAGGGTCAAAATTGGGTTTCAATCGACTTGCAGAAATAACAATAAAGAATTGGTAGGTGTCATGAGTGGTGATCGATAGGCCAATCATCCATGATTATGTTTACATTAAGTCTTAATCGATGGTAGTGTAGCGATCGGCAAAGCAGGCGGGTGTGGTACACCAAATTGTCCGGCCTTGTCATAATGTAATGTACTGTACAGCATTTTGAGTCGGGGGTCATTTCAAAATTTTTATATTTTTTTTCAAAATCTTTAATCCTCGCAAAGACACGAGGGCCTGTGGTCTCACTGGGTGTAAAAAGTGCCTGTGTTTCTGCAGACCTCATAATCACACTAAGCAGCTGTACTTACCATATGCAAGAGTTCCCCGACTAGAATCACTCCTCGTATGAACAGAGGTCCCTCACTGCTGCAGATCACCTCCACGAGTGCCTGGTACAACAACCACATTTTCAGCAACAACTTTCAACTTTATCATCAGAAGTGTACATTATGTTGTGCCATAACAGCATCAGAAGTTTTATGTGATTTGTTTTTGCCATTAGAATTATTATTTTCTTTATCATCCCTTTGAGGTGAGGCAGAATCAGGATTTATGTCATGTTCCATATTATTCCACTTATACAGAAACAGTTTGTGCATTTACGTGGGGTGCTGCTTGTACTAGTATTAATAATGCTAGCCCACTCAGATCACATGGATATCCCACTCATACACAGTACACAGACTCTAACCCAAGCAGTGCTTGTCAGCATTAGCTTATCAACTGATCCCTACCTCCAGGATTCCTGCATGGATCCAAGCACATAGGATCAAGGCAAGATGGTTTTCCACCAGATTGGGTCTGGAATATGAAAACGAGAACTCTTCAATCTACTGTCAATTGACAGAAAGTTCAATACTTTTAACATTAAGCTGTTTAAACTCACCTTGAACAGTATTTCAGCTATATCACAGCATTAGTGTGGAAACCCTTACAACCAACTATAGCTCCTTAGACGTCTAGACTGTGAAAACCACAGCTTAATGAGAAAGAGACATTTACACTATCACACCCATTTCCATGTATACCGATTAAAAATTTAGCATAGTTGATTTCTTTATCACAAATACATGACAGATTAAGGACAAATGATCTTTCATATTACTTCAGTTAATCTCTTTTCAGTAGGACTGACTGACTGACTGAGTTTGGTTTTACGCCGCTTTTAGCAATATTCCAGCAATATCACGGCGGGGGACACTAGAAATGGGCTTCACTCATTGTACCCATGTGGGGATTCGAACCCGGGTCTTCGGCGTGACGAGCCAACGCTTTAACCACTAGACTACCCCACCGCCCCTTTCAGTAGGACATGTAAGCAGTAACTGATTCACACAGGACACATCTAGTGCTGAACAGCTCAGTACAATACCTTGTCTTTGCCATGTGAGGGAGGACAGTCCGGCCTTCCTCTGCCACGAACCCTTCCGTCAGTCTCCAGCTATCTTGCATCTCACTAGGGTCTGAAAGTTACATCATTTAGACACAATGAAGTCATTGTCAAGAGCTTTGTTCAGATTACACACATTTTTTCTTTCTTCATTTTCTCAAAAGATGAGCAAGCTCAGCATTCAGTAAATTATCAATTTGGGGCCAGACAATCTAGTAATTAATATTATGAGCAGGCGTCCACAGAGTTGGGATACAACTAAAGAGGGAAATATGGGTATGATATAATGATGCATGGTCGAGTTCTGCATAACACTTCTTAAGCCAGTTAATCAGGGCAACATTTTATTTAAATATTTTGACTCAGTCTAACATACGAAATCAGATACAGACAAGAGGTATTGATTTCCTTGGATATTCTTAAGGAAGAGAGTTTTATGGATGTCAAGTTCTTTATTATGAGGAACACGTTTCGGAGTATATCCTTACTCCTTCATCAGGTGAATGAAAGCTATGAGGCAGAGAGAATATATAAGAACATGTAAGAACAACAAAAGTAATAAGACAACAAAGATGGAGGCTAAACAATGAAAGTCAACAGTGAACTGGCATTGAGCTGTGATTGGCAAAGGACAAATGGAAGCCAACACCTAACAGTTAATTAGCACTAGAGCAATATACTATGAAACGTGTTCCTCATAATAAAGAAGCTGACATCCATAAAACTTTCTTCCTTATTTATATCACTTCTAAATGCCATTCAAAGACTTGTACATTTTTACAGGTAAAAGTAACAGATTCTTGCAGTCAATAACAATGTCTGTTAGTAGTTTGTTTGTTGAGTAGTAGTAGTACTAGTAGTACATACAGGTTGGGTAATGGTAAATAATACGGATGATTATATTGTTTATATTTGTTATGATGATTCAATATAGATTCTGTCACCATAGTGAAGAATTGTTTATTAATGTGATACAGCATCACTTACCAACACTGACAAGAGCAGTAGCAAAGTCAAAGTCGCAGTTATAAGTCCGTCCACTGGGGCAATGTCAGCTTCCGTAAAACAGGTCAAATATCAACTCCAGGATACTTTTCTGCAAAAAAAAGAGATTCAGAAAAACAGAGTTGAATAAAACATCAGAACATGTAACAAACTCATTCAAGCAACTGCGTTTGACCATCCAAATCATAATAGTCTACTCTTACCATGCTTACATGTCACACTAACAGCCAAGTGGGAGCAAAGCCTGACCATCAGACCCATTAAGTCACCTCTTACTGCCGGCATACAATGCTAGTTACAAAATCTAACTGGAATCGACACAGGTTCACCATTAAATCACCACCTACAATTATCAAATGCGGGATGCAGGGCACACATTCTAACCCATGTCTCACAATGTCAACTCATGAGAAGCATATCTAATGGTGGATTTCTCCAGGGTTCCTGTTCTCCTGGTTCAATCTAGTGATGTTAAACAGCTGTTGCTCACTGAATCTTACCCTGATTTCCGCATACGGTAGGTACAAAATCCCTATTAGAGACTGGAGGCCGGAACCCTCTGGGTGACACAGGCGGATGAGACCTGCACACAAAAACATGATAGCTCAGTAATCATAAACAAACGCAAACACTATCATTAAAACACAGCTGAAATGAGGCTGACCTTCAAGTACCCCACATTTTTTTCTAAGTTTCAGTATAATGTACCAGTTGTGTTTAGATTTGCTGGAGTGAGTGAGTGATTGGTTTTTACTTCTACATGGTTGCTAAGGACATTTCTCACTTACTTTCATGTAACTATGTGCACACTTATACACAGTGAAACCCTGTTAATCCAGATGTACATCGATGCTCATGATGTTGATCACTGGATTGTCTGGTCCAGACTCGATTATGGGACTGTTTAGTTATGACCCATTAACATTTTTAAACAAATGTAAATGTAAACGATTTAAACAATGGGGTCCTAATTAGACAGGGTCCAGACTAACAGGGTTCCACTGTGCATGGTTTGTGGCTACACTGCCTTCTGACCTGGCCATGACCTGATGACAGTGATAAGAGCCATCCTGCTGGCACTAAACCTGGCCTCTTGGCTGTCACTGAAACAACAGACAGCTCATCATTATACAGAATGTAGGATAAGATGGTCCATCAAACTCTACCACTTGATGAGTTAAAAACACATTGAGAAAGAGAGAGAGAGAGAGAAAGAGAGAGAGAGAGAGATGCAGAGAGAGTGAAAGAGAGAGAGAGAGAGAGAGAGAGAGAGTGAGAGAGAGAGAGTTACTGGAGAGCGAGACAGAGAGACAATATTTAACGCCACAGCCATCAGATCGTGACGAGAGAGAGAGAGAGTGAGTGAGACGAGAGAGAGAGAGAGAGAGAGAGAGTGAGAGAGAGAGAGAGAGAGAGAGAGTGTTTGAGTGAGTTCAAATAGAACAAAAAGCTTTTGTGTCATTTGTTACATCAAAAATACAACATGTTCACAGGCTCGTCTAATACCGAGAAACTTACATCATAAACATACAAGGTATTACAAAGTACCATGATACATATGACATGAACATTTCACTGACAGGACACTCACTGATGGGAATGTTCTGATTCTCCGCTGTATTTGAAGTGACAGTCTGTGAAAGGTGCCAAGAGTTGCTGAAATACAGTAAGTATGAAAACTGCAAACAATAGTCACTGAATAACATCTGTTGCAAAGTTACTGGGTATCAGCAAAATAAATGCAAAAACTTCCAGTCTGTGACTTTCTACCAACATTTCCTGGCCAAATATTGGCCTCTGAAACACGCATATAAATCATGTAACACACAAGGGAGATAATTCAAAGGCAGTACTACTTATCCATGGAATTATCTCCCTTGATCATCAAACCTTCTGAATGCTATTTAATAAAAGAATTTTGATTATTTCTTTGTTTAACGTCACATACAGCAATAAGTCAGTGAGCATTATAAGTTGATCTGGTTTTTCACCTTACAACAAAAATGGGTTGCTGAAGACCAATTCCAACCCTGATCTTTGATGGTAATGTAAGTATGGACTGGTGATATTTCCCTGCAGACTACTATTAGGTAGACAACAACTCTCTGGGACATGGACTTTAAAAGAAGAAAACATTTCTATCCCTGAGCAATTGGTTTCTGGTAACCTATTCTCAGGATCTTACAATTTGAGAACATAAATGTGAGTGGCACACTGAGTGGCTCACCTCCAAGTCGGTGTTGGCCTTGATGTAGCGTCGAGTCCGTGGATGGTTTAAGAGGTACAACACAGTAGAGACTAGTGACTCGTTGAGACGAGGGTATTGGTGACATGCCAATATGTTCCTGAGAATTGAACTCACTCCACCACATTTGAACAACACACTGGTATTGTGAAAAGCTGAAATAGCAAAGAAACCTCATATAGGTTCTAGTACCATAAAATGTCTACAATCACAAAGGCAGATACTATCTTATCAGGCAGGTAAATGACAGCACATTACCCTAAATGTCATGCCGAATCCTGGTTTTATCTGATTATTACTAAAAGCATTGTCTGATGTTAGAGTGTTACACTGAAGTATGTTTGTTTCAGCTTGTAAATCACCAGTATGGTCTGAGTTGAAATCATGTCCTACAAACAACATTAATGTCTCCTGGAATCAAACATGGCCATGATTTATCACATTCCTCCATGGTCACTTAAATGTAAAGAGACTTTATAATGAAAAATTAAAAAGAATAAGTTGAAAGCCTTAAGTCATGGTAACTACAACTTCTAAAATGCCACATAATTTTATATTACTATTATGGGATATTTACATAGCGCACATATCCACGCATTAGTGCATGCTCAAGGCGCTGGTATTTTTTCCCTCGATCTTTGGATGTCAATCTCAACAGCACATCTTATTATCAATCTCAACTCCCTGGGGATCATAAAACTCTTGCTGCCACAAGGCACACTGAGTTATTGAGGCTCGGTAAAGGTAATACACCATTTTATCTGTTACCTTCAGCTGCAGTACAATGCATGATCACAGTAAACTGTAAACAACAGGCCCTCACAAAACAGTGGTCAACACAATGAGGAACTATCCATGTCATCAGATGCCATGACAAACAATCGAAGAAGTGATCCAGTCTAATCTGTATCAACTGCACACAATCCCCATCTAAACTGGTTCGTCTGAATTAAAAGGGACCTATAATGACTATGGGTTCAACGTTATATAAGATTTCGTGTTTAGTTTGAAAAGTGGTCAAAGTTTCATGGTGACCTTGAAGATAAGGTCAAGGTCACCCAAATTGACTGGTGTCTGCGTAATCCCCCAATGGTGGCGCGGTTGGCAGAGCTGGCTCAGGCGCCAGGCTACTGATCCAGCGAGGTTGAGGTGTTGGGATCGAGCCCACCTGTGACTGTGTGTAAAAACCTTGGCGTCAACTTTGTGTGCAGACTCTTTCCGTGTTGTCACAACCTCTAGATGTATACTCCCCAGGGATTTGAGATTGATAATACGATGTGCCGTTGAGATTGACATCCAATGATCGTGAAAAAAAAAAAATACCAGCACCTTGAGCATGCACTAGTTGCGTGGATATGTGCGCTATATAAATATCCTATAATGTAGGCTGTCACCAAATTTGAAGACATTGGGTACAACAGTGCATGAGACATCACATTAACAAGAGTTTGTAAAGTGGTCAAAGAATCACGATGGCCTTGAATATAAGATCAAGGTCATCCAAATTGACTGGTGTCTTTGTAATCATCTAATGTAGGCGGTCACCAAATTGGAAGACATTGGGTGCAGCAGTTTATGAGATATCGTGTTAACAAGAATCAGGACGTACGGACGGACAGGCACGTGGACGCTGCTGAATACATAGTCCCCCGTTCCTCGTTGCTGTGAGGGACAATTAATCCACATTACCAGTGAAAGTGAAAGCTAGTATGCTAGTCTGACATACCTATTTCACACACACTAGCCAGACACACACGCAGCAGTCGATCACGCTCGCTGGCCCCATCGTTGGCGACGGCTATAAGTGGATACAGCAAGGAAGGACAGAGCTTCTTGGGGGACAGCTGACAGATGTTTCGGATCAACTTGATGGCATGGACACGCTCTATCTCATTGTCCATACAAATGTCTAAAGATCTGAAAATTGGTCACATAAAATAAATTACATCAAACATCCAAATTCCATACATCACACGAAGTACTCTATACTGCTGACATTACTGAAGTCCACCAGACCAACTTGTCTTCTGGGAACATTAACAGATTTAGGTGAAAAGATCAAAAACATTTTTAGGTTTATTTTTCTAGATTGAAACAAGGTTATGGCAAGTGTCAACACCTATGGCCTCTCCACAAAAATCAAGATGTGCAACTATGCAACTACCCAGACCAGATAAATAAGACTGACTGACTGACTGAGTTTAGTTTTACGCCGCTTTTAGCAATATTCTAGCAATATCACGCCGGGGGACACCAGAAATGGGCTTAACACATTGTGCCCATGTGGGGAATCGAACCCGGGTCTTCGGGGATGACGAGACAACGCTTTAAACACTAGGCTACCCCACCGCCCCAGATAAATAAGAGAGAACATAAAGAATGTCACTTGTCAGCAACAGGTGTCATGTTCAAGGGTGGAAATAACTCATTGCCCGACGCCCGAGTCCAGTGTGTTTTCCAGCCGGGCAAGCAAATTTGTATATCACGCTGTACCAATGTCCAGTTGACTTTCCAATGTTAATTATGTTGTTTATTTAAACAATCAACAAGAAAATCGGCCGGTATAGAGGAAAAATTATCAGGGCAAGTGATTTTACATGTGCCACTGTATCGGTGTACACTAGCAATTTTAAAGTTATTTCCACCCCTGATGTTTATGGTTCGTCAGGAGACTAGATAGACCCGATATAAAGGCAGTGTCTGAAACATATAGACTGTTAATTTCGGCAACAGGTGTCAGAGCAGAAAGGTGTCTAGAACACATGGAATATCAATAGTTGGCAACAAGTGTCATGTTTACTGTTCCATCTTGAGGCTAAATAGACCAGATATAAAGGCAGTGTCTGGAACATACAGCATGTCAACAGTGGGCAACAGGTGTCCATCTACTAATGATTCCATCTGGAGAAAAGATAAGGTTGTGACTAGATAACGTCTAGCCTAGATGTAAAGGCAGTGTTGAGAAAGTCATTGTTCAGCAACATGCATCACCTAGTAACTAAACAGAACAGAAAATAGCAGTGACTGGAAGTTAGTGCAACAGTATAGAATGCCGATGGTTGGCAACAAGTGTCATGTCTAAGGTCTCATCTAGCAACAAGATAGTCTAGATGCAAAGACAAGGCAGTGTCTAGAATGTTGCTGATTGACAACATGTGACATGTCTAAGGTCTCGTCTAGCAACAAGATAGTCTAGATGTAAAGACAAGGCAGTGTCTAGAATGTTGCTGATTGGCAACAAGTGACATGTCTAAGGTCTTACCTAGCAATAAGATAGTCTAGATGTAAAGACAAGGCAGTGTCTAGAATGTCATTGATTGGCAACAGGTGCCGAAGTACTCTCAAGGTGGCTGCTCGTACTTCCTTAGCTTCATGCAAAAGTCCAACTCGCAAACTGAAAATGCAACAAAAAGCATGTGACAAATGGAACAAGACTGCAAAACTGCCCTTTAGGTTCTCTGGATAGAATTGCTTGCCAATAGGCATGACATACTTGACACGCCACTGTGACATAATGGAATACCCTGGATTGCAGCGTTTAACATGATTCTCTTCTCACTCAAGACTCAAATATGAATGAGTTCAGTTCAGTGCCTCAGTATTCCAGGGATATCATGATGTGTCGACCCGTGAGGGTCTGGGTTAGAATTGATCTTCAGTAACCAATGTTTGTTGTACAAGGCGACTAACGGGATAGGGTGGTCAGGCTCGCTGACTGGGTAGACACATGCCATCGTATTCCAATTTGCGTAGATCGATGTTAATACTGTCGATCCCTGGATTGTCTGGTTTACAGACCACTGTCGATCCCTGGATTGTCTGGTTTACAGACCACCGCAATGTTGCTGGAATATTGCTGAGTGCCGCGTAAAACTAAACTCACTTACTCACTCATGATGTGTCAGGCTGTTGTTGGAGGAAACACAGAAATTTCTGGTCTTTCATGTTACAACTCTGGTAAGACTGGTGCTGGCAAACCTAGACTATTACTGGGGAGCACTAGCAATCAAACCCAGTCATAGATTTATTGTCTATCCCAGAGTTGCAACTCTGCACAGCAAAATGGATCCTTATAATCAACTTACCAAATAAGAATATCTCTGCTTTTGAGGCCCAGGCCTTTTCCTTTCCCATACTTGTGTATGAGTTTGACAAAACAGTTCAAGTAGCCCAGCTTCTTCCCTTTGCTGACATTGTTTTGCTGAACAATGTGACGAAGTATTTCTTTTACGTTATCCGACACATCTGGAAGACGTAGCAGCACAGATTACAGAATAAATACATAATAGATCTACATTTTAATATTTGCAAGTTAATAATACGTGCCTTCAATATGGCTATCACCCTTGCCTTACCAATGTGATGCAAAGATACAAAAAAATGTCCTTCGTATCCTGTAATTTTGCACTGGATAAAATGTGGATATGAAACATCACTCTGAACGCTATTCAGTTGCTCAACATATGTCAGCACACTTTAAGGGATGAAACCAGACATATCCCATTCACAATGTGTGACTTAAATTCTATTATGATTATGAATAACACAAAAGATTCTACACAACACTTACATCATTTCATATGTATTTCAGTCAGTGTGTATATGTTTAAAAACAAATAATTTCTAAGTGTTCTTTTGCCATGTTTACGTAAACAAATGGTTATGTTATTATTCAACCATGTCAACACTGATTGTTCAGGCAGTACACATACCAACACTCCAATGTACTTACAATATGAACAGATCTAATAAATCCCAAATACATTACCATTGTTCAGTGTTTGAAATTATACATAGAAGTTGTTCAAGATCATGCATGGAAGTTGTTCTTGCCATATCGATAATAAAAAGAAACTTTACAGTGCCACTACCAGGCCAAAGCAGGCATATTCTGATTGCTTTTAATTTCTTACACTGAAATCATCTCATAGCTATCAGCAGACACATGATGCATGCATAACCTTAACTTATTGTGATATATTCTGGGCAGAAACAAACGAAGAGGAAAGCATGGATTAATGTAGGTGACCTCAATACGTCAATATCTTGACCTAGTCTTAAAAATATAATTTTAACAAAATGGAGAAGCAACAATATCATCTAGGTTATTGCACTTAATACTAATGAATAAATGTGCATTTTAAATTGGTTGTATTTTAAGTTTAGTTGTATTTCACAGATCACAGGTTGCCAGTCACTGGAATCACCAGTTCAGCCTCAATTATTGACGAACTACTGTCATATAGCTGCAGAATTTATTGCAGAACATACTGAATGTACAGTTGAAGAACAACTTTCCATGTAAAGTTCACTTTACCAACAGAAACTAAACTGAAGGCAATTAATGAGGCACCATTTTTTCCTGTCCAGTACCCAGATGCTAGTAAAATGCACCCAGTAAACCAGTCATGTGAATCATGATTAGGGAAGTAGGAACCTTTTTGAAGTATCCAAACCAAAGGTCATCTTGAAAGGGAAAAACATTGTCTTGCTGCTTATTTTTTGCTATATCTCATACCACAAAACTGAGTGCAGGAATGAAACTTTTTTTAAAATAACTTTTTAGATAAAACTCAATCACAGCATGTGTGTGAACAACATCATAAACATATTGTTTTCCAATGTATGTGTTTTTTCTCCAAAACAAAATACTGAAAACATGACAATGCAATGATATTTTCCTGTGACAGAGGTCAGTAATAATATCAAGACAATGCTTTCATTCATTCTTTACTTCCACAATGTTAGGACCAGGAATGAGACCCAATTGATGCAATTTTGAGAAATGTGTCAATTCAACTAGCCTAAGATTTGGGGCCAAAAGTTATTACGATTTCCATACATTAAACTAAAGCTGTGTTTTGTGTGTGATAAGGTACCAAGTTTTCTGCTGATTCAATCAACACACATTACCTAAGTTGTAACTAATGCAAGTAGCTTGGTGTAACCATACAGAGGGGGCGTGGTGGGCGAGCTGGCTAAGGCGCCCGGCTAGTGATCCAGAGAGCTTGAGGTGACAGGATCAAGCCCACCTGTGACCGGGTGGAGTCAACTTTGTGTGCAGACTCTTTCACTGTTGTCACAACCCCTAGTGTACAGGACACAACCCTGTGCACTTTAAAGAACCCACGAATCTGTTGGTATATGACCAGATGGTGGCCACATGAATACGTGCAAACACCTAGTTGCAGGTACAGCAGCGTGTTGTAAACTTGGACAAAGTACTGTGACTATGTGTCCCAGTCCATCCAGCTGTGAATGGGTACCTCGTTACCTCGGTGCACCTAGTGGTTGCAAGAGTTGTATGATCCCGAGAGAGTTGAGATTGATAATAGGACGTGACGTTAAGATTGACATCCAGTGATCGAGGGGAAAAACAAAGAGCCTTTGAGCAGCTGAGCTGGATATCTGCACTACACAAATGTTAGTATGTATGTATATGGATGCAATACTTATGATTGGATAAAAAATATAACTGGTGGTTTGTTAAGTCATAATAAGTATTACCATGACCTGACAAAATGATCATTTGTTTTCAGCATCTGAAAATAGCTTTGATCGTATTTGGACTAACTTGATTTGTTGCAATCACCATAATATTAAGTAACTGCTGTCAAACTGTGTGTGGATGTTTCCATAAGTCTACCATGAACATGATGAAGTAAGCGAGGTACATTGCTGCTGATGAAGTAATTGCTAATTTTGTTTCATTATACCATTACCACTTTTCAGATGTGTTTGAAATTATCAATAACAATTCATCAACACAGGACTTCACTGTGTCATGTGTACAGCAATATGTAACAACTGTTGTTATCATAGTCATGCTATGGCAAGAAAGATCTCAGCAAGTTAAATGATTTTTGCTCATTAGAATAATTGAATATTAACCCAAGATTTCTCACTGATGGAGGTTATCTCTTGGGGCTGAAGAAGAGTGATAAGGCTTGAACCAACTGTCTGACATATCATAATAATCATGATTTTCTCTTGGTTTTTTTCAAACAAACTGAAGGATGCACATAAACGTAACAGTTATGTGGACCCTACTTCCACAGAGACTACATTTTTGTGTCAACCGTAAATGACAAATGCAGTCTCAAGAGATAGACACCAAACCATAGTGCATTGTTATTCATATTTACGTATTCCGATATGGTTAGAATTGCGATGAGCTGTTATGATGTCATATCTTATCTACTTCAGCCAATATTACGGTTATACACCACCCGTTTACTTGGGTTTTTTTTGTTTCAGACAATCCCATTGTTGCATTAGAAACAACACCTTTTGTACTGTGTTGAATATATCTACACTAAAAACATTGTCATGGTTATTCAGATGACATTTCGGGTAGGGAAGTCAAAACTGCCAACCTTTACTCCAATCCAACCTCACTGTTTCTTCACTGCCGCTCTCGTGCCGAGCTGAAAAATGAATGCATACATGTAAAACCACTCCTACAGTAAATGCGATGTTTAAAAAAACAAGTCAATATACTGAATAGTACACAATTACCTCGAAATCGGCCACTTCGAATATTACGGCCAGGGCGAACCATCGAGGCCGCCATATTGGTGGCTCCCAAAATGACGATTTTTTGGAAAGTCGCAAAATTGAAAGCCCTATTATGTTAACCTTTCACGTTGACAGCAATACATCCGATTTTTATATCGATGTTACAAGCAATGTTTATGTTATTTGGGTAAAAAATAGTATTTTTATGTCGTAAATGATGCCGACTCGTTAACGACAATCATGGCTGACTTGGGGAACATGGTCTTTCTAGCTGCTTTCACCTGTTTTTTGTTTCTGGCTCATGGGTTTGCAACTAAACATTCTTCTTGTTGTTTTTTTTTGTTTTTCTTAATGATATACTAGCATGTTTTAAATATATCCACTGATTTGTGTGTGTTGTTGTTACAATTTGATATCACTATAATTGTTTACTTTTGATGCAAACCTAACTTGGTTGAAGAGCCCGGATTTAAACCTGGAAAATGAATTCACTGAAAAGGTTCCGTAGATAGGCTGAATCATGGAGAAACCTAATTGCAAAGTTGAATCTGAAAGATGATAATTACATAATACACCTTTTCATTTTTAATAAATAATATATTGGTGAAAAAAGTTTGTAGCAGTATATGTTTTCTGCTGTGTAATTAGCAGTTGCATATGTCACATATTACCCAGGTAAATGTTCTAATGGTCTGGGGAGTGCAGGTGTAAATAGATTGAGCCTTAACATCTTTTGTTATGAATGTTCTGTTATGTTGTCAGAATTTCCACATAGCCATATATATTTGTGAGCCAACAGAAGACATAAATGGCAGACTTACTGTACAAACATATTGAAGCACCACTGAAGTGCTTGTTATTATTATTAGTGGTACATATTACCCGGACATATTACAGTTACTGCAATGTGCAATGCAGAGTTGCATGTCTTGGGCAAGCCACAAACCTATGATTTCTCAGCACCATACCTGTGCTTGTGTCAATGAAAGTGTTAGCATCTGAGACCTGTAGGGCTTGGACAGGTCCAAATTTTCTGCCCAGGTACCCCACCCCCTATTACCCTACCCTACCCGGATACCCGTTATGTTAATTCCTGGCATCAAATATGCAAGAAATGGCAATATATTCTTCAGCTCGGAGGCTAAAATGTCATGGTTTGCAATGTCTTAATCATGTATTATATTCAACATAGGTAACTCTAAATTATGTCTAAATCTTCTAAGACAATATAACCTTTTAATCATGAAAGAATAACATATTACAATGTTTAATCTGTTAGTCACATGATCTTAACAGGTCTGGGTATTGAGATGGGCTAACTCATTACCCACCCATCCCGGGTATCAGGGTTACCCGTCCCAGCCCTAGAGACCTGCATCACTTTGTGCTTTCCTTCCACAATGTTTCAGATTAGAAAACAATGCTAGAACTTCTGAAGCTGTTAATGTTGAGTACAATTTTACTCAAGTTCTTGATGGAATTCCTGGTGCTGAAGGACCGGTGTTCAACAATAGGTCGTACTTCTACATGGTTGCTCCAGAAGTTGAAAAGAATGGGAAATACGCAGGACAAGTATTAAAAGTTGACTTGGAAAAGAAACAGGTATTGTCATGGATAAGACCTTGTAGTCAAAATATTATTCTTTACTGGACATGCCAAATATACGAGCAGACAATGGTAAAACTACAGTATGATTTCCCCAACTTAACAAGCACTCGTTAGTTCATTACTTATTGGCTGAGGTGCAGATGTGCAGAATTGATTCTCTCACTTCAGATGCAAACTTACAGTGTGGGAAGTGTGCATGATATAGCATGTATATAAATATATATCATATATTAATCACTTGAATACAATTTAAGAAACAACTGCATGAATTTGTTCTCACCAGTAGTGGCAGAGCCTCTCTTTAACTATTTCAGACAAGTGTGTTTCTTGAGCCGTCTGTCAATGGCTATGGCGGAATCCCAGCTGGTATGCAGTTTGGTAAAGATGGAACTTTTCGAGTTTCTGATATGAGACTTGGAATTCTCAAAGTCACACCTGATGGTAACATGACACAGGTAAATATGTAGAACATAAATGAGAACATGATGATACTTATAATCTAGTTTGAGGATTCATGGAATCCTATTTATGTTGCTCAAGAATCTGATTGTTGTCTCTTGCAAAAATTTAAGTACTGGAGCCTCTGTAGCCTATGCTTCTTTGAGATGATTAATGTGGACCATGTGGTCATGTGAGACCAGATGATTGGATATCACCATCATGTTGCTACTTACCATGGTTACAGGTTGCTTTTATACAGCTAAAATATTGCGGATTGCGTCATTAGACAATGCCCTTCACACACACTCTTTAATTGTTATGTTGGTGGTCCAGTGGACTTTCCACTCACTCACTGACTGCCTCCGTGGTGTGGTTGTTAGAGTGTCCTCCTGGAGAGCGGAAGGTCGCAGGTTCGATCCCCAGCCGCGTCATACCGAAAGATGTTAAAATATGGTACTTGTTGGTCCCTGCCTGATGCTCGGCTTTAATTGGTACAACAAGGACTGGTCGGCTTGGAGTCAGTATAATGTGTCTGAGTGGGGTATTCATGTTTAAGTGGAGCATGGTATCTTCAGTGAGCTGGCACTATAAAAGCAGCCACACATACACATGCATGCACGTTGTCATATGAGCAAAATATTCTTAAGTACAATGTTAAACCCAATTTCACATCACATCACCTCTAACTGTTATGTGGGTTGTCCAGTGGACTTTCCACTCACTCACTCACTCACTCACTCACTCGTTCTCTCACTCACTTGTTCTCTCACTCACCATTTTACCTATATCATTTAATCTATAAATGTGGAGTAAATAGCACTGATCGATCCTGTTGCTGAAACTCTGTGTATTTCAGCTGAGTAAGAATGACAGCGAGGGACGTCCGATGCAGGGATGTAATGACTGCATATTTGACTACCAGGGGTCACTGTGGGTCACGGCGCCAGCAGGAGAGATAGCTCCAGCTCCATACACAAGGTCCTTCCAGGTGAGACGAGGGACTTTACAATTGGGATCAGGAGGTAACTTAGACTGATAGCAAATATTAACATGTGGAATTCACTATTATATTCTTTAGATGATTATGGATTTTTGGGATACCTTGATGTGACATTTTACTGTTTTAGGATCCCTTTGGCTCCGTGTACTGCATGCTTAGAAATGGGGATGTCATAAGAGTGGACACTGGGATTCGTTTCCCTAACGGTATAGCTGTGCTACACTCAGATGACGACAAACCCAGGAAACTGATTGTAGCCGAGACCCCAACAAAACTGCTGTGGGGATACGACATCATCGAGCCCTGGAAAGGTTGCCAACAAGACAGTATGGGGGAGACTCCCTGGTAAGAAAGTGTTACCCTGAAATGTTTCACATTTTCACTGTTTTCCTATGAAACAAAATATGTTATAAGAAGGAATTCTTTTTATATTGCTAAGTTAAATTGTGTTTACATAAAGTTATTAAAAACTTTAAATGTATCATTATAAGCATTTTCAGACATGTTCATTTCACTAAAAAAACTGATCATTTATGTTCCTTTTGCTTTACCAAATATAGCAGCATGGGTCATTTTTTTTTAGATGACTTTCATTTTTCAAACTTTACGAAAATGTTTTTCCTGCTCTGATATCCATCTCACATGGTAGGGTGGGATAGCCAGGAGGTTAGAGCGTCTGTTTGTCACACTGAAGACCTGGGTTCGATTCCCCACATGGGTACAATGTGTGAAGCCCATTTCTGGTGTCCCATGCTGTGATGTTGCTGGAATATTGCTAAAATTGTTGTATAAACCATACTCACTCACTCACTCCATCTCACATGAAAAACGTCTGAGTCTGTGGCATGAAACAGCATTAACTCACTCTGTGCTATTTATGTGGTGAGGCATGAGGGTGGAGCTGATGGGATGGACTTTGACTCCAGGATAACAATCTCCTGGTTGCGACTGGGGCAGTGGATACATAGAAGTGTTCTGTCGAGGAGGGTGGATTTGCCACAGAAACGCATCAAGTGTCCTTTCTCCAAAGTCAGCAATATTTCATGTATAGAGTGTATTATACCGGCACGTGTGTCATACCGTATATGTTACAGGGAATGTGTGAAACCAGGGATTTCATGTAATCCCTAAAAGAGTCAGTGATTTTGTGAAATCTCTGTGACCCCCAGGGATTTCAAGGGATCTCATGTAAGTACTGAAATATTGGCTCAGTGATTTCATATGAAACCCCTGGAGCCTTTATTGAAATAGAAAACACCAAATTTATGTTGCGAATACAGAGTATATGCTGATAATATTCATCTATTTGGACAAGATAGACTGTTATGACAGCGGCTATTACACTTCAGTCCCATTTTAAAACATTTACAACGTCTCGATTTACACTGGTTACGACCACAATATTACATTTCTGGAAACCCTGACCACCACAATTCGACTCGGAAATCACAGCAGTCCAGAGAGATACTTCTTCGTCCATTGTCACAACATTCGCAGAGAGTGAACAAACCTTTGAGGATACCGGATTTCACGCCTTTAACAATAACAACACCAATATATAAACCACTCCCAGGTAATGGCTCTGGATCAGTGTCCATTTAAGTTGCAAACGTTACTTTCACACATTCACTGATAACCTAACAGGAGTGTTAATGTAACACCATGAACATCAGCAATTTCATGAAATCCCTTAAAATTTTAGGGAATACACGAAATCTCTTGGGGTCACAGTGATTTCACAAAATCACTGGCTCTTTTAGGGATTTCGTGAAATTCTTGGTTTCACACATTCCCTGTAACATATATGCGTCTTTGCTCATAGTACTGATTTTACAAAAAGTAGTTTTCATTTAATTTATTTTGGACTTTCCGAACGATTACATAAATCCACTTGTTATGGTGTTTCCACGTATTGGTCTATTTTCATTAGTACAGATCTGTATAAGTGTCGTTGAGTGCAAGTTTTAACACTGCTCTTTAACAATCTCCGCATATCAGTTGTGGTCCCAGTTTAAAAACGACAACAATGGCGGAAAACCCGGAAGCAGTTGTAGTAGAGCCGCAATTTTCGAAAATTGTAGATGGCTTGTTTTCGGCAGAAGGTCCAGTGTTTGACAAAAACGGGAACTTTTCATGGTAGCTCCATGTTTTTACGCATGATACCTATGGTTATCTTATGTTGGGTTGGACTAAATTGATATTTTTAGACGTGTTAGTCCAAATATGGTTAACAGAATATAATTAACATGTTTCATGTAACGTCCAATTTCATTTAGGCATAAAATTATTGTCAAATATACATGTGTCTCTCATTTGAGTATGTCCAATTTCATTTGGATGTAACTTCAAAACTAGAGACCAGTCTGACCATGATAGTATCTGCATAATATAGGCTGACATATAATGAAGCTTTTCATTTCACTTAAACCTGGATTGTGGCAGCTCAAAACTATTCATGTTTCTCATGATCTTTTATAAATCAACAATCCATGAAAGTAAACTTATGTGACCTCATTGGCCATCTGCCACTAACAGGATTTCACTAACTTGTTTGAGTGGCATTTTAGAATTTAATACGAACATTATAGAACAATTTTTATGGATAACAACTTCTTTATTTCGATAGTGCGACTTGAGCATCGAATCGTCGCAGTCACGAAATAAAGAAGTCGTTATCCATAAAAAATGTTCTATATTGTAGGATTTCACTAACTAACCGGATTTTTGATGGCCACTTTGATCAGTTAGCATTGATGCTGATGTTGTGAGCACTGATCTTGGCCGTCAGTGCACCATGACATGCAAATCTGATCCAGTCATTTGCTGAGGACCTTTAGTAACCCTGAGGTAATCAGTGTTAATACATATGATACATTATCCTGAGTAATACTACAGATACTAACAACAACAACAATAATAATAATAGAATGTATGATGTACAATTTATGTGTTCGAACTCTGTTATCAAGAAAGTGAAAGTGTTAGAACCTGCACTGAATTGTCACTCCCACTGTGATTAACAAGCTGTTCCATAATATTCTTATTTTCCTTAATACTCCAACTTCTAAATACCTCTTAGAAATAAGATACATGTTTGTTTGTGAGTAATTGTGGTTACTGCACCTGCACCAGATCCAAACTTGAAAACATGTAAACCAGTGAGGCAGACAATCATCTTTAATTATCCAGTGTATTATATTTGAAGGCCATTTGCTTATGTACCCCAACCCAATCACTACCATAGCTATGTACTTGACCCTTCATGATTTAAACAACTCAAGCTGCCTTGTGTATTACACAGCAGAGAATTTTGTGGATGGCTTTATTTAGGATTGAGATTTTGACCAAATATGGGTACAATATTCTGGATAAGATGGATGGAATTTGGGACTGTCCTTTGCTAAAAAAGAGTGCATTTGAATTGATACAGAGAATCTAAATAGCAACTATCCAGAGGGCAAATTAGTGAACTCCATGATCTCTATGTATATATTCAAAACTAAGTGGATTCATTGTTATGGTATGATGTGGGTTCCATGATGTGATAGCAAGGAAACAGAATTCAATGGAAGCTGATGGAAGCAGAGCAACTCTTAGATGTTTAGGGTTTGAAAGAAGTCAAATACTCAGACATCTGAAACTAATGATGTGCTATGTGGACGCAGGTGTGTCGCCAGGACAGCGAGGGACGTCCGATGCAGGGATGTAATGACTGCATATTTGACTACCAGGGGTCACTGTGGGTCACAGCACCAGCAGAAGAGATAGCTCCAGCTCCATTCACAAAGTCAAAGGAGGTTTGTGTGTTGTCAAGGAACGGCTTGGGATTTATCCAGACCTTCCAATAGGCTGATATGTGGCCTTGTGTATGCAGTACATGTCAAAATAATACAAAATAATTAGATTTACATTTTTTCCAATTCTTGTTGATCTGCAAACTATTTGTGGTTTTGTTGACCTGTGAAGATCTGGGTTAGAATGGATCTTCAGTAACCCGTGCTTGTCGTAAGACTCGACTAATGGGATCGGGTGGTCAGGCTGGCGGACTTGGTTGACACATGTCATCGTATCCCAATTGCGTAGATCGATGCTCATGCTGTTGATCACTGGATTGTCCGGTCCACACTCGATTATTTACAGACCGCCCCCATATAGCTGGAATATTGCTGAGTGCGGCGTAAAACTAAACTCAGTGACTTTCTCAATGTTTTGTTCTTCAACAGTACTTGTTGCAACAGTGTTTACTAATAAGTTACCTCCCCTGTATTGCTGTATTGTTGATCTCTTCCACCATTACAGGAGCCATTTGGATCAGTGTACTGCATGCTGACAAGTGGTCAAGTTGTCCGAGTGGACACTGGTATTCGTTTTCCCAACGGCATTGCAGTTCTACATACAGATGACGGGCGTCCCAAGAAGCTGATCGTGGCAGAGACCCCCACTAAGTTGCTGTGGAGTTATGACATTGTGGAGCCAGGCAAAGTTGCCAATAAAACTATCTGGGGACGACTATCAGGTAATAGATAGTGCTGTATGTTTGGAGCTTATACATGATCAAATCTGGACCAAACAATCCAGTGACAGCAATTATGATCCTTGTCGTCAGAGTATGACACACTGTCAACCTGATGAAGATAATCTAGCTATCTGAAGCTAATCCAGACATTTGTCCATTTTTACAAAAGTTACAGATCCTGACTTAATGTATTGCTTAAATGATTCTAATTTTTGTGAATATACATCGATAACACCATATTATGTCCACAACAGAAGATTTCATTTGAACAAACTTCCTTCTATGTGAGACTCAAAAGTCAATAATCAAACAGGGTAGTTGGGTAGCCTTGTGGTCAAAGTGTTCGCTCGTCACGCTAAAGACCCAGGTTCGATTCCCCACACGGGTACAATGTGTGAAGCCCATTTCTGGTGTCCCCCACCGTGATATTGCTGGAATATTGCTAAATGCGGTGTAAAACCATACTCACTCACTCACTCATTAATGAAATCTCAGCTGGTAAATCACAGTGTTAGTAGACACAAAATCTTGCATCCAATTTGCGTAAAAGGTTGGATGAAAGTAAACTGCACTGTGAATCCTGTAGGATGCAAAGATAACATTTCAATTGTGAAATTTGTTGTGAGATTTGTGATGTCCAGTAAATGTCCGTGTTTCATTTCAAACATTTCTGTGAGTAGTGTAAGGCTTCACGAGTATTTTATTTTCAATAGGATCAAGTGTATATGAACAACCCCTTCATAATTACCCAGAGTCCTTAGGACTTACAAATAGCAAGTCCCAGGTAAACCCTGGAATATTGGAAATTTAACAAGGTCAGAATATTGCTATGCTTACCCAGCTAGTAAGAACATTATGTACAACATTTGATGGGCTGCTTTATGTCAGGTGACCACGAGGGAGGCGCAGACGGACTGGACTTCGATGCAGACAACAATCTCCTGGCGGCTCACAGGGGCGGTGGATTTATTGAAGTATTCAGCTCGCAGGGAGGCCAGCCACAGAAGAGAATCAAATGCCCGTTTATGAGAACCAGCAACCTTCATTTCAAACCAAAGTCCAACACAGTGTACGTCACAGAGCATGACAATCATGGTCTATGGGAATTCAAGTGGGAAAACCAGGGGAAACCCCAAAAATGTGAGATGTTGTTTGACTAGACAGTCAAATAGACAGGAGCTCCTAGGTTGTTGTCCATAGGTGACCAAAATAGGCCAGTAGTGTGGACATCGACTAGGATGACATCTTTCTATTGTTAACCCAAATATCACATCTATAGTGTTTAGTGGAGATGGTGCCTTATATTCATATCTTATATCCATTGCATAGCAAATACAATTGAAACCAACTGTTGTTTTTTCAGCATTAAGGGGTTTGTATTTTAATGACGCTGAACCAACTGTGATCATATAAAGAGTTTTAGAGAGTAAAATAGCTGCACCATGCCATATCACGCTTACCTCTGATAGGGAATGAAATTTTTTTAATGTGATATTTCACAATAACATGCTTAGAGAACAATGGAGAAAAACACAGTTAATTTCAGATAGTCGAATTGTTGACTTTTTCCTTATGCATGAAGAGAGTACTGTAGGTTATGTACTTCTAATAATTCACTATATGCCAAATGACATGATCAAATTGTTTTGGAGTATGGGAGTGAGACTAATTTTAGGAGGTTTCTAGCAACATTATACAGCTGTGAATATCCTGACAGTAGACTGATCATGCCATCCTTTACTTCAGCATTCCCTGACTGCAAGAAGTTGGTGCTTTCAGATATTTGATTTTCCTGCCATATGGGAACATGGTTTCTTGGATGTACAACTATGGTTGTTAAATTAAATATGTTTTATATTTATATTTCATATAATGCTTACACACTTGATCTCGTCTTAACAATGTAAAATGACATCTTTTATATCAGAATATATAGGCAACACAAAACAGACCTCTTCTTTGTGTTTTGTGTTATTACATGATCTGAAAAATCACGGCATGTTTGAACAATCTGTTTGATGTGCAAGTTTCACTTTCACTTTGACTGATTTGGTTTGTTGATGTAATCTACAAAGAATGTTAGATCTATGTAAGAACATCAAGGAAAAGCTGGCAGCTCAAAATTCAGATTGTACCAGAGGTATCATACACTAATGCAAAAAGTCACGTGGTACGTTGCCAGCACCGACAACCTGTTTAAGATGGCTGTTTGGACAGAGATCTTTTATCCTGTCTACCCCAAAATACCCATGAGCCACTTTCCAGGATTGTGTTTCTTACTTTGTGCCCCAGTCCAGGTATATGACGATGACCTGTGATTTATTGAGTCTGTGTTACAGCAATGTTGTCTGCCCTCAGAGTATGAAGACAATTAATAAACTAACTCACCAAATGTAACTGACCGGGTTTCTTCTTATGACAAGCTCAGGTTTGCAGGGGCTTTGTACTGTCTCTCGTACAACATTTGCCTCTTCTATAAATGAGGCAGACCAGTGATAGAGCAACCAATCTATACCATTGGGTGTGATGACCATCTTAGGGCATCTTCCACAAAGTGGTCTTAGGACTAAGATGACCGGCACCCCCATACTTCAACATAAAGCTATGGCAGTTGTAGCACCGCAATGAGTCCTAGTACCGACTGTTTCCAGGCAGTCCTCTTTTGATGGTAGCACACGGTATTGAGGATAACATTCTGCCCTGTAATCCCTGTGGGGATCCAGATATCCAGTTAAGATGCAATCTGACCTAATCATTAAACAAACACACCAGACTTGCCACATTTTAACAAGAAATGTATTCTATTATACACAGAATATGGCAAACATCCATCCAGAATATGTTATGTTGTCACACAGCTGTTGCAGCTATTCACAGTAGGATCTGATGATATTAACAAGACCATGGTCTACTCAAGGGCCTTTGACAGGCTTCATAGCACTCTAAAGAAATCTGGGCTTCAGCCTTTGCTCTGTCAGAACTAGCAGAGTTGAAGTCCTGTTGTGCTTTGGCTAGACCATCTCGGATAGCCTGAAAATTGATCAAGTGAAAAACTTACATGAGATACTACTACAATCCATTTTATGACTACATAAGTTTATCTCTTTTTAAAAGCAACGAGCCATGCCATTTCAGATATGCTGTTTGTGCCAAGGAAGGGCATCCACTGACAAGGTGTTGGACAGTCTCTGTAAAATCATTGCAATTATCATTATTATTATTATAATAATAACCAAACAACGTGCAATTGTCGTTACAGAAAACTGAATCACGTCAAACCGAAAGATGCAACTTTTCTGAGGTTGAAATATATTTGTGTATGATAGAAATCAGACATTTGAAGCAAATTTGAACACACGCACGCGCACACACACCACTGTAAGGAGACTTGCTGATATTTGGTCATCCTTCCTGGTAGTACGCGCGTCATCATGAGGACACACTTCCATGTATACAGCAAACATGTTCTAAGGGTTCAGTTTGCCTGTAAAACATTGCCTGCAAATATACACATATTATGTGAGGGCTACATTATACAGCACACATACAGCAGAACTTATATGTTACTGTGTTGACTCATGTTGTGACATAAAGAGACAAAGGCTATATTAGAATCCGACATATGACATTTCATGTATAGAGTGTATCATACCGGCATGTATGTCATACCGTATATGTTACAGGGAATGTGTGAAACCAGTGATTTCATGTAATCCCTAAAAGAGTCAGTGATTTTGTTAAATCTCTGTGACCCCCAGGGATTTCATGTATTCCCTAAAATTTCAAGGGATCTCGTGATTTTTACTGATATATTGGCTCAGTGATTTCATATGAAACCCCTGGAGCCTTTATTGAAATAGAAAACACCAAATTTATGTTGCGAATACAGAGTATATGCTGATAACATTCATCTATTCGGACAAGATAGACTGTTATGACAGCGGCTATTACACTTCAGTCCCATTCTAAAACATTTACAACGTCTCGATTTACACTGGTTAGGACCACAATATTACATTTCTGGAAACCCTGACCACCACAACTCGACTCGGAAATCACAGCAGTCCAGAGAGATACTTCTTTGTCCATTGTCACAACATTCGCAGAGAGTGAACAAACCTTTGAGGATACCGGATTTCACGCCTTTAACAATAACAACACCAATATATATACCACTCCCGGGGAATAGCTCTGGATCGGTGCATGTCCATTTAAGCTTCAAACGTTAATTTCACACATTCACTGATAGCCTAACAGGGAGTGTGTGTAATGGAACACCATGAAAATCAGTAATTTCATCAAATCCCTTAAAACTTATGGGAATACATGAATTCTCTGGGGGTCACAGTGATTTCACAAAATCACTGACTCTTTTAGGGATTACGTGAAATCCCTGGTTTCACACATTCCCTGTAACATATATACGTCTTTGGTCCTAGTACTGATTTTACAAAGGTAGTGTTCATGTAATATTGTTTTTGACTTTCCGAACGATTACATAAATCCACTTGTTATGATGTTTCCACGTATTGGTCTATTTTCATTAGTACAGATCTGTATAAGTGTCGTTGAGTGCAAGTTTTAACACTGCGCTTTAACAGTCTCCGCATATCAGTTAAGATCCCAGTTTAGAAACGACAACAATGGCGGAAAACCCGGAAGCAGTTGTAGTGGAGCCGCAATTTTCGAAAATTGTAGATGGCTTGCATGGGGCCGAAGGTCCAGTGTTTGACAGAAACGGGAACTTTTTCATGGTAGCTCCAGAAATAGAGAAAGATGGAAAATTTGCGGGACAAGTTTTGAAAGTGGACTTAATCAATAAACAGGTGCCCGTTTGTTTACTTATTATTTGCCACGCCTCCTCTTCCACGAGGTTTCAATTACACGCCCAGATACTCATGTGTAAAATAATTTTGCCTTAGCACACAATTGATTGAAAACACATGTAGGTCTTTATTTTTTAAATCCAGTTTTACGCATGATACCTATGATTATCTCATGTTCGGTTGGACTAAATTGATCTTTTTAGACATGTTAGTCCAAATATGGTTAACAGAATATAATTAACACTGAGTTTCATGTAACGTCCAATTTCATTTAGGCATAAACTTATTGTCAAATATACATGTGTCTCTCATTTGAGTATTTCCAATTTCATTTGGATGTAACTTCAAAACTAGAGACCGGTCTGACCATGGTAGTTATCTGCATAATATAGGCTGACATATAATGAAGCTTTTCATTTCACTTAAACCTGGATTGTGCCAGCTCAAAACTATTTATGTTTTTCATGAGCTTTTATAAATCAATAATCCATGAAAGTAAACTTTACTCAAGTGATGCTGAAGGGGTCGTCGGCACAGGTACTACAGCGAGATACGTACCCCAGGTACGTTTCTGTATACAGATATGTACCCTGAACAAAGTCAAAGTACAGAAACGTACCCGGTACCCTAAAAGGCGGACGAGTCCATATTCCGCAATCAAAAACCGAAACCGTATGTAGTTGTTCCCGTTCAACTGATTCCGAGTGGTATTCAAGTGCATCGCGAAATATCCGTTACTGTGTATTCTCATTACTTACCTAACGCAATCAAATGTATCTAATACGACAGTATGACAGTTCCAGTCAAGAATACGACACAATGGGAATGGAATCCTCCTCGGGTACGTTTCTGTATTCTCATTATGGCCAACGTATGTTTCTGTATACAGAAACGTACCTGGGGTACATATCTGTAGTACCCGTGCTGACAACAACCCCTTCAGCCTGACCATATGTGACCTCATTGGCCATTTGCCACTAACTGGATTTCACTAACTAACAGGATTTTTTTATGGCCACCTTGACGAGTTAGCATTGATGCTGATGTCGTGAGCACTGATCTTTGCCGTCAGTGCACCATAACATGCAAATCTGATCCAGTCATTTGCTGAGGACCTTTTGTAACCCTGAAGTAATCAGTGTTAATACATATGATACATTATCATGAGTAATACTACAAATACTAACAACAACAACAATAATAATAGAATGTATGATGTACAATTTATGTGTTGGAGGCACTAGGACTGAGATGTCTACTTGGTTGTGTCTAGGCGAGTGTGCTGTGTGAGCCGGTGGTGGAGGGGGAGGGGGGAGTCCCAGCAGGCTGTCAGTGTGACAAGGAAGGGAACCTGTGGATCGCGGACATGAGACTTGGAATCATCAAAGTCACCCAGGATGGACAGATGACACAGGTTGGTTTATTTTGTCTTATGTCCATTACTTTGGCATTTTATCACAGCATTGAGATACTACTGTATGTTTGTACTTTAGATTATTGTGAAGGTGGGTGTTATAAGAAATACATTCTTGAAGAAAAAAGAATGCTTGAATGAACAACTTCTTTATTAAACTGAGAGCAATGTTTTGGTGTAGTTTCGAACTCTGTTATCAAGAAAGTGAACCTTCACTGAATTGTCACTCCCACTGTGATTAACAAGCTGTTCCATTATATTCTTATTTTCCTTAAAACTCCAACTTCTAAATACCTCTTAGAAATAAGATACATGTTTGTTTGTGAGTAATTGTGGTCACTGCACCTGCACCAGATCCAAACTTGAAAACATATAAATCAGTGAGGCAGACAGTCATCTTTAATGATCCAGTGTATTATATTATAATGCCATTTGCTTATGTACCCCAACCCAATCACTACCATAGCTATGTACTTGACCCTTCATGATTTAACCAACTCAAGCTGCCTTGTGTATACACAGCAGAGAATTTTGTGGATGGCTTTATTTAGGATTGAGATTTTGACCAAATATGGGTACGTTATTCTGGATAACTGAGGGTGGATTGTGGGATTGTCCTTTGCTTAAAGAATGTATTTGAATTGATACAGAGATTCTAAATAGCAACTATCCAGAGGGCAAATTAGTGAACTCCAGGATCTCTATGTATATATATTCAAAACTAAGTGGATTGATTGTTATGGTATGATGTGGGTCCCATGATGTGATAGCAAGGAAACAGAATTCAATGGAAGCTGATGGAAGCAGAGCAACTCTTAGATGTATAGGGTTTGAATGAAGTCAAATACTCAGACATCTGAAACTAATGATGTGCTATGTGGACGCAGGTGTGTCGCCAGGACAGCGAGGGACGTCCGATGCAGGGATGTAATGACTGCATATTTGACTATCAGGGGTCCCTGTGGGTCACAGCGCCAGCAGGAGAGATAGCTCCAGCTCCATACACAAGGTCAATGGAGGTTTGTGTGTTGTCAAAGACAGACTGGTGATTTATCCAGACCTTCCAATAGGCTGATATTTGGCCATGTGTGTGCAGTAATGGTCAAAATACTCTCCAAATTGGATTTAAAATTTTTCCAATTCTTTTTTATTAAAATTATAACCAATGTATGAGAATATCTGCATGTTAAACCATGGTTTTGTTCTTCAACACTGCATGTTACAGCATTAGCAGTGTTTACTAATCAGTCTCCTTCCTTCCTATTCCTCCATTATAGGAGCCATTTGGATCAGTGTACTGCATGCTGACAAGTGGTCAAGTTGTCCGAGTGGACACTGGTATTCGTTTTCCCAACGGCATTGCAGTTCTACATACAGATGACGGGCGTCCCAAGAAGCTGATCGTGGCAGAGACCCCCACTAAGTTGCTGTGGAGTTATGACATTGTGGAGCCAGGCAAAGTTGCCAATAAAACTATCTGGGGACGACTATCAGGTAATAGATAGTGCTGTATGTTTGGAGCTTATACATGATCAAATCTGGACCAAACAATCCAGTGACAGCAATTATGATCCTTGTCATCAGAGTATGACACACTGTCAACCTGATGAAGATAATCTAGCTGTTTGAAGCTAATCCAGAAATTTGTCCATTTTACAAAAGTTACAGATCCTGACCTAATGTATTGCTTAACTGATTCTAATTTTTGTGAATATACATCGATGACACCATATTATGTCCACAACAGAAGATTTCATTTGAACAAACTTCTATGTGAGGCTCAAAAAGTCAATAATCAAACAGGGCAGTTGGGTAGCCTTGTGGTCAAAGTGTACGCTCATCACGCTAAAGACCCGGGTTTGATTCCCCACACGGGTACAATGTGTGAAGCCCATTACTGGTGTCTTCCGCCGTGATATTGCTGGAATATTGCTAAATGCTGTGTAAATCCATACTCACTCACTCACTCACTCATTAATCAAATCTCGTTTGCCGATACATCACAGTGTTAGTAGACACAGGTAGACAATCCAATTTTCGTAAAAGGTTGGATCAAAGTAAACTGCACTGTGAATCCTGTAGGATGCAAAGATAACATTTCAATTGTGAAATTTGTGATGTCCAGTAAATGTCCGTGTTTCATTTCAAACATTTCTGTGAGTAGTGTAAGGCTTCACGAATATTTTATTTTCAATAGGATCAAGTGTATATGAACCACCCCTTCATAATTACCCAGAGTCCCCAGGACTTAAAAATAGCAAGTCCCAGGTAAACCCTGGAATATTGGAAATTAAACAAGGGCAGAATATTGCTATGCTTACCCAGCTAGTAAGAACATTATGTACAACATTTGATTGGCTGCTTTATGTCAGGTGACCACGAGGGAGGAGCAGACGGACTGGATTTCGATGCAGACAACAATCTCCTGGTGGCTCACTGGGGCAGTGGATTTATTGAAGTATTCAACTCTCAGGGAGGCCAGCCACAGAAGAGAATCAAATGCCCATTTATGAGAACCAGCAACCTTCATTTCAAACCCAAGTCCAACACAGTGTACGTCACAGAGCATGACAATCATGGTCTATGGGAATTCAAGTGGGAAAACCAGGGGAAAACCCAAAAATGTGAGATGTTGTTTGACTAGACAGTCAAACAGACAGGAGCTCCTAGGTTGTTGTCCATAGGTGACCAAAAGAGGCCAGTGGCGTGGACATCGACTTGGATGACATCTTCCTCTTGTTCACCTAAACATCACATCTTTAGTGATTAGTGGAGATGGTGCCTTATATTCTTATCTAATGTCCATGCTATAGACCCAGCAACTTGCATTTTAGGCCCAAGCCCTTTAGGCCCAAGTAGGCTCCATGTCCATGGGCCAGGGATGTGTCTGGGTGAGAAGCGTAAGCCATTCACCTGTGGGCTGTATTATACTTGAAGGCAAAAGATACTGATCACACACATTTTTGTAACATCTGAAAGTTTATGATAGTAATGATGGAATATATGACCTTGCAGAATACATGCTAGTGTAATCTGAACATTTGGTCAAAAAGGTCATGTCATATTTCTGTCCAATGTATAAAGGTGAATAATAATGAAATATTGATGTATAACAAATACCAAAATTACTCTAAAAAGACAAATTACCATCAATATTCCATGAAGACTTTATTTTATATACGTTTTAGATACTTACTGGAATAAGAATATTATCAGTTTCTTAGCCATTGAGTAGTGTTTTGTCTTGTGTGCAAAACTGTTGCTTTGTGGATGCTGTGCTACTATGGAACACCAGTGCCATACAGTGCCATAAGTCACTTGTGATGATTGTTTAACAGTCTTTGATTTATTATTTATATATTTATGTCCATTGTGGAAGTAGTTAATGTAGACTGGCTCAAAAAGGAAGAAATGGCAAGGCTTTCTGTTGAAGACAGATTAGCAAATATTGATAATGAAATGTAGATATTTTGCCTGAAAGGTGGTACATTGCAAATACAGCTAAGATACCTCTGTAAGGAAGGATATAGAAACAAAATATGGAACTAACTTTTAGAACATGCAAAGTTCAAAATATCTTAATGAAGTCATATATTTTTCTTGGTTTTGGTGTTGTAATATATTGTTGACTGAATACAGTTGATGTTCCATCAGGTGTATATTTCATCTGAGTCTGAGAACTATGACAGATTGTATAGGTGGTGGGATGTGTGGTCTGTGTACCGGTCACTGAAAATTATGCCCTGTTGGGAACTAAAGGTTTTGTTCGTGCAAGTGCATATTTATGTTTATTTATTATTTATGTTTAACTGAACTAGCTCAAAAACTCCTTTTACAGTCAACAGAAGAGCTCCTATGGAAGATTTAACATACAAGCAGTTGCAGTGAAGCTGTTGCGGCTGTGTAATAATTAATCTCCACGGTAACTGCATGTGAATGTAGCATCATTGTGCCTCAACGCTGTTAGTGAACCACATTGTCAGTGTGATGAAATACACATTACTGAGACATCAGCTTATTTCATTTGCATAGCAAATACAGTTGAAACCAACATTTGATTTTTCAGCATTAAGGGGTTGGTATTTTCATGACGCAAAGCAACTGTGATCATAGAGAGTTTTAGAGAGTAAAATAGCTGCACCATGCAATATCACGCTTTACCTCTGATAGGGAATGAAAAGTTTTAAATGTGATATTTCACAATAACATGCTTAGAGAACAATGGAGAAAAACCCCAGTTAATTTCAGATAGTCGAATTGTTGACTTTTTCCTTATGCATGAAGAGAGTACTGTAGGTTATGTACTTCTAATAATTCACTATATGCCAAATGACATGATCAAATTGTTTTGGAGTATGGGAGTGAGACTTATTTTAGGAGGTTTCTAGCAACATTATACAGTTGTGTTGTGAATATCCCGACAGTAGACTGATCATGCCATCCTTTACTTCAGCATTCCCTGACTGCAAGAAGTTGGTGCTTTCAGATATTTGTATTTCCTGCCATATGGGAACATTTTTCTTGGATGTACAACTATGGTTGTCAAATTAAACAAATATGTTTTATATTTATATTTCAGTTTTCATATATGCTTACAGACTTGATCTCTTGTCTTAATGTGAAATGACATCTTTTATATCAGAATATATAGTCAACACAAAACAGACCTCATCTTTGTATTTTGTGTTATTACATGATTTGAAAAATCACGGCATATGTGAAAAATCTGTTTGATGTGCAAGTTTCACTTTCACTTCGAGTGATTTGGTTTGATTGGATTGATGCTATCTACAAACAATGTTACGAGCTATATTAGAACATCAAGGAAAAGCTGGCAGCTCGAAATTCAGTTTGTACCATGAGGTTTCACTGATGCAAAAAGTCACGTTATATGTTGCCAACACCGACAACAGAGATGTTTTATCCAGCCTACCACAAAATACCATGAGCCACTTTCCAGGATGTTGTTTGTTACTTTGTGCCACTCTCCAGGTACATGACGATGACCTGTGATTTATTTAGTCTGGACCAGACAAACCAGTGATGTTGTCTGCCCTCGGGGGTATGAAGACAATAAACCAAACCACCAACTGTGACTGCCTGGGTTTCCTCTTATGACAAGCTCAGGTTTCAGGGGCTTTGTAGTATCTCTCGTACAACATTTGCCTCTTCAACAAATGATGTAGACCAGTGATAGAGCAATGATCTATACCACTGGGTGTGATGATCCTTGGTCTAAGATGATCGTAACCCCCATACTTCAACATAAAGCTATGGCAGTTGTAGCACCGCAATGATTCCTAGTACCGACTGTTTCCGCGCAGTCCTCTTTTGATGGTAGCACACGGTATTGAGGATAACATTCTGCCCTGTAATCCCTGTGGGGGTTCAGATATCAAGTTAAGATGCAATCTGACCTAATCATTAAACAAACACACCAGACTTGGATCATTTTAACAAGAAATTTATTCTATACACAGAATATGGCAAACATCCATCCAGAATATGTTATGTTGTCACTCAGCTGTTGCAGCTATTCACAGTAGGATCTGATGATATTAACAAGTCCATGGTCTACTCAAGGGCCTTTGACAGGGCTTCATAGCACTCTAAAGAAATCTGGGCTTCAGCCTTTGCTCTGTCAGAACTAGCAGAGTTGAAGTCCTGTTGTGCTTTGGCTAGACCATCTCGGATAGCCTGAAAATAGATCAAGTGAAAAACTTACATGAGATACTAATACAATCCATTTTATGACTACATGAGTTTAAATGGTATTCCACTCCATTAACATAATCATTTCAGATTGATGTGAATTAATAAATATGTACTGCTTGTTGAAACCCACAAGTGGGGGTATGGTGCTTATAAATCTTGAAACATAATCAGTGAGTGAGTGAATGTGTTAGTTAGTTTTACGCCACACTCAGCAATATTCCAGCTATATGGCGGTGGTCTGTAAATAATTGAGTCTGGACTAGACAATCTAGTGATCAACAGCATGAGCATAAATCTGCGCAATTGGGAACCGATGACATGTGTCAACCCAAGTCAGCGAGCCTGACCACCTGATCCCTTTAGTCGCCTCATACGACAAGCATGGGTTACTGAAGATCAATTTTAAACAGACCTTCACGGGTGAAATATAATCAGAGCAAATGGGATTTGAACACACTGGAATAGGATTCTGGCACCCCAGAGGAAACCAACTTGTCACTTTGAATTGTGATGTCTGAGATGACGGAGGCATAAACACAATACGTTTACATACACAATAAACTAATCCAGTAGTTCTTTCCGTATTACTGTACACTAACAGAAGACAAAATATAGACATACATTTCCTTTGTGACTTTGTCAAGACTTTGAAAGAGAATATGTCATTTATCCTGTCATATAAATAACTCCATCACATATCCAATCTTGTCAACTTACAGATGCATCAAGTCTGTCCACTGGGTGAGCTTCTTCTGCTAGGACCTGCACTGAGGAATCATCATTGATTGTAATTGACCCACTGCTCACTGAAACATGAATATTGTATTTAACTGTGCAGTTCTCTATTGTGCAGCTGGTTGGTTTAACACCGATTACAGAGGTATTTATCCACACTTGCTTATCGGCCAATATTCGTCTAAAGTCAGCAGCAGATATGTTTAATTTGAATCAAAAGCATCCAGGTTTTACATTTAAGTGCTTATAACTGACAATTTTTTGTAAAGGAGTCTTGCATTTCATTGAGAACAGGGCCCATAGAGGTAGAGGCTATAATTTATTGTATAAATTAGTATAATGGTTAGTCTTAAGTTTTTTATAACTACATGTTGAAAGCAATGATAAAATGCTGCTGCATATAGGAAAACAGGAGTGAGTGAGTTATGTTTCACGCCACTTTTAGCAATATTCCAGCAATGTCACGGCCGGGGACACCAGAAGTAGGCTTCACACATTGTGCCCATGTGGGGAACTGAACAAGCGTCTTCGGCGTGACGACCAAACATTTAACCACTAGGCTACCACACCGGCCCAGGAAAACAGGAATAAATCCCAAACCTCTTTCACAAAGTTTGACTTTCTAAGGTGCTATGTTGGGCATCCCAGATAAATCAATGTTATATTTCAGTGTGTCACTAAATGGAAAGTGAAAACAGGCAAAGGTGTTACACATTTCCGTCAATGGTGAAAACCAGCCAAAATTGCATACAATCAAAAGCCTCAAACAAAAATATACACTTTTCAACCAATCTTTCAATAAATCAATAATTTGAATAAACATAACATACAATTACTTGGCTGACTGACTGACTGAGTTTGGTTTTACGCCGCTTTTAGCAATATTCCAGCAACATCACGGCAGGGGACACCAGAAATGGGCTTCACACATTGTACCCATGTGGGGATTCGAACCCGGGTCTTCGACGTGACGAGCCAACGCTTTAACCACTAGGCTACCTCACCGCCCCTACAATTACTTGGGCTTAACACATTGGAATATGCCTTTTCAAACATAACCATAATAACATAAATCAAAAAAGAACTGTTGAGAGGTAGGATAAAAAAATAGGTATTACAATAAATTGAATATATATGAATACTCCTTTAAATAACTGAACCATGAAGTCCAAACGCAAAGGTAAATCTGTGCCAGTTCTTACCGAAAACCTTCTTTGTGGACCCATCTTCCTCGTAGACTGTGACAACACCTGGCTTGAGGACAGCTAGAGAAGGAACATGATCTGGGAGGATACCAAAACTACCACTGAGTGATGGGACATCAACCTGCTTCACCTTGGCATTGTTGTAGAAAATCTGTAATAGCAGGACAGTCACCTTCATTCACTCAGTTCAGCAGAACATGTTATAGAACAGAGTGGATAATTAAGTTGTTTTGCTACTTCTTTGAACATTTTATTTCAGCTTGGTGTGTGGGGAATGTCTGAAGTGATGTAGGCTTTGATGTTTACCACATTGGCCAAATCCAAAGTGTACAGACAAACCAGGAAGCATAAACAAAGCAGATCTACGATTCAAAACCCTAGTCATAGATTTAAGACACAACTGCAGGATGCAACGTGGCACAGTGAACAAAATCCCTGTCTACAATAAGATTTAGCACTTATGGAGATAAATATACCCAGAGATCAAAATTAAACTTGAAAATTAATAGGTACTTTGCTGGTATCTCAAATTGCAATCATGAGGTCCTTATATATTTAGTAGCAAGACAAATCAAATGTTTGAAAAGTATTATCAAAACCAGACATGACAATGACTGACGAAATACATCTTCTGTTTTGCATGTATGTAATTGATGTCAATCATATGCTATATATCTTACTATATGTACTCATATTTTACAGTGTTGTGAACTAATTACGTTTATAATCATGACTACGTAAAGAACATAGTTTACAAATACAGCTATCTATAATAACTTCCTTCAGCATGTTCAGTGCCTGTCCTTCTGTAACCAATTCCATCTTCATATTGTTGGTGCAGATGAGGAGTTTGTCAGTTTTCACCATTTCATGCTTACTGTCTATGACCTAATACTTGTCGATATGGTTTTATTTCAAAAGATCATATAATATCCCACCATGCCTGTGAGAAATTCTACTGACATATCAGACATGCACTTGTGACAAGTGGTAATGAAAGGCACAAACTGCCATTTGCAAAAACAAAATTTGGGTCTCTTTAGGCATTTTTTTCGATAAAAAGGTTTGATAAACGATATGCTTTTCAGTTATTCTTTAGCAGGGATTGGGAAAGGCAGGGGCCATTTTGCACATTAGATAAAAAATGGCCCCAAAATTTTTTGAAGTTTACTATTGATACAAGGGCAGTGGCCCATTCTAAATTCAGAAAATGTCTAATAATCCTGAAAATGGCCCGTTGTCAAAGTTCTCTACCCCAATCCCTGCTTTAGTATTAGAACATACAACACTCTTTCCCAACAACCCCCGTAACCGCCCGTGTAAACACTGATGTCCGAAAACCTATGATGTGAGGATAATCGAAGAAAACTTGAAAATGAAATGCATGGTCCGCATTCACTTGTCTCTGTGTGATCAGTACCCGACTATCATCTAAACTTATTTCTAGACATGAAAAATTCAACCTTTTTTATCTAGCATCGAAATGTATGGCACACTTCACGGGCACACTGAATGCTAATGGCTCGCCAACAACCTCAAGGAACAAACAACCCTATTTGCCCTTGAAATGTTTGGCAAGTGCGTTTATTTTCGTGATACCGGTAATTTCTTTTAGCGGGGAAATATTCACTTACATCTGATGGCGATGCCATAGTGAATGCCATATCTGCGTAACCCCTCTTGCTGACATTCTGTGTTACTGCTAATCTCGCGCACTGCTGCAACAAGACAGGAGCACGAGTTATCTGACGGACGAACACTGCCATGGCTCTAACAAATATGGCGACCGTGGGAGCAGGGGAGGTAACTCTATCTTATTTCAATACCATCGTTTTTGGTACTTGGATAAATAATATCATGCTAGTTCGAATCATGTCGTCGAACTTATTATTTTTTTAACGTTCTTTTAATATAACATATTTCAACAGTCATATTCCTCCCAAAATATGAACTCTAGTCCAGAGAACATAACACAGAAATATTTCAGAAGACCTTTTTTATCATCTTGTTTGTAAATGGTTGTGTGGGTTCTACTACTCGGGGAAAACCGCAATTTTCCCCGTGGAAGCCATTTCAGTGATACTTTCTGCAGATGCAAAATATAGATCTAGTAAAATAGTGTATACAATCTCCAAATTCTCGCTAAAATCTTATATTTAGAGGCACGGAAACGTTTCTAAATAATCAAGAAACAAAAAGACATAGTCATTGCTAGTTTCTTATGTTGACACTGGAACAAACAAAAAAGAAAGAAAGAAAGAAGAACAACACCCAGATTCCCAAAGCAAGTTCACTTGTTTCAGATCGCTGTGTTTGCCATTTATAAAATAATATAATTTAAGCAATATATTCCAGAGACCACTTTACCTTTTGTTCACGTTATTGAATCGTGTGTTGAGTGGACATATTAATGGTTCCTGGCTAAATACGAACTGGCTGGCTATGGTCATATGGATGCTTCCTGCAACAGTTTTGGGACCTTTTTGTATAGACATATAACGATGAAAATATACACGCCTTACAGACTCAATGCTTATATGGATGAGCGGGCGGTGGGGTAGCCCAGTGGTTAAAACATCAGCTCGTCACGATAAAGACCCGGGTTCGATTCCCCACATGAGTACAATGTGTGAAGCTCATTTCCGGTGTCCCCCGCCGTGATATTGCTAGGATATTGCTTAAAGGTCACATGCAACGGACAACACAACTTTGCAGATTCTGATACCTTTCGGTATGGACTTACAGTAACAAATTATCAAAAATGCAAATTCAACTTATAAAGTTGATAATTAACGCGAGGAAACAACCCCCGCGAAATCGAAGTTCAAACGATTAACTAATTTCACCCCAGCGTTTGGGTGAAAAGTGGTTTCAACAGCTGTGCTGCGCTGTGCCCATAGCGCATGCGCAGTGATTAGGTTTACACGGCTTGAACCGGGAAGGCGACTCGTAAAAACACAGCAAGTGATGCGTGCAAGGATTATCGCTGTGGTTTGGGGAACAAAAGATGTTTCTTGTGATTACAAGCATCTTTGGTCTGCAGTAATAAAAAATACACTGGTCCCATGCTTTTTCTTATATGTTTTCACGTCTTGCTTTTTGGGGGTTGGCAGATTTGCAAACCAAGTTTTCAAGAAAGTGTAGCATTAGAAATACTAATTTCTTTCTTAAAAATTGCTCAGGTTGAAAACTGAAATGTTTTAATACATGTCTATGGAAACAGAAAAATATGTTGATTGTGATAAGCAATCTCTGTCACAGACAAAACTCAATGTCTGTTTTATTGACACCTATGTGTCTGCTAATGACAATATGCAATACTCAACTTCAATCATTGACCACATGCAATTTGTACTTGAAACGTATCAGGCTATACACCATAAACAAAATACATTGATTTATGGCTCGTGCACCTGAGTTCTGTCTCTGTTACATTATGTAATTACACAGACAGGCAGGTGTGATACTTGAACACATGACATGTTATTATGTCTGTGGGTTGCAAACAAACTGCATCCATTTTTCTCGGATGACTGGATCGGACGGAAACCGGTGCAAACTCAGATTGTCAGTTTCAAGTCCTGCTTTGTACTTGGACGAACGACAGTTTCCAGCCACGCAGTAGTTCACCATCTCAGTGTTTGTTGATTGGATCGAACACAAATACAGAAACAATGAGCAAGTATTTACAAAACCCAACATCTATATATATACACACACACAATGAGCCCTCAGCGATTTGGCAAATGAACCAGCCAATGAAAGGCTTCGTTACACTTAAGTGCACACCCACCCGCTCTTACTGGGTTCAGTCTCCCGGGTGCTTCGTTTCGAGGGAAGTAAACCCAAGTACCAAATATTGCACTTTTGATTTGCGATTGTACGCTTATAATTTTGTTTATTTGTTTTTTCATAATCAGCAATGTATATTATATGTCATGAATAAGTGATAATTGTGTTTTAATGAAGTTTGATGTTTTGGTTGCATGTGACCTTTAAAGCAGCGTACAACATACTCACTCCCTCACACTATATGGATGAGCAGCAGATGTCAGCACCAGATCACGGGTTAACGAAGAGAATCGTACCAAGGGAGAACTTGCACAGTTAATGATAATGTCTGAACACTCGGTAGATGACACTGATGATATTCGCACAACTCAGTTCATAAATGATCCATAGACATTTGGTCATGATAGTTGTTACAAGAGTTGATTGATTAGCTCTTAGTCCCACATAGAAGGACTCGCGGAATCACCAGTAACCAGCCATAGAGGCAGTCGGTAGTTTGTGTAGCATAGAAAAATTATCTATAAGCCGTGAACGTTTGTTTATTGCTCCACTTAGTAGCGCTGTAGTTGTATGACTGTAATTTGTTAGTCTGAACCAGGTTGATCCGGAATTGATATAACGGACAAGGATCCACAGGTGAGGTAAGGTGAAATTGGGTTTCAGGTTGTGCTTGAGAATATTTCGCTCATATAACGAGGTGATGCGTGTGTATGTGCGGCTGCTTGTACTAGCCCAGACTTAAGCTGTTTTTATAGTGCTAGCTCACTGAGATACCATGCTGCAGTGAAGCATGAATACCCCACTCAGCCACATTATATCGGGCCCGGCCAGTCCTTCGTGTACCCATTAATGCCGAGCGCCAGGCAGGGACCAACAAGTACCATATTTTAACGTCCTTTGGTATGACGCAGTTGGGGAATCGAACCCGCTACCTTCCGCTCTCCGGGCAGACGCTCTAACCACTACACCACGGAGGCGATCGGATCCACAGGTACCATGACAGGGAAAAGGTGTCACTTGAAAAGGCAGCTATGGTGGCAAATGGATCAAGGATATTCATCATTACTACATAATCATAAATGGAGATAAAAACATTGGACAATTGAGGATGTTTTCTTTATTGCATTTCGGTGAGTGCTTGAAAACGTTATGACACACCTTCCTCTATATGTGAATTATAACGGAACTGTTAAGCTCAACCACAATTCATCTAAGCATCGTTTACTGTGGTCTTTTGACAGTGTTGAGCATCTGGCCACATAAGAATACAGTCTATTGGAAAATATATCAGAATGAAACAAACGTATTCATGTATATATCTGGACCTGTTTTCAGACTCAAGTTTTAAGCAAGTTTATTGCTTTGCAAAGAGACTTGACTTCAACTGGCAACAGGCCGCTGATAAACAAGCAGTGTCTGTAGTAGAGCATAGTTTTATACTGAATGAAATATGAAAACCCAACCCTCATTTAAAGTACATGTACTCATGCAATGAGTCTTCAGTGTCAATTTCATTTAAAGAAAATGGCTTATAGTACTTGAGCTCAATAGGGCAGTATACTTCATAATAAGCTTCAAAACCAGGACTGACTGAGTTTGGTTTTACGCCGCTTTTAGCAATATTCCAGCAACATCACGGTGGGGGACACCAGAAATGGGCTTCACACATTGTACCCATGTGGGGATTCGAGCCCGGGTCTTCGGCGTGACAAGCCAACGCTTAACCACTAGGCTTCCCAATGCCCCTTCAAAACCAGGAATGCAAACATCTCCATCTTGAAAATATGTAACAAATAGACAACGCAACAAAGTTCGGATTTTACTCTCATTTACTTGTCCACACTAAATATTTGTACAAAACAGTTTGGTGAGAGCCAATGAATGAACAACTGAACAGTGAATGGCCTTTGCTAAACAAAAAACAACAAATGGTCAGTCTAATGCTCTAGATCACCTCAACTTGAACAGATACCATTCAAGTCCCTCACATATAGATGCTTGAAAATTATCTTAGGCTACACGTCATCATTTCAGCTTGGCAAACAGGTCTTTTGCTACCTGGAATGGAAACATATATACTATGTCAGAACAATGACAACTTTAAAGTTTTTAATACCTGTATTCATTAAACACAGTAACAAGTAAGGTTAATTTTTGTATCATTTCATAGTACTAAAGACTACTGTATCACCCATATGAGCATGTCAAGTTAAGTTGATATTTAAGGGAAATAATATTCATGATAATACCTTGCCATGCCATATTCCATAAAAAAGTAAAGGGATCATATCACTATGTGGTAATAGGAGTGTCAGTACAAGCATTATACACATCCAAGTTGAAGATACATGTTGGTTCCCAACACTAAGGTCAAGGACTTCAACTAGGTAGTCCATCAGCAGGGGGCAACTATCAGTCTTCCACTTTCTAAAGCATTTTACTTTGTGACAAATATTGCATCACTGCAGCTAATGAAGGGATCTTTTTTGGAGAGTTGTGAAGACACCTTTGCCAAATTCTCAAACAAGTAAAGCCTCTTCCACAAATTGTGTGTAAAGTACTAGTATGCATGCCATATACATTCTCTCAAGCATAGCCATCATTGAAAGTAGGTATTTAACTAATAATTTACTAATTTACTTAACACCTGTAAGATTTACACGTGGGGCCAATCATATTAATTTGTTAATAATTAGTTCATAAATCATGCTGAAATACCTGTGCTTTATCATGTTACAAATAAATTGAGGGGGAATTCATCTTAGATACTAATTTTCATTTCTACCCATTGCAAAGAACAAAACCATACAATGCTATAAACCATTAACATGTTTCATGAATGAAAGCATAATCATATGTAAATGGATTCTATCATTTTAACTTTTACCTATGTTCTTTCCCTCCAGATCAAGAGAGAGAAAAATAACTCCAGCTTGCAACTTACACATGCATCTACACAGTGGACGAAGTCAAACAGCTCCTGCGTACAAGTCTCTGCCGTTTCCGACCGACCAGTGACTCTCTCTGTACAAGCATCCCACTCAGCCTTGTACTTCTCACAGGAGGCACCACAACTCTCCTTCATTGTGTCCTGAGGATCCTAAAAAAAGATAAAACCAACAGCATGAATACTTGTAACATGACGTTAAGATAAAGGCACCTGAGAAAAGGTGAGTATGTTGTTGCTTGTACTAGGGTTCAATGCCAGATTCAGTGATACCAATCCTCGATAATATCCAGGCTATACGTTACGATCACTCTCCACTATACCCCCGGATGCATCCACAGCTTGGCCCAATGATTTTATTACCTCCTTTGGCTGGCTTTTTATCAATCAGGTGTCTACGCTGGGAAGTTGAGCGAACCAATCACAACTCGCTTTCGCTTCTTAAATTATCTAGCCGTTTAAAGTTAACACAATTGATGCAGAGGTACTCTGAAAGAGTTAGAAGGATTTCTTTTATATTTCTTTTGAAAGTTTCAGATCCGTTAATTTGTCTATATTATTTCCTCAAAAGTCTGAGTGGCCCTGCGAAAAAACCTTCATGACTGCAACCACTATCTTTGTTGACACTGGCAAGCTCGGATGTAATGGCTGCTTAGCTGACTAGCTACTGTGAGAATACAGAGCCAGCAAATGGAGGTAATATAATTATCGGGCCAAGCAGTGGATGCATCCAGGGTATAGTGGAGAGTATACCCTGGAGATTATCGAGGATGAGTGATACCATGAATCAGCACAATCTCGATACTTCACTTAGGCACATTATACTCTGAGCCAACCAGTCCTTGTTTTGTCCCTCTTACACTGATATCCACAGACATGATACAAAATGATTGACAAGACCATTAAGTTCACATGGTTTTATCACATGTTGATAAAAATCCCCAAGCTGGGTAAAGAGGTAAATAATCTAGTGCATGTTGAGAAAGAATTGTGAAATAATCATTGATTTCTGTTTTGTATTTACTGGAAGTATATGACACTAAGTTTTTCAGACGGTTTTGGAACAGATCTTTTAAAAATAAAATAATCTATGAACAAGTATGTCATGTTTAACACCTCGATTTTGTTGGGTCAAAACAACCTGTCCCTGTAGATTTTGACTTGTCAAAGAGACAGGTGGCCTTGTGTAACCCTGCTAATATATAAACCTGACATGGACAAGGACTCAAATGAATTCAGCTCACCACCAGGTCCTCCTCCTCTTCCTCCTGTAACAATGAAAAACAAAACCTCATGTGAATAATGTTAATATCACACTTGAAATCATAAAGTAACAACTACCTTAACCCTAGTTTTTGAAGACCCTTCAAACTTAATAAGGATGTGTCACATTCTGACATTGTTTACATGCTTGAATCATTCACAAAAAATACATCATGAAGTGTGGTTGGTGGTCATGAATGAAACAAGGATACGCTTTTGTTATTTCTTGGTTGTCAGCACTTTACATGCAAATTGTTGCTCTGTAGATGGGAAAAACAGGGGACATTACACAATTATTTCAGATTCAATTTAAGTTCTTAGATGCGGACTGCTTCTCCATAACAGGCATTTTTGTTTTAATTTAAGGTTTTGAGGTGAACATTTTCTCACATTATTGGTAGAAACAGAAGATGTTTTCTATTCATGACAATGACAGTATAATGAGTGAGTGAGTGAGCACGTCAGCTGGATGTGACAAGAAAGCATGGAATCATATCTCTACCTCTTTGGTGACCCTTTGGTATTGTGCTGACAAGCCTAGAAATATTAGGATGTAAACAGGAATGTCAAACAACTTTCTTAGTTCTGGTTGAAACATCACAAATTAATTGTTTTATACCGACTGGGTATATAATAGCTTATATCTTGTTGTGCAGTTATCCACTGCTAGTTCAGATGGTGATGGGATCCATGGCAACAGTAGAAACAAATATGTACCATATTTTCAGAGGTTGTTTTCAGTCAGTTGCTTTGCTTAAAATGAGTACATACAATCTCATTGAACAGAGAATTTCCAGAAGAATGGGGAAAGATTGAAGTTGATTGTGAGTGATATATTTTAGTCTTATTCAATTTCAAAGCTCGAACTGATGAGGAGGTTCATGCCATGGCAAAATAATTATAGGATCATGAAAGAAACAGCTGTTTGTTTTAAAACGTCTTTATATTGTAGGAAAATATGTCCCAATTATATCCAAGGGCAGGGGAACACATTTTCCTCAATGAAGTAGTTAATGAAACAAAGATCATTATCTTCAATGCTAAGCAAATAAACGTTTACATGAAACTTCGCAATTTTTGTCTACGAAAATTGAAGATATAACAAAACATTTCAAGCAATGCAGCAGATATGGCTTTTAATGGTAGATTTGTGTGGGTTATTGAGCTGTGATTTCGATCAAGGTGACCGGTGTCACGAGCATATTCGTCTGACACGATCTCGGCTTCATCGGTTATACCGTACACATGTTGAATCAGATCATCATATATATAACAACACGGATTGAATGTGATGTAGTTAAGTGCAAATGTTTCATTAACTCCTGTGTAATATCAGAATATTACCTCTGGGGGGTCAGAAGAAAGTACCACTTCGTCTCCTAGCGCCATGTTGGAACGGTAAGGTCCCGGATACAGGGACCGTTCAGTGAGTTATGTAAATGCATGCTATAACAAGTAAAATGAATGCTCCCTTGCTTGTTGTGAACAACGCGACCTCCCAACGCTTATCTCAAAACGCATCAGAAAGAGATAAAGCTTTTTTTAGTTGTAGGAAGGGGATGCAGGGAAGGACGGTGGATCAAGTGGCGTCGCGATGTGTTTATAATAAGAGCCTCTTGTGAACAAACGTGGTGCTTGGCTATATTACCTTAACTAATTCCGGTCCCTTCCATTCATAAAATGAATTGGAGATTAAGTTAAATTCGACATAAACCATACATATATATCTGTTTTGATTTTTCGCTTTTCTAGAGTGTGTTTTCATAATCTATCGGGTAAAGCTTTTTACGACCAAACCGAAGTTGTTCAGTGGATATTTTAATACTTTCTGTGCATTAGTACAATAAAGCGAGTCGGAAAATACTGTGAAACCAACGAATTACGCCTCATTGTTTGTTTCCTCTGTAGCACCAATACTCATTGAAGGCTCTGAGGACAATAAGGCCGCTTGTTACCTATATTTTGATACGGAACTCCTGCGGGAGAATTTTAAAAGCTGATTAACAAATCGATTGGATGACAAATAAAGTACTACTTTTAATGTAAATGTGTCTGTTGGCGCTTAAAGTGGAAGATATCGACACGGGATGAATAATACATAACATGTTCGTTTGATATATTGGCCCCTACAGGTAATAAATCCAACTTAGGCATTTGTCCTGTGGATAGTAGTTGTCCTCTAACAACAATCTGTGAAACCAGATCTTTACTTGTCATCACATGGAAGCTAAATACATTATATGGGATCAAAACAATGTATACGCCGATACATCTTAACAAGCATGATTGCTTCTTGTATTTTGTATTTTTTTCAAAATGTAAATTAAAAAGCAGCAGCAATGGTCAGTTAAGTCCTCTTTGCTATTACCTATGCTTTTGCATGCTCGTTCCACCAACTCTTGCCCAAAGCAAATGTCATTATTACCCTGGATAGCCCAAGCATTGTAAATGTGTTTTACATGTACCTTCAGGTTTCTCCGTGACTTAACAGGAACCCTTTTAAAGTCGCCTTTAAAAGGTTACCCATATAACTTATCATTATTTTGCGCCGATTATTTTGACCGTAACTCATTCCGGGCGTGGGTTAAACGATGGAATCGTCTGATAGGTGTCGTAAGCATGTGTTTCACCACTCTCCAAACCGGGTGTGAGTTGTCGAGTCATGGCTACTGATTATGACGACCCGAAATGGCAATACTAGTCAATGTTGCATGATCCCTTGGCACCCCACCCCAGTTGGGACCCTAAACCTAGTTACGACATGGCCCTATTCTTTCTTTGTGTGTATACAGCAGTCCTCGTATACTCAAAACACAGTTACAACAATGGAGTCTAGCTGGAATAAACCAGCGTAGAGGTGTATTCGTACCAAAGTATTATTTCAAACAGTTTATGATGTAGTTTTTATTACAATTAATTTGCAAAGATCAGTCCTACAATAGTTTCATTACGTAACCTGGTGGGGAAATAATACAGATCCATCGTCACTCTGTTAAACGATTACTTTGAATTTTACCTCCGCGTCTACAACGGTAGCTCAGTTATCATTAGTGCAAACTAATAGACAGTAACTGCTGTTGGTGGTGGTGTTGAATTGGTGGTGTTGAATTGTTGAATTGTGCCGTGAACGCCATTTTGAATGGTAGGTAGTCAGGATGAACGCTGATCACAAATCCTTTAATATTCTGCTGTTGTCATAACGCGAGCGCCATTACGGATGGACTGACCATAAACACTGTGATCACTGAACGTGTACCGTTTTGTTGTAAACACGAGGCGTAGTAATATACATCAGTGCAAAGACGCTTTATGATATAAACAAGTCACTGAGAAAACAGTTGAAATGTTTAAAACGAAACTCAAAAACAATAATCAATTTAAACAGATCACAGGGTAACTCAATTTAAAGAGATGAGTGTATTTGCTATGTGTATATTAAGCTAAATATAAAAACGCTGGTTTTGAGTAAATTTTCCAAAGATTTCTGGAAAAAGTTTTCATTATCTGAATTATAATCCTCATGGCGGTGACCTTCCTTTGAGTTAAGGATCAATGCTGGTAAATAGCTTCCTTTTTACTGTATATATACTCCCAAAAAAGAAACGCACTCATGAAAAATAGTAAATTTCATGTAGCAATGAATTAAAAACGTGATTCATTTTACAAAAGGTTTTGCTCTGTTTATGAGTCCTATGGTGTTTATGTTTTGAAACATCACAACAAAACGCACCCATCCGTAAAATACCCGTATTTAACAGCATGATTTTCAATTTCGGCGTGTAGTGTCACAGACAATACACATTCACATGCAATGCACGAAAGTTGGGGATCAGATAGTCTCAATGATGGTTATAAAAGGTTGATCGCTGTCTGTCGATTATTCACTGTATTTGAATATTGTTGACGAACGCAAAATGCCACGTCTGCATAAGTGAAGCCAACCGTCATATCGCCATTGGTTTGCATTTGAAGCTGGCCCGCCCATCCAACGTTGCAGTTGCCCGACGCGTGAATGTTCACCAAAGCACCATTTCACGGCTCTGGGAGAGATATCTCCGCTTAGAATGCGGTAGCAGATGCCCTCTTAGTGGGCGACCTCGATAGACCACTGCGGCGCACGATCGCTTCCTGTCCGGGTACCCTCACCTGCGTCATCGAACAGCTACGGCGACCAGTACCGCCTGACAAATACCTCGTGGATTGAGGAGGCTTTCTGCACAGACCGTCAGGAATATCAGGTTGAGAGAGGCAGAAGACCTTTATTTTGGCCCTGTGCTTCGACGACAGCAACATCGTCAGACATCCAGTTCAATGGTGCACCAACGTTCAGACCTGGAACCTACCGGAATTGGCGTAGAATTTGGTTCCAGTGATGAATCACGATTTCTATTGGAACGGCGCGATGGAAGAATGCGGGTGTACAGACGTCGACGTGAACGTTTCGCCGACGCTTCCGTTCCACAGGTGGACAGATTCGACCGGGGCGGTGTTATGTGATGTATGGGGTACGATCACCTGCCGTAGGAGAAGTGATTTGGTGATGATCCAGGGTAACCTTGTCAGCCCAACGGTAAAACAAACAAGGAGGAGTTCTCTATGGATATACACCTCTTTTAATGTGATTATGAGCGACTCGTTTCGGTCAGTAGCTACCAACACCGTTATCAAGCTCAACGGTACTGTGACGAAATCCTACTCATACCACCATTCAATCTTCCAATCATTGATCTCCAGAGTGGAGTTGTTTTCAACAGGACAATGCCAGGCCCCCCACACAGCACGTCACACTAGAGACTTCCTCCGGAACCACAATATCAATGTGCTCCCCTGGCCCCCTCAAGATCCCGGACTTAAACCCGATCGAACATCTGTGGGATAACCCTCGGACAGACGGGTGCGACGCCGCAACTTCCACAGCCCCAGACACTTCAACATCCTCGCACAGGCACTACAGGCAGAGTGGGCTGCGATTTCGGCAAACACGAGGTTCTGAGACCTTTTGTTCGATGCCGTGCAGTTCTAGATGCCCACGGTGGTCACATCGAGGTATTGACTTCAGCGCCACCCATCGTCTCCATGTGACACTCCAAACTCGACTTTCCTCGAGTTGGTGCCAAAGACGGATAAGTCTGCTTTTCCAAGTGTGCAATTTCGCTATTTTTCATTAACTCATAACAAGATGTTTCAAAATAAACATAAAAAATACAGTTGAAATTCTATATGCGTTTCTTTTTGGGAGAGTATATGATGTGAAAGACTGATTCCGGATCAGACAGGTCAGCGGTTTGTACGTGTTGAGTGAGTGAGTTTAGCTCTTTACGCCGCCTTTAGCATTATTCAAGCAATATCATGACGGGGCAACAGAAATGCCCTTAACACATTGTACCCATATTGAGAATCAAACCCAGGTCTTCAGTGACGACTCGCCACTTTAACCACTGGGCTACCTGGATTAGTACATGTAAGGGTACCATGACATGTATTTAGACCATCCATTTGCGAAAGGAATATCGATTCCTGACGACCAAAGAGAAAGGTGTCCCAGTGGAATACAGTACTCGCTGAACAAAGGTCCCATTACTATTTTGAAATTAGATACCTGTAAATACAGCTCAGTGGCTGCACATTCACTAACTTGTGGACGCGTAAACCATGTTTGGCAGATCGAACTAATCCCCTATTTACGAGAGTCGGCTTTTCTTCTGCATTCATTTAACGTTTGGTCCACAGTTTTATTTCCTAATGAATCATTCCATAAAAAATTCTCGTTAATATGCTATCTCTCACACGGCTTCTGTCGACTCCCATCTGGCAAATTCGCCGTAGGAGTACGGAAGCATTCATTGATTGGCTTGAAACATCCCAGCGGTTAAATAAAGCCCACAGCTCCTTGCCTTCTTCGTCTGAAGCACAAACGTTGAACGATAAACTACAAGACGCCCAGACCGTGTACTCTACCATGTGAGTATTTCTATCGTTACTTCTAATTCATCACCACCAATTAGCCAGGCAAAAACCCTTCTGACTCTCAACACGAAGTCTCTTTGAAATGGCGTCTGGTAGAGGACAATGGTACCAGACACTGGGAGCCAATCCAGGGGACATTTGATATACTCCTTGTTTTGCAAAATTATTGTATTTACATTTTATTGTCTTATTATGGAAGCCAACAACCACGTTGCTGCTTAGCAGTGATGGATTTGTTTACAGCTTCTCATCTGCAGAAGAAGGCTCTAGTATCGTAATCACCCTTGACCTGGGTCGAATAAAATCTGGTAATCATTTCTTACAAATTATTTAAGAAAAACAACTTGGATGATGATGCAAATTTCAAGGACGTTGATAAAAGAATCAGAATCTATAATAGGTTCCATATGGGTAAAGAAATTCCACTTCAAGAATCGAGCCGAATAAAAGCATGCAATCAAACCAGAGAACATGCCTCAAATTAAGCCATTAATAGATATTTAGGGGTTGATAAAGAAATACAGTTGAAACAAATTGATGTGCAGTACCATCTTTTATCACGTCCAAGCATAACAGTGTTGTTTTGCCCTTGCCTGAACGTGATGTTGAGAAAGTGTAATTTACATTTTCAGAAATGTGCAAATTCTAAGAATGTTTAGGGTTAAAGATCAGGAAGTGTGTTCTGTTTTATGTATAGATAGGAGTTTCATTATTAGGTCGTTAAAGCTGCTGTGTAGAAGGGTTATGGATTGGTCCCTGAAGCGTACAGACTGCCTGTTACGAAACGGATGGTTATAGTACGTTTGTTGGCTTTGCATGGATGGAGGAGACTTTGATAGACGGTGCTCTTCAGATGTCCCTGGTGATGAGGATATTTTCAGGCAATTGTATTTTCCGATGGTATTCGAAGGGTTATAAATCAGAAAAGGATACTGCATCTACTCCTGCTCCTCGTTCTGTATTTTGTCGGAGCCTACATGTAGATGTCTGCTACATCTCGTTCTTCCCATAATGCTGTTGTTGTGAATGATCAAGTCACATCCTTTTGTGGTTCAGCCAATGAGGATTTAGTTTTGTAGACCAGTGAGTACTCAATTTTGTTGTTAAGGCTCTTTGTTACAAAAGGTGCCAGTTTCAAATGTTAAGCCAATCACCGCCAAGCAATTTGGCCATCAATTGATTGTGTTGTGGGCCCTTGCCGAAAGCGATGTTAGGTAACCAGTACATGCTTGCTATCTTGTGTAATTTCCAACAAAGTTTCCAGAGGCTATTCCATTAAGTGAAACTATAGCTGAAATAATGGTACCAAGTGAATGCGCATCATGAAAAAGAGTGTCAAGAAAATTTCCAGACCTCGCTGATGGAATGCTCTTAATAGTGTGGTAAAGCTATGGTCAGCTATAAAGTAACATGGGTCATGATATTGATATAAAAGTCGGAGATGCAGACCCATTTTTAAAAAATACCATTCAGTGATTATAAGATCCGTGTATGTTATGTTAATATGATAAAGAATTATCTTGACACATTTTAATTACAGTGCACCCACTGTATCCCCAGTGAATGCTGTATCAACCATTGATACTGCTGGAGAATTCGAAATCTTTGTGTTAGTTTGACGGCATTACTGACTGTCCTAGCCCCAAACAAAATAATAAAGTTTGGGCAAAAGGCTCGGGCGTCATGGTGTTTGCTAAGTTCCAACGGATGTATCTGGTCGTACATAATTAATGCGATGTTAAGTAGATGTAGTGATGCTGTGCTTGTGAAACACCATTCCAACCATGAATCCATCAAGCTGACCGAGATGGAAATTCAACACATTTGTGATGATCTAACTGAACCAAATCGGAATGATGGAGTTCTGTGTATTTTGATGCCGGCTACAGGTGGTAATTAGCTCCATTACCTCTGATAGGAAGTTGGAGAATCTTTAGGTCTGTTTCTTCCAAGTTACACGAAGACCATCAATTGTGTGAAGATCATCTCAGCCAGCTATGGCAGTGAGATCAACATTGCCATCATGTATTTGCTGTTCGAGTATCATTTGTATCACTGCCTTTGAACAGTGTTTAAGGAGATGCATCCTGTCGAACGCAATGTGGTCAATACTCTTGTCAATAAGACAAAGAAGACATTCTTCAGCGATGCAATTCAGAACTCTAAAGGTCACAAAGATCGTTATCGATTGTGTGATAGGCTTCTATTCTAGAATAAGACTAAACCACTCCCAAACTCAAACTCAAAGAAGAGATGGTGAATGCGTTTTCCAAGTTCTTCACAGAGAAGATACAAATTCTTCGTTCCAGTCTTGAAAGTACTTGTGGGACATCTGAGACTTGAAGTACCAATCACAACTCGCCAGGTCACCTTCCACCTTCTATCCAGCTTGTCTCAAACCAGTGAGATGCAGATCATGAATCTTATTTCACAGTGTCCTAACAAATCCTGCAGTCTGGACCCGTTACCCACGTGGCTGCTCTAGGACTGTTTGGACGAGGCTGGTCCCTGTGATCACCTATTTAGGTAATCAATCCTTTTCGAATCAACCGTTCCTGAAGCATTTGAAAAGGCCCTTGTCTCGCCTTTATTGAAAAAAAAGCACTACTTGATGCTGAGTATCTTAAAACTATAGACCTGTGTCTAACCTGTCGTTTGTTTCGAACGTCCTTGAGCGTGTAGTTGCTTCACAACTCAACCAGCATTTGATCTGGTCAGGGAACGATGAAGTTCTCCAAACAGCCTACAGAAAAGGCCATAGTACTGAGACTGCCCTTGTTCGCGTTCAGAACGATCTCCTACAGGTAGTCGACAAAGATGGTGCAGCAGTGTTGGTACTCCGGGATTTAAGCGCTGCTTTTGAAACCATTGATCAGGGAAGACTTCTTGATGCTCTTGAACAGAGATTTGGTGTTACTGGCGATGCACTATTCTGGCTGAAATCCTATCTGATAGGTCGATACCAATGTGTCAATGTAGACGGTATTAGATCTAAGATGACAGAGCTTAGGTACGGCGTACCCAAGGGTTCCGTGCTAGGACCAATACTTTTTACAATTTACACCTCCCCACTTTGTCATGTTGCCCGTTCATACAACTCACTTACCATCTTTATGCTGACAACACAAAGTTATACCCGTCCTTCAAGCCCACCGACAATGACTCAACCAATGGTGCATTTTCAAGAATGATTGCTGGTCTTGGATGACAAGAAACTTTCTAAAACTGAATGAGGAAATCCGAATTGTTGGTAATAACATCAAAATTCAACAGACCTAAACTGTCACTTCATGAGTTCAAAGTGTCAACCAGTATCATCGACCCAAGCCAGGAATCCAGGAATCTCGGTGTTATATTCGACTCTACACTCAGCGCCGTCTCATGTCGACCCTGTACTGAAGAATTTACATTGGCTCAAGATTGTAGACAGAATCAAGTTCAAAACTTGACTTAACTGTCCGTGGATACCACTCTGAAACCCATCCGTATCTCAACGAACTTAAAACAACCTGCAAGATCTTTTGCGATCCGATAGCCAACTCCTACTGACAGTTTCCTCCGCCCGAACATCTTTTGGAAATAGGGCGGTGGGGTAGCCTAGTGGTTAAAGCGTTGGCTCGTCACGCCGAAGACCCGGGTTCGAATCCCCACATGGGTACAATGTGTGAAGCCCATTTCTGGTGTCCCCCGCCGTGATGTAGCTGGAATATTGCTAAAAGCAGCGTAAAACCAAACTGAGTCAGTCAGTCAGTCAGTCTTTTGGAAATAGAAACTTCCAATGGTCCCTGGAATTCTCTCCCTTTTGAATTACGATCTTCTCAGAACATAGAAAAACATTCAAATGACACTTGAAAACCTACCTTTCTCACCTCATGTTACGCCTGAACTGCAAACTCCCCGTATTTATAGACTCACTGTTGTACATCTTCCCAGGACAATTCATTGCCCAAGAGCGCTTTTGAGCAGTTTAACCTAACTGGAAATAAGCGCTATATAAATATATATTTATTATTATTAGTCACTCTATACTTTCTTTCATGTACGCTTCCCCTATAATTTAAATTTTAATCTTTATTTATCGACTTTCGATTTTACTGTTTAGTTTTAACAATTTCAGGAAACATTGATGTCTCAGTGCGTCAAGTGCCCCTCACATGGTCATGGAAAGCTGCTTTGTATGTGACCATCCTTATGCACAACCTTGTGTCTCCTGACCTTCACCCCGAAACCTCGTTGTCAGCCGGACACTGTGTGAACACCTGCTTCTACAACCTGACATGCGCATCAGTGTTCTATGACCGCAGCCGGAAGCTGTGTTACCAGAGTAACACCTGTTTTAATGACAGAGTACGAACACTAAAAAGCCAACCTGGAGTTACTTACTACATATTCCACAGAGGTAAGTTAGTCACGATGTATGTGTGTGTGCGTACGCGCGCTCATGCGTGTGTGTGTGTGAAGGCCCCAAAAGGTGTCCCAGTCGAACAATATTGATGCATATTGTTCGCAGCGGCCTACAAACACACGTACTCACTTTGTGGCGAGTTAGTGAGAGTGGCTTTACGCCGCTTTTGGTATACTCAAGAAACATCACGGTGGGAGACACGCAGAAATTGGTTTCACATATTGTACCCATGTGGGGATTTGAACCCACGTCGTTATTGTGTTCGCTCGTCACGCTGAAGTCCGGGGTTCGACTCCCAACATGGGTACACTGTGTGAAGCCCATATCTGGTGTCCCGTTCTGTGATATCACTGGAATATTGCCCAAAGCGGCGTAAAACTAAACACACTCACTCACTTATGCGTGACGAGCGAACGCACAAACCCTTAGGCTACCCCACCGCCCACACACTCTTTAGGAAGTTCGGGACCACAATTGAAATTTTATTTTCCCGTTACATATATATATATATATATATATATATATATATATATATATATTTTTTTCGTTTATACAATACCTTTACATTTTGATATATTTATGCATCTGTACTTTTATTTTACAATGTTTTACAGGCTCATGGGGCATTTGAATGATGACGGAATGGAACGATATTTGATGGAATTGAGCACATGTGTCTTTTATTTTACCACATGAATTTTGGGGACAGTGTGACCTATACAAATACAGATATTGACAAGTTTCCTACACCTAAAAAAATAAAACCTGCTCTCCTCTCGCGTGATAAATCGTTCACTCCCTGCTATGAAATATTTTTGCCGATCACTGCTCCTCCTACGGTGAGATCATTGCAGTTGGTCGATGCATGCAAAGATTTGATGGGCGGTGTGGTAGCCTTGTGGTTAAAGCGTTCGCTCGTCACGGGTTCGATTCCCCACATGGGTACAATGTGCAAAGCCCATTTTTGGCGTCCCCCGCCGTGATGTTGCTGGAATATTGTTAAGGAAAGGCGTGTAACTGCACTCACTCACTCACTGTAAACACTGTAATGACTAAGCGTACAGGAATCAATGAATACACAATTCTCTTTTCAGCTGATTGTCCAGACGGATGGGTATACCACAAACCAACGAATAAATGTTTCTATCTTTTCGAAGAACTGAAGAAGAACATTGATGCTAAAAACGCTTGTTTGGGTCTGAGCGGCAGGTTGTTTAATATCTACTCGGCAGCACAGAATGGCCTAGTGTACACTATGGTCAAACGAAGAGGTACAGTATGAAGGAAAATATACTACTCAAAAGAAGTTAAAGAACATCCCATTTTCACATGATTTAAGTGGTTCTGTCATTATTCAAAGAAGCCAAAGAACACCTATTGCTCCTGACGTTTAAACGCCGAAGTTCGCCGTACAGAGTTGTGTCCCTTGGGCACGCCAGAAATCAATTATTGTCAGTTGCTTGCCCCCGAGTATTTTTCGTCGGTTTCATTAAATGGTAAACGTCAGAGACCTCCATTACGGCGGGTTTTCCTCCCATATTAAACAAACCCTCCATGATATGTTTGTAATACTGTTCAAACATCAACCGCAAACTCAGTCGGATATAGAAGGATAGCTAACCTGTCAACCTGTAGTTATACGTAACGACCGTGTGTGCTTTAACGTCTTCAGAGTTCTACGTAATGGCGTGACGTTTGTAAGCTCAGAATATACAATGATACCACACAACTCAAAACTGTTAAAACGCATGTACTAGATACCATAGCTACCATTTTCCATAATATTTCATGAACAACAAGAAAAACCTCTCTCTATCCAAAACGTAATAGTTAATGTAATTAAATAAACGTTGGCCAGATTGAGTGAGTTTGGTTTTACGCCGCTTTTAGCAATATTCCAGCAATTTAACGGACACCAGAAATAGGGTTCATACATTGTACTCATGTGAGGAATCGAACTCGGGTGTTCGGCGTTACGAGCGAACGCTTTTACCACTAGGCTACCCCACCGCCCCGTTGGCCAGATTGATTAAAGAATTTGTTTAATGAAAGTAAACAAATCCTAAAATGGTGTATATATAAGCTGCATATAAATTTTCAAGATTGATAAGATACATTGTGCGGCGTTTAGCAGTAATCACTCACTCTAATCTGAATATATTATGAACTAATTGTCCTCCTTTCTCAAAGGGAAAGACATTTGGATCGGAATCACCGCTGGTGGCGATGTCTTGAAATGTCACAAAGGGCAGGCGCCAGTCTTCTTCTACTGGTCTGATCCTCCAGGAACCTACAACTGTGTGGTGTTTAACTCTGGTACCAAGAAATGGTTAAGAGTAAAATGTGGAGACCTTTACTCTTATATGTGCGAGATTGTTGTACCTGAAAACTGTAACCACGCGTAAAATCTTTATACTACTAACCGGACTCTCCTTCAACAATCGAACTGCAAAGCTGTCGACGAAGGACAGTATAACCAACTAGAATATCACAGTATCAAGAATTAAAACTTGCATCTATTTCTAAAATTGGATTTCAAATTAGGACAATACAATATAAAACGGACTGAGTATCGCCAGCTACTGAAGGTAGATCACCATACTAGAGACTATGGGGACTTACAATACTTTTGCTACCTGCATGGACCCGAGCTGGATTGACGTGGCAAGATGGCGGATGTTGTCTGGGGTGGAAAAGACGAGGAGCGTGTTGTCATCTTCAGCATGTAGGACGAAATTCTGGCCACTGGAGGTCTGCTGGTAGATGTCAGGCATGTCGATGTTCTGGCGTCGTTTGGGTAGAGGAGGAAGCGTCTTGGATCAGGCTCGGTATATGCTGGAGCTAACACTGTACAGAACTGGCGCTGTCTGTTGAACTTCCTCCGATTCAGATGTTGTTAGTTCTGAACACACACACACACACACACACACACACACACACACACACATACATACACACACACACACATATATATATATACTAGGCTGTATATTTAACCATCATTGGTGGGAGCAAATATTAAACAATGGAAAGATGATTCATATTGACTATCAAACTGATATTTCATCTTTCACTTTGCTAAAATATACAGTTTTGCTATAATGTCACTTCCTCTTGATAGATGTTTGGCACTGGTCTGTGATCATCTTTGACCATTTCTCTCAAGTTGGCAAAGATGGCATCTGATTTCAGCTTTGTAGGATCTGGGACATGGTTTGGATGTTCCTGTAGGTGGTGGTGATGAGGTTTTAAAGGTGTTGATTGTTGCAGGACATCCGGCCTTACAACACTTCCAGTGCACAGTCTCTCGTCTTCTGGATATCATTGTGTCAATCAGATACTAAATTCTGGCCGCCTCGAGAATTTGGGACGATTTTACAATGATTTGAATATCTTCCTTCCCTTTTTAAGATCCACTTACAATCTCGGTTGCTAATTTAATCTACCGATTATAACATACTAATTATCTATGTACATTCATGTCATTCAAAATGTATGCAATAATTCAATCCTTTTAAAAACAACCAAGTATTAAAAATGAACTTACTTCAAAAAGATCCTTCATTGATGAAACTTTGAAATATTTATCCCTTATGATGGAAAAATCTATGCAGTCAAGCAGGACATGCTTGACTGATTCTTTCATCACAAGGGATACAAAATGGAGGATCCTCACCTTTCAATAGATATTCGTGTGTATATCGAGAATGGCCAATACGACATCGTCGCATGATGACCTCTTTACATCTTGACTGACAACCCAAGTAGGTGTAACCTATGGTTGGTTTAATTGCATATAATTTATTGATACCTACCTGGGTGTCCCACTTCTTCTGCATCAGATCACGGATGTACGATCTAATGATAGTTTTTATAATTGGAGTATGGGATGAGAAGTTGTGTCACAGGATTTTCGAGTGGAGCCTTAGCAGCAGTAAAATCGGCCATTGTGTTACCAGAAATTAACCAACATGGCTTGGCAACCAACAGAAGACGATGTCGAATTTGCCAGTAGCAAGATCATTGTGTAATTCAAAAATCTCAAAATCTCGATTAAAAGTGGAAGTTTATTTATTTATTTATAAGACATTCATAACCTTCATTGGTAATCCCCCTTGGCCGTGTCTGCCATCACATCAACTGGTCAAGGAAGTGCTATTGTTTTTCTGTCTGTCCATTGATGAGTCGTCGCCTGTCACATTGTTGTCAAAAACTGTATATATACTGAGTATGCTCACATCTAGACAGTGAAGGAGTACGAGTTCATTATTTGGACTGTGTGTAGGGACGTCCACAGGCGGGATAATGCCGCTCGTAGGAAACGCCCTGGGGTTGAGCAGGTGCTCCGCTCACCATATTTGTGTCTTGTGTATTTGTTTGTCATGTAACTAAAGAAGTTTGAGCTCAACGTATTCCTTCGTCTTGTCAACGTATTGTACGTACACTTCATCTTAAACATGAGCTAATTCCCCAGTCGACGCATATACACGCGTTGACAATATTGTAACCGATTATTTTGAATGTCCAATAGGATTAAGGCAGGGATGCATTCTAAGTCCGCTCCTCTTCTCGTTCTTTATAAATGAATTGTCATTAGAAATAACACAACACGGAAAATTTGGTGGGCAATTATTTTATTATCGTTATTATTTGCAGATGATGTGGTTTTAGCCTCTGATGTTGTATCGGGTTTACAAAGACAAGTAGCAATCCTAGAATCATATGCAGACACGTGGGGATTGACAGTTAATCTAGAGAAAACTCAGATTGTTGTTTTTAGAAGAGGTGGACCCTTAGCGAGAAATGAGAAATGGTTTTATAAAGGTGAACGTGTTTTGACAGTTGATTCATATAGATATCTAGGTATTCCTTTTCATCTTCTTGTAAATTCAATAAATGTATATTAGATTTATCATCTCGGGGTAAAAGGGCACTTCTAGAAGTACTACACCACTCCTATATAAATTAGATAATGTTGACTATTCTGTATTTTTCAAAATATTTGATACCCAGATTCAACCAATTCTTTGTATGGTGCCTAAGTATGGGGTATTAATAAATTTTAAAGATTGAAAATGTACATTTATCTGCATGTAAGAAGTTCTTAAATGTTGGTCCCCAAAAACAAATGTAATTGTTTATGGTGATTGTGGACGTTGCCCAATGTATATAAATGCACAACGGCGTTCCATATAATACTGGCTTAAACTTGTAAATATGCATCAACGAAGAATTCCAAAAAGCTTATGATATGCTAATGTATTACGATAATTGTGGTTATGATAATTATGTTTCATCTGTGTGTAATTTATTGTTTTTTCATATGAAAATGGTTATGTTTGGTTATTTCAAGGTGAATCACAGTTTCTTCAAATGTTTAAAAAGTTGCAGTTGACATGTATATACAGTCATGGAATAGTACAATTGAAGAAAGTTCAAGGTATAAGCCTTTTTAGAGCCAGAAAAATATTTAACTATGTTAACAAATAAGAAACACAGAAATATTCTTACTAGAATCAGAGCGGGCACTTTACAATTAAAGGTTAATGAGGGACGGTGGTTGGGAACTGATTTTAATCAACGTATTTTGCCCCATATGCAATAAAGGAATAGAAGATGAATTTCACTTTTATACTTATATGTGAATGCTTTAATAATTTAAGAAATTGCTATTTACCACAAATGTACAACGACAATCCGTCTACCTGTAAATTTAATTAATTATTATCTTATCAACTGAGTTATTAAATAATCTTTGTAAATATTTATGTTTTAGCTTTGAGCTACGACAGCGGCTGGTTAATGGATAATATATTTGTATTTCATTATGTCACTTATGTTAAATTAAGCGTGCTTATAGTGTACACATGCAGCATTCATCATTGTAATAACTATTTGTATATTTGTATATGGGGCCTTCATACAAAAAAAAAAAGACTTGACTTGACTTGACTTCTCAGGGGATGTTTAAAAAAATGGTTGCTCAATATAAAATATTCCTAAAATAGCATATTTCAAACTTTCATATAAAATATATTTTCATGGGCAACTTACTGAAATTGAACTTTTTAATTTGATATTCTAACAAATATTTTATAACATATTTAGGCAATGACAGAAATGGTTCTTTCAGCAAAAGCCATTCTACTATTTGGTACCAAATGATTTATTAAACTTTACTATCAAAATGAAAAGGAACTTTCCATGCATTTTCTTGGCGGTGTGTGTGGGGTAACAGAAATCAGTTTACAATTTATATGCATATAAAAAATCTGTGGACTATTGCGAGTAGTGTTGTGAATAAATATTGAATGCTAGAATGCTAGTTCCTGATTAGTTTTTATTATAAACATTTTTGAACAAATGACAGTCTTGCAATTTCGTTGTAAGGGAAATCTTTCTTTTTCCTGATCAGTCACACACCAATATCATAATGGACCGTATCTAACTATGCTGGTGCACTCTGGAACGGATACTTCCTTTTGCTGTGGCTGAGGTGCTCATTAGTATTATCATAACTGGATGAAGTCTTTTAAAATACTTGTTAATTGTTTTGAAGCGCTAGACGTCATGTTGGCATCAACGTAGCATAAAGAGTTATCCGACTTTCATAGAAAGGGAGACTACTCCCGAAACAATGAATTCATAACATACCACGTGTAAAGACATTACCAAAACATTAAGTGTAGGCCCGTGCCAAAAATGTCTAATGGCAAGTACGCTACTGCTTAGACTGTAAGAGAAATCATATCCCAACATATTCATGTAAGTAAAACTTCTATAGTTTACATACATGTATTAAATATTTGCCCGCAACAACTTTATCAATAATTTCTCGGAGACACTATATTTTAAAAAAAAGTAATATAGGGTCGATAGGTCAAAGCTCATAAAAATTCAACCAAAGAATTTCGCTTCTTTACTACTTTAATAGATGTGTTATTTAAATATAAGGTTGGATCTTTGTGGAGGGCTTATATTTTCGGCAAAATGGATTCAATTCGTTTTGATTTTTAAAATCTGAATCTGTTGCATAAAGAGTATAGACGCGTATTTGCTCTGTACTAAAGTGAAAACTCTTTATATAGATATTTAACTATACGGATTTTTAAATTACAGCGATTGCAAAAGTGTATGCGGATAAACATTGTTTCAAAGTTCAGGTCTGCTGTCCCTCACAGATAGGTGTCCAGTCCCATGTCACAATCAGCTGTGTCCGCCTGCAAATCGTCGCTCGGCAGCTAATGAGACCTTAGTGGTAGTGACAGATTGAAGCCATAGATCAGTGTCCCTTTAAAATCTATATGGGTGCTTATTAGATTACCGCAGGAAAGGGGAGCGCTAATTAGGAACAGGTATCATTACACGTCGCAAACGCCGATATAGTTCCGGGTACTCGAGTGGATAGTGCGTACGTTGTTTCGGTAGAGAAGACTGCGCATTATACATGTAATAAGGAATTGTAATACCTTTACACATTGCTCAGTCATTACCGAGTGCAGGGAACACCGGGAATACCTACCAACAAA